GCATGTTGACTGAGCCAAATACTAGCCATAGCTATTACCAGCGAAACTGTGCCAATGTGACAACTCGGCGATGTTGTTTTGGAGAACTGCCGGTCAATATTGCCACAAATTCGTTTTTGAGGCTTTAAATAGCGTGCATATGACCCCGGAGATTCCCACAACGCTGAAAAGCCGACATTAAATGGGGTGTCCCTTTGACTTCCCGGAAAAGCCGAGGACAACACGAGCCTCAACGAGGGGCAAAGCAGACTAAAGCTGACAATTGAGGGGCGGTATGTGGGGGGTTTGGAGAAACCGATCTGATCTCGCGGGGAGCCTTGCTCTGTTGGAGGAGGGGAGATTCCGGGGTCGGAGAGATCGGTCAACTTTGGCCGACATTTTTACATCATCACATGGGGAAGAGTGGAAAGCTAGCCGTTGGAATCCGGGGTTCACGATTTTTTGAACCATGGGACAATAACAATTGCGATCCCGGAGGTTTATGATCTAAAAAGCCAGAGCTGCCATTGTCTTTGGGTCGGCATTCTTCAGCAACTCCAAGACATTCCTAGCAACCTCCAGGTCGAACCAGATTATTTTCGCTGACCTGTCACCCTTTAACCTCCACAAGCCACACTCACATTCACATTCATCATTATGGGTTCTCAGGTCGACGACAGAGACTTCACCACTCTACTGCCTGAGCTCACGCTCGAGGAGAAGATCACTCTCCTTTCTGGCCGTGACTTTTCCACGGCAGCAGGTGTCGCTAGATTGAACATTCCTCCCATCAGAGTAAGCTCTCCCAAAGATCCTCCAGCGCAAGCCCAGTACGGAAAACAAGAGGCAAGCTGACAGGCCACCCATAGGTAGCAGACTCAATCGCCGGCGTGCGCCCCTCAGGGATCACAGCCGACCTCACAACTGCATGCTTCCCGAACACAGCCTGCCTCGGATCGACCTGGGACGCCGAGCTCCTCAGCCGTCTAGGTGAGCGCCTTGCGCATCAGGGCCGTGAAAAGAGCGCTCAGGTTGTCCTGGGCCCGACAATCAACATCCACCGTGACCCCCGCGCGGGACGCAACTTTGAGTGCTTCAGCGAGGACCCGTTGCTGTCTGGACAGCTGGCGGGCGCCATTGTCAACGGTATTCAGAGCCAGGGCCTCGGTGCCTGCCCCAAGCACTTTGTCTGCAACGATTCGGAGACGCTGAGGCACTTTTACGATGTTGACGCTTCGCCGGATAGTCGGCCGCTGAGAGAGATTTACATTGCTGCGTGGCAGCACTTGTTGCGGACTTCCAACCCTACTGGTGTCATGACTGCGTAAGACCTTCTCTACAGATATAAGCACGTAATTGGGATAGCAGTCTTTACTGACAATGATTTGGCACAGATACAACAAGGTCGATGGCACATTCTGCAGCGAACACGGTCCCCTCATCGAAGGCGTCTTGAGAAAGGAATGGGGTTTCGAGGGCATCGTCATGTCCGACTGGTTCGCCGTCCACAACGTAGTCGAGCCCGTCAGGGCCGGTCTCGATCTCGAAATGCCCTTCCCCGTCTTCCGAGGCAAGAGACTGGCCGAGGCCGTGCGATCGGGCCAAATAACCGAGGCGGAGATCGACACCAGAGCGCTCAAGATGCTGGAGCTCCGAAACCGCACGCGGAGCAGCTTTAGCGACGAGCCCGAGAGGTCCGAGATCAATGAGGAGACGAACAAGATCTCGAGAGAGCTCGCGGCGGGCGGTATCATCCTGCTCAAGAATGATGACCAGGCCCTGCCCATCAACCCCGCGGACAAGCCCAAGATTGCCCTCATTGGCGAGTTTGCCGGATCTCCCGTCGTGACTGGCGGTGGCAGCGCGTCTTGCACGCCTCAGTACCGCCACTCGCCATTCAAGGTCCTTAAGGAGGCTTTCTCCGGCGAAGAGACCGTCCGCTACCATGCCGGTGTTCGCACACGACGCGTCATCCCCGTGGCCCCCACCGAACAGCTCACAGCGCAGGACGGACGCAATGGTATCGACGTAAAGTACTACAACGACGACACTCCGGAGCCGATCCTCACTGAGTTCCAGGCGAAGGCCAATGTCTGGATGCTGGGCGAGTTCAAGGCAGGCCTCAAGGTTCCGGGCTCCCGCATCGAGCTCCTCACCAAGCTTACGCCTAAGACGACGGGCGAGCACACGCTTGCTGTGCAGGCTACCGGAGACTTCTCCCTCGTCGTTGACGGCAAGGAGATCCTCTCTGGACCTCAAAAGAAGATTGCTACGGAGCAGTTTATCTTCAACCACGTCAAGCTTGAGACGCGCGTGCAATTGCAGATGAACGCGGGCCAGGCTTATGACATCAAGCTCGTCAACAAGTCGTGGGATCACCTCGTCAAGGGCGAGCCTACCCCCTACGCAGCAGCGATCTGCTTCGAGGAGCACCGCTCCGACGAGGCCGCCATCGCGGAAGCCGTTGAGCTCGCAAAATCTTCCGACGTGAGCATCATCTACGCCGGCCGCAACGAGCAGTACGAGTCAGAGGGTTACGATCTGGAAGACATCCGCATCCCGGAGAACCAGGCGGCGCTGATCAAGGCAGTCGCCGCCGCGTCCAAGAAGACGGTTCTGGTGCTGCACTGCGGCAACCCCATCGATGTCAGCGCCGTCGTGGACGACGTTGACGCGGTGCTCAACGCCCACTTCCCCGGCCAGGAAGGCGCGCAGGCGACGGCGGATATCCTCACCGGCGCGACAAACCCCAGCGGACGACTCGCGACGACTTGGTTCAAGACAATCGAAGACGCGCCCACCTACGGCGATTTCCCCGCCACCAAGCAAGAAGATGGCACTCACAAGTTCCGCTACGCTGAGGGTATGGGCATGGGATACCGTCACGCTGAGGCAGCGAAGCGCTCTCGCTTCCCCTTTGGATACGGACTTTCTTACACCACCTTCAACTACTCCGACCTCACGACGAGTGTGGCGGGGGCAGACAAGGACGCGAAGCTCAAGGTATCCGTCAAGGTGACCAACACGGGAGCCCGCGCCGGCAGGGAGGTCATACAGCTCTACGTTAACCCGGCAAAGGAAACGCCGGCCGCCGTCTGGCGACCGGAGCGCGAGCTCAAGGCTTTCAAGAAGGTTCTTGTGCAACCTGGCGAGTCGGCAGTGGTGGAGCTCGAGGTCGACGCCAAGGTCGCGTGCAGCTACTGGGATGAGGCGGAGAAGGCTTGGAGGCTGGAACGGGGTACGTATGGCGTCCGGGTCGGAGATCTCCAAGGTGAGTTCTCGATCAGCGCTGGAACGGTCTGGGGTGGGCTGTGAAAGGTGAAGAAGTGCTTGACAGGTGTGTGTGGCGTGTGACACGAGGGAGACGGCTCCATGTTCTAGACCTGGCTCAGGGTCTATCGATTGTTTGTATGCGGCGGCATTGTATGCATGTATGTTATCTGGATACCAGTAATCTGTCATCAAGTTTCCAAGTTGTCTAGCGCCAAATGATCTGCCTTTCTTCATTGCTCCCGGTAGGACATCGTCCCGAGGCGGGTGAAAGGAAACCACCAGAGCTCAAGTGAGACATTGGGCGGTGCTGTGTACGCGCCGTGTCCCGATCCTGCTCGATAGCTGCCGCCACCAGACCCTCACTTCCAAATCGAAGTGATGATTCTCATCATTCCCAGTGAGCCATTGCAAGTTGGTGGTTTGAGAGCTGGAGTGAGGTGATCAAGAAATTAGTCAGTAAATAATACACCGGATGGGAACCGTTTATTCATCCGACTCACACTGGCTTATACTACCTACCTCCAAGAGGCCTCGGCGGAAGTCTCACGACGGCAACCCGAACAGTTCGGTATCGGTCCCCACGTCACCGAGTAATGAATGTCATCATCAACTACCGCAGACTAAGGTCAATATTTGATCCCATCTTCAAAGGTATGCATACAGGGGAAACCCAACACCACACCACTTCATCGCCAGAATCCACGCGCGCCAAGGGGTCTGTGCTGGCCTCTAGGTTGATGTAAGCTTGAAGGGTAGAGCTGATCCTCGATTCCTCAAGACTATCCGGCCCGGATTCGGGCGATGTATGCTCGGGGCGGGCACCAGATCCAACACGACACAGCCTGCTCGCGAACATCAAAACGGTCTCATTCAGACATCATGACCGGCGAAGAAATCCGTCTTAGGCAAACAAAAACCCAATAAACCACGGATGACTCAGGCAAAATCTACACCTAAACATGACTTAATCTTAAAGCATCGACGCCCACCTAGAGAATCTACGCCAGCATTGATCCTAGCTCCGCATGCTCCCACCAAATATCCGAGACCTCGTCCCATTTCGGCTGAAGATTCCAACTAATCATTAAACAGCCTAGTCCGTTTCCCCCCTTTCGCAGCCTTTGCGCTGATGCCCCATCCCACCGCCTCGGGGCCAGTGCCCTGTTTGATTCCTGAATCTTAGGCATGACGGGAGTCTAAGCCTCTCGAATCTATGATCCAATGGCCATCCTACTACCGTACCAACAAACATTGCGGTAACACGGCAGTTAGAGTACCTTACTGAGGAGGGGAAAGAGAGACAAACTTCAGATGATGCGCACATCCGCTCATACAACAATCTACAAAGAAGCTTGGACGTTGGCGGACAGATCGCGCCTGGTCTATGCCCGTTACTCTTCCTCCTGAAGGTGGCATTGCCTTGGAATAAGGATGATTCTTGGCTTTTGCTGCAGGTAAGTGACTCTTGTCTCTCCCTCCTCCACCAGGCAAAAAGTTCTCACTCTGGAATCTCGTACTTGCCCCCCACGATTGGCAATTCTTGTTCGGTCCTACCAACTTGGACTTTCGGCTTCACACTGTCGAAACGGAGTTCAGTAAGTTTAGTTGATGTTGCCTCACACCCATCGGAATTCCACCACCCTCATCGTCACTTTGGTTTCGTCTCGTCCCGCTCAAGCCTGTCTTAGTCCGCCTTTCCTTGGTGTAACCGGTAAATTCGTACTACCTTAACTTGGACGACGGATGGGGACGCCTTTTCGTGGCGTACACTGCCTTTGCAGTTTCCTAGTGGATGGGACGCCTTCTCCGGGACTTGCTCGCTATGACTTGAACTAACCCAAAGAGACTCGCAACATCGGATTAGCCTGACCATCTTGCGACTCTGATTGATATGCCGTGCCGTCTGCCCCCTTTTCCCACTGCTTCTTGGTTTCATTCATTCACCCAAACGCAAGAGACAGAACGAGTCCCACAATAGCTCACGGCCAGGACCCACGATCATAACGCAGTCCTACGGGACTACGGGACTACGGGAATACGGGGACTGCATCGCACAAAACACATCAGTCCGGCACGCGGAACCCCCTGTCGGACGAGCCTCGCGGACCCGCGCGGCAATGATCGCACGGCCCCAAGGCTCCGGCTCCGGCTCGGTCGCATGACAGAATCATAATGAACATGGAGATGGAATCGGACATCATTGAGGACGGAGGGGCGCCGGGGATTCCTCCCCATGGAAAGGCCGTTATCGCGTGCGCGACCATTTCGGCCGGACTTGCTGGTCTCATCGTCGGCTTGCGGTTCTTTGCACGACTGTACCCTGCACGACTGTTGGGGAAGGAGGACTGGTGTATATTTGTCGCATGGGTACGTCAAGCCTCTACATTGCTGCCCGCCGTGGAGGCGGAGACCTCATCAAAGGGCTACCGAGGAGCGTCCGGCATCAGTGATGTAAACTCCACGAGCTAACTAACCTGGATAAACAGCTTTTCTCTGCTGCGACCTCTACTGGCATGTGCCTTCGTAAGTTGACACTTACTCTCCACTGGCATCTCGATAGTAAGACTAACATTACGCAGAGGTCAAGACTGGCATGGCTGAGGAATTCTCAACCCTCAGCGTCTATCAACAGCAAACCTTCTTCAAGGTAAGATCAAATCTCACCCTTTCGGGCCCAGTTTCCGAGAAGGAACCACGCTGATATGTCTGATTCAAGTGGGCATACCTAACTATAATATTCTATAATACTGGCCTTGCCTGCGTCAAGGTTTCGATCCTCCTTCTCTACCTCCGAATCCTCCGGGATCTCAACTACCGAAAGGCATGCTACGTGGTCCTATTCATCGTTGTCTGCGTGTCGCTCTGGACGGTATTATCCTCGATATTCTTCTGCGTCCCCATCACCAAAAATTGGGACCGCGCCGTCACGGGCGTATGCTTCAGCCAGGGAGTCGCCTGGTTCGTCAATGCCGCCCTCAACATCCTTACCGACTTCATGATCCTTATCCTTCCATTACCGATCTTGCCCAAGATTAAGCAGTCTCGTCGGCAAAAGATTGGGCTATACCTCATCTTTGCGCTCGGTTTCTTGTAGGTCCACCTCCTCTGATATTAAGACATAATAAAATACCCCGGCTAACAACCACCTCAGCATCTGCGTCGTCTCCATTCTCCGAATACCCTCCCTCATCGTCGCGAAGTACTCACGCGACCCAACACTAGACAGCCCAGGCATTGCGAAGTGGTCCGTCGTGGAACTCAACACAGCCATCGTCTGCGCCAGCCTCATCACCCTCAAACCTCTCGTCATGCGATTTTGCCCGCGCATGCTGGCTCCCAACCGTGGCGACGTCGGCCGACAGCGCGGTCCTGGGTCCGAAGAGATACCCGCGACCGTCGGGTCCAAAGAAGCGCGAAACGGGGGAGGAGCAAAGCACGGCCACGCGCGGGCGGTGTCCGACGGTAGTACCATTCATCTGAATCATGATACTTTTGGCGGGGATTCCGCGATGCATACGCAGCATACGCAGAGCTCGCGACTTAGTTCTTCGGGGACGTCGGATCTGGAGCAGGGGATGAAGGGGTCGGCTGTCGAAATGGAAGGAGATTTGGCGATACGGACGGATAAAGCATGATGATTGAACATACCGTTGTAACTTGATACCACTTTATTTTACGCTTTTGTATTTTAAGAATCAAGTCATAACCATATCTGTCCGACGCTAGCTGGCCCAGGTCAAGTTCGCGATGATCTTCTCGTACCTGTGCACGCTTGGCCGTTGGAGATTGGAGTTGAGTGCCGTGATGTGTCTTGGCCCGCAGGGATCCGCGTCCGTTGATCGCGGAATTCATCAAGTCTGCTATCATACCTCGGACAAGCCCCTCAACTATCCGTACTATCTCGACACGGATTGGTCCGCCTAACATTCAGAGAGAATGCCATTCTGATCAAGATGGTGATTAATCAACATCCGAGTGATGACATAGGCTAAGACTTTCATCATCCTGTCAAACAGCCGGCATCCCGCGTTAAAGGTCAGGAGCCGCCCCTGGTCAGGACCACGGATTGACGTTAAGAGCTCGTATTCCTCAATTTCCCTATCCCGCTAGTCCCGAAACTCCATTAACATCCCCTGCTCTGCTATATTGCTTCGCTTGAAAAAGCACCAAATCGCCTTATGGGTGCATCGTTCAATGTCACCCCAGTGGATCACTCCCGCTGCAATGCGACAAAAATCACCGCGGGATTTGAGATGCGCGACGGACCTTATTGGGCAGGTGGGATGAACGACATGCCGTGCTTCTTGGCAATCAAGGTCTATGGAGATTTCAGAGATATGTGGAAAGACTTAACCTCTTCGTGAGGGCCATCTCAAGGTCATAGGTTTTTGTTGTAGGACAACCCTCACACTCGTTTCTAGATCGTTATTCCCACCGCAGCCATGCGTGCAACAGGGACAGCCATCGCAGCTTTGCTCTTCGGAGCCGCCGAGGCCCTCCGCCAATTCGCGCCTCGGTCTCTCAATGACACCGCCGGCCCCAGCGACCCGGCGCCGAAACGATACATCGTCGAGTACAAATCCCGGGCCCACGGTTCTCGCGTCGCCGCCAAAGTCGCTGCCGGATTTCCGGGTCTCCGCGTCGTGAAGCAATTCGACTCGGACATCTTCCCCGCCGTCACTGTGGAGTGCGATGGAGGATGCAGTGCCGAATCTGTGAGAAGTGCTCTTGACGACGGCGACGAGCCTGTTGTGGCGACGGTCTACAAGTCGCAGGTCATGCAGATTCTTCCGACTGTTGAGGGCGAGGCATACAGCGATGATGCGGCGGCGCTGAATTACTCCGTCCATGGCCTCACCGGAGTTGAGAAGCTTCACGAGGATGGAGTCTTGGGCGAGGGCGCTATTGTTGCCATTGTCGACAGTGGTGTGCAGTACACTCATCCTGCAGTAAGTGTCCCAGATATCCCCAGACCCGAGGCCAAATCATTGACGCGATGCAGTTGGGTGGAGGCATCGGGCCTAACTTCACTGTTGCTGGAGGCTACGATCTTGTTGGTGATGCTTGGCCTGATGCGCCAGCCCAGCCGGATGACGACCCTATGGACAGATATGGCCACGGAACTCACGTCGCCGGCATCATTGCCGGAAAGAGTGAACAGTAGGTGTCTTCAATTTCTTTGGGTTCGAGAGGTGGTTACTTACTAACTCTACCAGATTTGTTGGCGTAGCTCCTAGCGCCAAGTTGCTGTCTTTCAAGGTATTCGGCAGCAGTGGCTACTCTAACGAGGAGACTGTTATTGAAGGCTTTCTGAAGGCATATGACTCTGGTGTAAGTCCAAACGCAATCGCCGAGGTAGAAAGTCAGTGCAACTAACATTCTCCCCAGGCCGATATCATCAGTGCCAGCGTTGGCGAAACCAGTGGTTTTACCACGAACGCACTTGCAGTTGTCGCGTCTAGAATCGTCGACAACGGTGTCGTCGTTGTCTTTGCTGCAGGTAACTCCGGACAAGATGGCCCCTTCGATATGGCAAATGGAGCATCCGGCGAACACGTCTTGACCGTGGCATCTTCCGATCCTGGCGTATTTCCCGCCCAAGCCTTCTCGGCAAACTTCAACTTAGAAGGCAACTCCAACAAGACCGAAATCGCCTACATTCCTGGATCTGGCTTCTTCCCAGACACCATTGTCAACTGGCCCGTCAAGCCCATAACTCTCAACTCCTCTGTTGTCAATGACGCGTGCCAGCCTCTCCCAGCCAACACAACCTCTCTCAATAACACTGTAGTTCTTGTTCGAACTGGTGGCTGCACCAACACCGTCAAGCACACCAATGTAGCCGCCTTCGGCGCCCGCTACGTCCTCTTCTACAACGATGCCGGCCCGTACAAAAGCGCCTTAAGCTCCAACCTCACGGGCCTCACCGGAGCCATCGAGGCAAACGCCGGCGAAGCCATCATTGCCACCATCCTCGACGGAGGCAACGTCACTGCTTCATTCGACATCTCCACGGCCCACTATGTCGGCCTCCGCAACGCTGGAGGCGGACGGCCCTCCTTGTTTTCCTCATGGGGCAGCACCTACGACCTCGCCCTTAAGCCCGATGTCGCCGGGCCTGGCACAAAGATCCTCAGTACCTACCCGACGGACCAGTACCGCGTGCTGAGTGGCACGAGCATGGCGACGCCTTACATTAGCGGTGTCGCCGCTCTCTGGGTAGGCAAGTTCGGAGGTCGGGCCGCGCACAAAGATGATCCGGAGTGGGCGCGCCGTCTTATTGCGCGAATCACGTCGACTGCTGGTGCCGTGCCGTGGGCGGACTGGGCGACTACCGCGACCGACTACGGTTTCTGGGCCCCGACAACCCAAGTAGGAGGCGGTTTCGTGGATGCGCAAAAGATTCTTGCGTATACTACCGAGCTGAGCTTCGACGGCCGCAAGTTTGAGCTCAATGATACTGCGCACTTCAAGGGCACGCACACGGTGGAGATTACGAACCGCGGCACAGAGACAGTTACGTACAAGTTCTCCCTCCAGGATGCTGGTGGATATACCGCGTATACCCCCTCTGTCCCTGGGCAGACTCAGTTTGCTGTTCCTGGCATCCCTCTTTACGCGGATCTCGACCCCTTCAAGCTGACTCCCGAGGTTGCCCTGCCCCAGGAGGTTACCATCGCGGCTGGCGAGACTAAGACAACGGAGTATAAGCCAATCTTACCTTATGATTCGCATTCATGACATATCAGCTGACAAAGAAACCAGGTTCACTTTCAGCCTTCCCGAGGGAGCGGACGCCACAAAGTTGCCAGTGTATAGCGGCAAGGTCCTGGTTAGCGGCAGCAACGGCGAGGAACTCGGAATTCCTTACTTTGGTTAGTTCATTGTCACGCGAAGCTGCGGTTTCTGAAGCTAATAAACCTGAAGGTATTGCCTGCGACTTGAAAGAGACTGTTGAAAATGTCTGGGACTACGGATGGAATAACCCTTACCTCACGTCTGGCGTGAACGGCATCAAGCTCGACCAGAAGTCCAAGTAAGTCCCTGGACAACGACGCACGTCTATATCTCAAATAGGAGCTAACCTACGTCTTCTAGTTTCACTTTCAACCTCACTCGCGAGGCGCAAGACTTCCCGAAACTGTTTACCCAGTTTGTCTGGGGAACCAAGGAATTCCGCTGGGATGTAAGTCAAGACAATTCCATAGCAAGCCCGGGGATATCGGTCTGATGTTTTGAAAAGATTTTCTCGGGCAATTACAGCGAGGCGCAATGGTCATACCCTCCTGTCGCCGGTCAGAAGGGGTTCGTCGGCTCGGCAACTGCCTGGAACGGAACTGCCACCTCGGCTTGGTTCATCCCAGGTGAAGATAGTGAGGACGATGTCTTCTCCCTTCCGCTCTACTCGCAACCTCGTGCAAGAGGAGGTATCTACTACTGGCTCGGAAGGTTTGCCGATGGCTCTCACATCCAACCCGGATCATACAAGTAAGAATCCCAAAGTCTTGTAGCTAGCAAAAGGCCTAAGCATTCGACCTCATGCTGACTATGTTCAAACAGATTTCGCATTGCTGCTTTGCGGCCTTTTGGCGTTCCAGAGGTTTCAGAGGACTGGGATATTTGGCAGACACCTGCCATCACTGTGCTGCCCCTTTAGGCCTGATGCTGCTCTGATGGGTCTACACGGTTCAAGCCTTACTCAAACTGTGATAGCATGTGTATCCGAGCTTTAGTTATCACTAGAGATACAAATCTGTCATTAAATTCATGTTCCATATTTTGTATTTTTGAATACGTTCTCTTCCACTTCGCTACCGAGACGTTTCATGTGATGTATTCATGATCATCACTGACAGCAAGCTAGGGCATTCAGATTTGTGTGTTTCATTGTCTAAAAGTGCATCAAATAATGAGGCAGTCATGCATCAGAAGTCTTCGAGTTTATGCACTTCATATGGCGGAACTTCGTATGGGTGTGTTCTGCACTCCACGTCAGCATGTAACTCTCTCTCTCACCGTGGAAAACGGAGCCAAGTACCTTTTCAAGGCAGCGACTGCCTCTCTCGTAATATCGCGCCCAACACAGAGGATCTCGACTTTGTATTCGGGTACTTGCGCAAGTTGATCGATGGCACCGGTGTGAGGGGTAGCTCCTGCGGCAGAGACGGGTATAAACTGGCATGTGCCTGGGCTTTCGAAAGCAACATTAACGTATTTTCCACCATCGTATGTACCACCGCCAGCTTCGAATATGGCTGTCTTAGTGGCATCCAAATGAGATGCTGCGCGTACGTGGTGATGTCAGCTGGTGTTATCTTTCTGAGGTGACATTCCAGGTCTGAATTCTCACTCACGCGGCACAGAGTAAGCGAGCTTATAACGATCTGCCATTGTTACATGGGAGTGCTGTGATGGTCTTAAGTTAGGTGAGTTGGAGGTGTTGTGGCTCTGTAAGATGGAGATGGAATTTGGACGATGATGAAGCTGAGAATCTGAGGTGATATTTGTGGTAAACCCCTCTCTTTTTTGTGAGGATTGACTAATTTTCGGTTGCAACCACTCTGACTCAAAGTTTCAGTATCTGGAACATACCGGAGCTCCCTTATCTCAAAGATTCTGTTGAAAATTTTGAATGTTTCCCAAAACCCCTATGGGAAAGTGAAGCCATTTTCTGACCCCTATGGGAAAGTTGAGGCGATGTAGTTCACGGATAGCGGGGCATAACTTTGTGGGGTTGTTTTCAGACTGCGTGCTAGGCCGAATTAGTTGATGGACATGCTTGACTTGGCCGTGCCGACCTCGGCGGCGCTGTAGAATATTCGTGGCGTTCCTTCTATTGGATAAAATGCTGTTGTGAGTGGGACACCTGCCGCCGAACACACTTGCTCTTATCTAATGGCACTTTTCATGGCTATGAGTCCTACAGAGACAAGATCAGTTTAGAAGTGTTCTCCCAAAGTCGTTGAGACCTTATCTGTTTGTATATTGGGTGGCCGGGCGAGCGCTCGAGTGGCGACTCTTCACTCGCGGCCTAAATACTCATCAAGTCCCCTGAGCTAAAGTTAAAACCAGCTTTCGTAACATGCTCACGTTCACGACTGACTTTCAACTGCGCTACTCTCTACCCCCGTGCGGACTCAAAAAACACTTACTTGAGAATGAATCTGTAGTTACCATCGGCTTCCGAGACCTTGCGACTGCCCAGAAGAAAATAAGAAAAGGGAGAGCACGTGCGACGCAAGACAAAATGGGAGATACTGCACACAACCTCCCATGCCCGTCTGGCGCCTCAGTAACAGTGTCCGTTCTCAATAATTGTTTCCTTCGAGGAGTGCCTACAGCACCTTACGTGGAGCCTATCAGGCCTGGACATGAGACCTTCAACGACCTTCCATGCCTCGTCTTCCTGATCGAGAACTCCACTGGTAGAAAGGTCCTCTTCGATCTTGGGCTGCGAAAGGACTGGGAGAAACTAAGCCCCGTATCTTTGACGGAGATTCAGAACGATAAAATTCATATCGTACTGGAGGAGGACATTGTTGATATTCTACAACGCGGGGGAATCGAACCAGGTGAAATAGAGGCAGTGGTCCTAAGGTGTGTGTTTCTGAGAGTTTTGCACGTCGGCTTCTTTATGCCGACGACGTACTGATTTTGGTTGGCTATAGTCACCATCACTGGGATCATGTCGGAGACCTGAGCTTATTTCCTGAGACTACACGCGTTGTTATTGGCCCGGGATTCTTAGAGGCTTTCCGTCTAGGTTATCCCGATGACGCCTTGGCACCACTGCTGGCCAGTGATTTCAGGTGAGTAAGTCTACAACACGTCAGAGAAGCAATTTTAACGCACTGGGAGCTGAAGAAAAATCGAATCCAGTGGGACATCAGTCGACGAGATCAATTTCGAGAAGCCTAATTGTATCCCTGTTGGGCCGTTCACAGCTTTCGATTACTTCGGTGACGGCTCATTCTACCTCATTGATGCCCCTGGGCACAGCATCGGACATATTGGTGCGATCGCCCGGACTACAAGCAATCCAGACACCTTTATATTCATGGGTGCCGACTCGTGCCATCATTGCGGAGAGTTTCGTCCTTCTGAACGCCGCCCAACCCCTTGCGACTTTGGCCTTAGCTCGCCGACCTCGCTGCCATCTGCCCCGTGTAGCAGACCGACGTCTGACCAGCGCAAAGATCCTCCGCGCGGGTTGTGTGGAACGCCGTTCTATTCGGTTACGCGAGACCCTCGATATGCCGAGTACACCCACAACCACGACGCTGCAGATGAGACAATTGTCAAGGTGCAAGAGATGGACGGGTACGACAATGTTTTCGTTATCATGGCACACGATGATTCTATCCCTAGGATAGTTGACATTTTTCCAAAGCATATCAACCAATGGAAATCCCAGAAATGGAACGAGACAGGTAGATGGACGTTCTTGAGCGATTGGAGTACGTTTGATCTTGCTGGCGCCAAGGTGGGAAGCTAGGTTGGCAAAAGCAACATCAGATATTCCCTTCAGAGACGGTCAAAGTTCGACTTCAGTAAAATAGCATGGATCATCAGTTGGCAAGAAAAATATTAGTATGGTACAGAAACTATGTGTGATGATGTTACATAATACAGTCCATGAAAGCTGCCAGATGACCACCATCTTTTGCTTTCATTGACTCCAACTCTCTCTAGTCCAATGACTGTGCCTCACACATTTTGTGGTACATTCCCCTAGCTGTGTATAATTCCTGGTGTGTCCCTATCTCCTGGATACGAACCTGATGGAATACGCAGATGAGATCGGCGTCTTTGATAGTACTAAGACGATGAGCGACGGCAATTGTGATCCTATCGCCCTGCTTTGCAGCATCAGCCAGCGCAGCCTGAACGATCTTTACACCCTCTGTATCAAGCGCACTAGTCACCTCGTCGAGTAGCAGGATCTTGGGGTCGCGAATCAGGGCACGTGCAATGGCAATTCGTTGACGCTGGCCTCCAGAGAGCTGTGCGCCTTGAGATCTTGCAGGCGTGGCAAGCCCTTCTGGGAGGGAGCAAACAAAGTCCCAGGCATTGGAGGCGCGGAGAGCGGTCTCGATCTGGTCGTCGGACACGACGGCTGTGCTGCGACCCTCGCTGTCGATACCGAGAGCGACGTTCTCACGAATGGATCCTGGGAACAGAGTTGGCTCCTGCTGGACAAGGCCGACGATGCGCCGATATGCACGTGGATTCAAGGATGTAAGAGCAGACCCGTCGATGTTGACTGAGCCAGCGGACGGATTGTAGAATCGCTCCAGTAGAGCAATCGTCGTGGACTTTCCACAACCAGACGCATCGACGAGCGCCACGAATTGACCCTTCTTGATCTGGTAAGTCCACTATTATCTTGGCGTCTGGTGTAACAAAAGTAAAGGACAAGACTGCCTACCTTGAGGTCGATGCCGCGAAGAACCGTGACATCGTGTCGTAAAGGATAGGCGAAACGCACACCCACGAAGTCGACCGCATCGCCGGTATTAGGTCCATTGTCATTATTCTCGCCAGTCTCCTGCACTGCGGGTTGCAAATGTTGAAGCCACGAGATGTAATTCGCGGCATTGACTCCCTTGGTGACGCTGGTCGAGTATTGGAATAGCTAAGCAGCAGCCTGGCCGGAAAAGACGCTCATAAAGGTAACAGAGAATGAGAACAGGCCGACTCGGTAGTACGAAAGCAGCCGGGAGCCGTACCAGGAGCCTAGAGCCAAGAACCAGTATTCGATAGCTTGGGTAAAAGCAAAGGCAAGCATCATGGTCAGGAGTGGGCGCCTGCAACCTGACACCGCGCTGTCCAGCTCACTGACGTAACTCTTGAGAACCGTCTCCTCGATCAAAAACGAAGACACTGTTCGGATAGCTGCGACGGCTTCGGAAGCAATCGATGCGCTCGTCGAGTATCGCTTCGCGGTGTCTCTATCCATTTCGGCATCTACTCGAATCTTGGAGTACCCGGCACTAGCAACAGGGGGCAAGCCACCCAAGACAACGACAAGGTCCAAGTTCCAACTGTACGCGATTGCCAAAATGCTGCAAGCAAGAATGTTGAAAACACATACGAGCACAAGACCAACGTTGTACCCCATGAGCTCGAGGATCGATTGAGGGTGCGAATCTACGCGGCTGACTAGCGCACCGGTGGTGTTCTCTGAGCGGTCAAAGAATCGGAGATCTCGGCGCAGCATGTGATGAAGGGCTTCTTTGCGGAACTCGTGGTTAAGGTGTTGGGCCACGATGTTGGTTGCATATCCCAGAACGAAGTAAGACAGGAGACAACCGCCGGCCAGAACGATGAACATCGTGGAGTAAAGTTCTCCGCAGCCGTCGACGATGCGCCCGCTCTACAAATGGATGATGAATTCTTAGCCAAGGTCACGGAGCTAGCTCGTAAGCGTGATGTTCTGATGCCGAACCAGTGGATGAACAACGCTGCTGAGACCGCCGATGTTATCAGCACTTACGGAGAGGAGAACATCAAGAAGATGAAGGCTGTATCGCAGAAGTATGACCAGGATGGAACCTTCCAACGTCTCGTCCCTGGCGGTCACAAGCTGGGTGCCTAGATCATTCCTGAATCTTATCCTCTAGTCGACAAGCTATGACAGAACAATGCAGTTCAGTCCATGCTTCTTTAACGAGCGTTCGCTCATGACGGATCTGGTTCTTTGACCTACCTTGTGGGGTCGTATAGTCCCTGTGTATCTAAGATTCATTTCACATGTACATCCTTGGACATATTACTTCATCAACATAGGAATTTGACTCCATGTCACCAACCATTCTGGCGTTGTGAAAAATTGAAGAAGTTAGTGGCTTAGAAAGCTTAGCTATGCACAATGGCCTTTCGAGGAGTTGCGCACGGACCCTATAGCCAGAGGCATCAATGCCTTTAGGATAGAATTTTCTCCGTTGAACCTCACTCACATCGTCACAAACCGCAACTTCCCTCTCGCCTAATTTTTCTTGGCATCTGCTGTTAGTGAATGAGTGAGCCTACCACCAAATTACTAACAGCCGAAAACTCTTCACCTCCCCTTGCCGGAGCCCGCATCCGCGATGGCCTCACAGCCGCCGTCGGGCACCGGACTGATGTCGGCCGACCAAGCCGACCCCGAACCAGGCTCCGGGACACCTCCGGAGCCGAACCCCACCTCAAGAGCTAAGCGACGCCGCGACGCCGAGGCACAGCCGACCCGGCCCAGCCTAACGGGAAGCCAGCTTGATGCCACCACCGACGCCCCTACCTCGGCCGAGGGGCCCGCAGCCTCTACCGCATCTGCTCCGAGCGGATCTGCCACAGGGTCCGTCTTGACAGCCCTTGCAGAAGAAGCTAGACAGTACGAGGCACGGAAAGACGTCTTTCTGACCATTGCACGGTCCGTCGACAGCGTTGTCGCCAGCTTTGACGGTTCTAGAAAGCAGATCGCGAAAGAAGCCACTGCCTATGTCATTCAAACCCTCAAGAGACTGATCAATCACGAGACAAGCCCAATAGCGGCCCGGAGTTGGGCGGCTGTCGTCGCACCGATGGCGGGCAACACCACTGCGGCGACCCGGAGCGGCCAGAGCTGCCAGAGCTCTGCCCGCCCGAAGGCCACACTCCCCGCCGAGGATCAGCCGCAGGCGCAGCCGAAGGAGGACCTCCGCATCTTTGCCCGCGTCCCGGAAGAAAGCTTAGCGGCCGCTCGGAAGATCGCACCGTTCGCCGTACGACAGATCGTCTGTAAGGCCGTTGGCCTGGGGCTAGCGGACCTTCCCCACGTCTACCATATCAGCACAGGTTACTCTCTGAAGCCGCGAAACAAGCAAATACAGGAAAGACTACTTGCAAGTAAGGCAAAGCTGGCGGAATGCCTCGGCGCCCACCAGGTCGAGACGCCTATCAAGTGGTACACTTACGTTGTGCCGCGATGCCCAACAAAACTACACAGCATTGGCGGGGACGTCCTGGACCCAGCCACACTCGTTGAAGATGAGGTCTTCGCACAGACAGGACAGAAGCCTGTCCTTGCTCGACCGTCCCGCCTTGGGCCCAACCCAGTCACGAACGAAATATCTTGGCTCATATCATTCACATCAGAGGTCACGCCCTTCAGGCTCTTCAACCAAAGCGGCAGATCTCTGCCCGTCAAGAAACGAAGGACGCTCATCCGACACGACCCCGGCTGCCAGGGCTACCACTCCAACCGGTTCTGCGGACGACGACCGATCTGCAGCAACTGCGGAAGACCTTCCGATTCACACGAAACGGGACCCTGCATGGCCAGGCCCCAATGTGCCAACTGCTGCGGCCCCTTCCAAGCCAGCCACACAGACTGCCCAGCGAGGCCCTCGGCCGTAAACGGCGTCGTCTCCCTTCCCGGTCGAAAGGAGCGGGCTCGGATCCGGAAGGCCGGCCAGAAAGCATCGGACACTCTGTACAAGGCTACTCGATCCGACAGTAGCCAGGAGGCGGCAGGCGTCCCTACCTCCACCAGCCAGAACCAGCAACCCGGCGCCAAGCGCGCGCGCACGAGAACGCCCTCCGCAAGCTCGATCGTTTGCCTCGGTGACGGAAGCACTGACAGCAGCAGCATGGATGAAGACGAGGCGGACGAAGGCGAAGGCGAAGACTCCCCCGACAACACCTCCATCGACCGTCCCGTGCTACCCATGCCAAGCAGGAGCCAACGGGCAGCACAGAAGCCAAACTACAACGTCGCGAATGCCTACACCCACCTCGAACTCGACTCGGAGACGTAAGCCGAGAGCGGCGACCCCACGGATGCTACGCGTTGCGCAGGGCAACGTCGGAAAGATCTCCCCGGCGCACACGGCTTTCCTGCAGCTCTGCTGGGAGGCTCAGATAGATGTGGTCCTCGTCCAGGAACCCTGGACGGGCTGGAAGGACGGAAACGTGCAACTGAACACGCACCCGGGTTTCGACTCTTTCGTCCCGGTCGACTTCTGGGACAGCGAAGGAACCAGACCAAGAGTATTGACCTACACACGCAAAGGGATAGGGATGACGGTGGAGCAGCAGAGGCCTGTCCACACGAGAGACGTACTGTGGCTGGTGGTCGACAAAACGACGACTATCGTCAACGTGTACAGACAACCCCGCGACCCCCACAGCCGCACAACAGGGATACTGCTAGAACTCAAACCCCCGGAGCGAGCTTTGATCGCGGGTGACTTCAACGCGCATCACTACTCTTGGGAGCCCGGGACGAGGAACGGGAACCGGGGAGATGACATCGCAGGCTGGGCAGACGGCCACAATCTCTCTCTTATCAGCGAAGTTGGGGTGGCAACCCAGGATTGCGGACATGTCCTGGACCTGGCTTTCTCTAATATCCCTTTTGCGCACGCGCAGGTCAGCCCACAGTTACACCCGGGAGCTGACCACGAGGCCATCGTGGCCGTCATACCACTATTCAAACGCCCAGTGTCACAGGGAGAGGGCCACCCGCAGCCACGGCCACTGTCAGTGCCCGACTCGGCGCTGCCTCGGCTGAGAGACCTGATCGAAGGGGGGCTAGCTGCGATGCCCAATCTGGGGGATCAACCTACTCCGGCAGACCTGGACGGGCAGGCAAGTCACATCGTCGAGCTCTTCTCCCGAGCCATTGAGGCGGTCGGCAAGAAGAGAGGAAAACAGGGAAAAGGCGCGGCTTGGTGGACGGAGGAATGCGCAGAGGCCCACAGAACGTACCGTGCTGCCCGCAACCCACAAGCCTGGGAGACGGAGCAGAACGCAAATCCTTCTCCAATGGAAGAGCGGAAGGCATTCCTGAGCATTGTGAGGAAGGCTAAGCGAGCATACTGGGCCGGAAAGATCGATGGAGTCGCTTCAGACCGGGACCTCTATCAGGTCATGGGTTGGCGGAAGGCGAGCCCACTGACCAGAGCACCCCCATTGATTGTGGACAACCAGACGATCGAGGATACTAACGAAAAGGCCCAAGCGCTCCGGAAAGCCCTTCTCGACAGGTTTAGTGCGGAAGATGACGCACCGGGTGACCCGTTTGACGTACCCGTCGTCCCAAGGCGAGCGATTACTTGGCAGGACAATGTTAGCGGAGAAGAAGTGAAGACGGCCACCTTAACAAAGACAACGACCCCTGGTGTGGACGGGATCACCACGCGCCTCCTCCAGGCCTGCTGGGGCGTCATCTCGGAGCCGGTCAGGCAGCTATTCCAGTCCTGTATGCGGGCCGGCCACTTTCCTCTGCCTTTCCGCAGAGCTGAGGTGGTCATGATCCAGAAGGCCGGCAGGGATGCCTCCAAGCCCGGGTCCTGGCGTCCGATCGCGCTCCTCTCGTGCCTGGGCAAGGGACTCGAGAGACTGATAGCCAGAAGGATGGCGTCCCTGGCGATTGTCGAGCGCATCGTCAGTCCGCAACAGATCGGAGCCCTACAGGGCAGGTCAGCCGTCGATCTGACGACCTGCCTCGCCCACGATATCGAAACGGCCCTCCTAAAAGGGCTCACGGCGACACTTCTGACTATGGACGTAAAAGGGGCGTTCGACTCCGTCCTTCGGAACCGGCTCGTCATTAGACTGCGTCAGCAGGGATGGCCACACGGCTTGGTTAGACTCATCTTCAGCTTCTGCTGCATCCGCATCGCCAGAGTCCGACTGGAAGAAAGCACAACGGAATACTTTCCTCTGTCATGCGGGCTGCCGCAGGGGTCGCCTCTGTCTCCCATCGTCTTTCTGCTCTACATCGCGGAAATACTTGAAGACGACCCGAACGCGCGATTCGGGTACGCGGACGACATCGCCACTCTGGCCATCAGCCCCTCCCTGGAGAGCAACGTCGCAATACTCAACCGAAGCGCAGCCGGCATTCTCAGATGGGGCTTGGAGAACAAGGTCTCCTTTGACCCGAGCAAGTGCGAGGTCATCCACTTTACTAGGAAGCACGGCCAGCCAGCGGAGCTGCCAGAGGTCCGGGCGGGGGATTTGGTGGTCAAGGCCTCGACGAAACCTGTACGCTGGCTGGGTGTCTGGTTCGACAAGAGACTGTCCTTCCGGCACCATGTCGACGCAAAAGTAGCTGCAGCAAAGAGGGCAGCTCAACATCTGAGACAGCTTACGAACACAAAGAGGGGACTCCCAGCGGCCGCCGTGCGAAAAGCCGTCGTCTCCTGCGTACTGCCGATCGCGCTCTTCGGCGCCGAAACATGGTACGCAGGTATCACGAAGCCGGCTTCGAGACGCCAAGCGGAGACAGACACGAATCCGCCTCTCCAAGGAAGACCCGTCAACACAGGCCAAAAGGGGCTCGTGCAGAAGATCGACAGCGTCATTACAGCGGCAGCAAGGGCCGTTCTGCCTGTCTGGAGGACAACGCCAACCAGTAGCCTCCTCCGAGACGCCGGCTTACCGTCAGCCAAAGTCGCCTTAGAGGGCGTCCGCTTACGGGCCGCAGTCCGACTACAGAGGATTGATCGCCGACACCCGCTAGTCGCGCGGCTCTCCCAGCAGGGACAGCAACAGACGAGACTACAACGGACGGCTGAACTTCTGCCAAGATGCGGAAGACCAGCGTTCCTTCAATCACAGTACCTGCCAAGCTCACAGGATCAGATAGTAGTTCAATGCAAAGAAGAGGCTGCGAAAGCTTTCGAGCGCTGGCTAAAGACAGTACCGGAAAGCCATATGATCGTCTTCTCGGACGGCTCCAGGGCGACGAACGGAGCCGTGGGGTACGGCTTCGTCATCTACCGAGACTCCAAACGCATAGCACAAGGGTGCGGCCGACTCGGACTAGCAGAAGTGTTCGACGCCGAGGTCGAAGGGGCGCGAACCGGCCTCAGAAGGGCTCTGCTCACCAATCGCGGTCATCCAATCCACATATGTATCGACAACACCAGCGTTATACAAGGCATCCGCGGCAAGGCGCCGGACTCGTCACAAGACGCGTTCCTCGAAATCCAAGAAGCGGCCAGGATATTTGATATACGGACGCACTGGTCCCCGGGACACCAGGGCATCGAAGGAAACGAGGCCGCGGACCGGCTGGCCAAAGAAGGAACGACACTGCCGGCGCGGATGGGTCAAATGGCAACACTAGCGGGCATCAAGCGGCTTGCAAGGGAAAAATTACAAAGCCAGCACAGGAGATGGTGGTATAAAGAGCGAAGGCCGCGGTACGCGGACTTGGGGCTTGAGGCAGCTCTGTCCAGCCCTCCTGAACTGGCCTTGCCGCGGGCTACGTTACATCACCTGCTGGCGGCACGATCGGGTCACGGGGACTTCGAGCAATATCACCGACGTTTCAACCACGACGACGCTCTAATGATGTGCTCTTGTGGAGAGGCGAAAGACGTGGACCACCTGGTCTACTGTCGACTAACGCTGGCGAGGAGGCAACGGTGGCCGACCCTCCACTCTCGCAGTATGCCCGAGCCCATAGGCCCTATGGGATCTCTCGAGGCCTACTTCAAGAGATTAATCACCGACCCACGAGGCTTCGAGGCCTTTCTCCGCGTGACGGACTTCTTCCAGAAGATCTGTCTGCGGTAGCAGCATCCACACCTACGTAGATGTGAGTGCGGACTACAAAGAACCTCCCGATTCCAAGGGACGATTTGGGAAAGAATGAAACTGGGGCACCAGCGGGAACCGGGGACAGACAGAACGCGTAGTGGCCACAAGGCATGATTTGGAGGACGATGTAAAGAGACGACGTACTGTAGAGTAGGTAGCCTTGGCTCACGGCCCTCCACGCCATATACCCTTCGGGAGGTCTGCGGTAAGGGCTCTAGCCCGGCCGCCACGGCGTTAAATACAACAACAACAACAACAACAAAATAACGAAAACCTTGTGATTGTGCTTGTGAAAGGGGTGACTGGCGTCAGCGTTGGCACCGTTTTCAATGATCAAATGTGGTGCTGCGTTAAGTACCCACGTAGACGATCCTGTGTTGTTGACGGTATATTTGACTGTAAAGTCTGCTTTTGGTGGAAGTGGCCGTAGTGGGAATGGAATTAGTCCGGCTTCTTTCATGGCTTTGTTTGTAATGTCCACAAGACTACCGTTGAGATGGAGTCAAGGTTTGGTGCTGGGAACTGTTCGATTAGGAGGCCTTGGCAGATCCTACAAGCAAAGGTGCTGAGCTGTGCCTCCTGTCGCACCCAAGAGTCACCGTTTCTATAGGCTGAATATCACCTTCGTAGTGGCACAACGCAATATGCCGGCACCCTGAATCATCTGCTCAGTCCGTAAAGAACGCAACCTAAGCGTATAATCCCCTGCTTCCTTGTTTAACTTTACGAGAATGCTGTGAGAGTCATGTGTCAGTCTGTTGAAACAAGACTCAAGTGGTCATGGTCCATCTTACCTCGTTCTTTCACCGAGATTGCCATGGGTTCTCATGATCTTCTGCAGGTGGACGAATTCGCCATCAGCCGCGACAACCCAGAACTCGTGCTCATCGATGCTAATTGCCAGAGAGTGATGAGCTTCAAAATGAATGATACTGATCCAGATCTATTCTTCCCCTGATACCACTTGGATGATTTCTAGTTCCGGATTTGTTTCGGTGCAAGATTCGACATTGGTGTACTCATGGCCAGGAATCCGGTAGCAGCACCCTCTCTCATTACGTCCCGGTCTACCATTATCCTGTAGATCAAGAGTAGACTCGCATCGTGTCCCGCCTTTCCTATTTAGGGTCAAACTGTTGGCACACATTGGGATGTATCCGTTGTCACGGAAGCGGACAAGGTACATGTCTATTGGCTGATCATTCCAGTCCGCAACTATGATGTGACTGGGGTGATTTCTCTGCTTTACGCATGGCCCGATTGTCTTGATCATCGTCGGATATGAGGCGATATGGTCGGGGGCGCCAAGCAGCTGGCACGATCTAGAGTGATCCTCTCTGGCCCTGATTAGATAGTGTCACAAATGTTACAGGGAGACACAGCGATTTGGTGCGAATGTGAGTTGATAGCCTACATCTGAGAAGGCTGGGCCAAAGTGACGATGGTAGAAGTAGCTCCCATACTGGCCTCCGGGTGCAAATCGATATCTGTAGTTGTCTCTCGGCTCAGTGGCCCACTTCAAGTCGTCAGACAAGCACTTCAATCGCAGGGTCATGGAAACGGCGCTTACTAGAGTAACACCTGGTACACTATGCCCCGAATCCCGATCTGTTGATGGTCCCATGGCCGATATTTGTGATGAAATTGAATGGGCTCGTAACTCGTTACCGAACATTGGACTGAGCAATCCCGACGTTGAACCAGATCCAGACAACATCGTGGTTGTAGGATGGTCCTAGGGGGGGGGGGGACTTGCCTTATCAACCGGATGGACGGCACCTATGAGAGGCCTTCGCCCCCCGAAAGCTATCTTGGCTTTCTACTGCCCTACTGATTATAAGGACGGTTGTGAGTTGAGGTTTCTGCCCGCTTCTCATGTATGCCTAGAAATTCTGATCTCTAATCACAGGGTGGAGAACGCCAATCTAGCCAGTCGGAGCGAAAGACTTGGGTGAGGAATATGACGTATTGCGAGTTGTTCGAGATGAAGCTGTGAGTCGCTAAATCGAGAGCCCATCGACCTTTGAGGAATGGCTCGTAACTGATATGTGGTGATGCAGATCACCAACTAGCGTGCTATTAGAGCTTGGGAACCCCTTTCCGACCCACGGATACGGGCTGATCCTCGCTCTTGAATTGTCTTGCACATGAATTGGAAAGCCCAAACACTCCTGGTTGTGATTGGGGGATTACCCAGTAGATGACATGCGGCTACGCAACGACCTGACGTGACCGATTGGAACGCATTGCCACAGCCTGCGTTGGACGAGATCCGAAGATGTAGTCCACTGGCCCAGGTCAAAAGCGGCAACTACAAGACGCCTACTCTCTTGATACATGGAACAGCAGACGATCTCATATCATGGCAACAATCGGCCCGCACAGCTGAGGTGAAAGCACGCGGTGTCAACGCCAGCTTGGTCCTGGTACCAGGAGGGCCTCATATTTGTGACGCAAGTCATGATAAGTCGTCAGAAGGTTGGTTGGCAGCTCTTAAAGCGTACGATTGGCTTGAGAAACACGCATTTGGTCCCAGTTATAGATAACATAAGCCAAAAGGCGAGGAGCTGGGTCGTTGAGGCAGTTGTAGGCGCTGTAGGGACATTGATGGTTCAAACAGGGTTGGGATTAGACGGATCTAGGCGGACATATTCGTTCGAATCAACAAGTCACCAATATTCAGTGGCCCTCGCTTACATTTCAAACGAGTCTCTAACATCCTCCTGGTCTTAAACGTAGACAAGTAATAGACTATCAGATAGAAAGTTCAGAATACGAGGGAGTTTTCTTTAGAATTGGGGACTAAGTCCATAGGGGCCGTCCTCAAGACACTTCATGTTTGGATAGTTGGAAATGTAACCCTCCATGAAGATTTCATCAGCTGATAAATCCAGATTACGAAGACGCTAATGCCACAACTGAGGCACCACTTCCCGTTTGTAAAGCCCGTAATTCTTCGTCAGATCGGCGCGGCGCCGACTTAGGTGGCATGTCCGCCCAGGCCTCCTCATACCCAGTTGACCTTGCATACAGCGCACCAGGAGCCTCAAGGGCGTCAACAACCATGTGCTGAATCTTCACCCACAAGTCATCACCCTTCAGTTTGTTCCAAGACTTGTCCTCGTAAGACTTCAGAAGCTCGTGACATAACGCCGTCGCCCTTGCCTGCTTTATGCCGTGCCCGTCGTCACCAAAGTCTTGCAACCGGTTACCAATCGCTGGGTGTTTGTCAGTGGTCGAGTAAGGCAACTGATGTGGAGTTTCGGGGACTTGCCTCTGATTGAAAGTTCGCCCGGAATCTTGGGATGATAAGAGGCGATAAGGTTAACATCGATCGGGGTTCGTCCTCTAGCCGTGTATTCGATCAGGTCCATGCGGATCTTCCACTCAAGCAGCCGCCTTTTGTCCTCTCGGGAAAGCCACGGTTGAGCCAGCGTCGTCAAGTAGAACACAGCAGAATTCACATGGTGCCTTCGAAAGGTTAGACCGACTCGTCTGACGTGCAGGCAAAAAAGGGGACACTTACATGAGGAAAAAGTCGTACTTGACATGCTTAGTCGGGTGAACAGCTGCGCTGGATGCAACAAGAATGATCGCGTGGAACATCTCGGCCGTTCTCTCCTCAAGCTCGTCATCCAATACGTGCACTTTGCGCAAGATCTCGAGCATAGGCTCCTTAGCCCTCTGCAGAATCCCGTCCCTAATCTTGCTGTCATCTTGGAACCGCGCGGCACCCTTCAAAGTAGTCGACGTCCGCACCTCCTCGAACAAGTCGAGAATAGCTGGCATCCGTGTGGCTTGCGCGTGCTCCTCAACAGCAGCTTCACTCGACAGCATGAGATCGTGGAGCGAGCTGGTCCCATGCACCGCAGTCTGTGCCAGGCCCTCGGCGACAATGGCAGGCTGTTTCCATTCAAGGCCGTGCATGAGCTGGATCAGCGAGTGGAGCACGCCGCCGTGTAAGCGGAGGAGCATGTTGTTGGCTGCGGCATTTCGCTTGAGCAGTGTGTCACAGACGACCTTTTCGTAACTCTCGGCTTCGATCCTCCGCTGGAAGTATGCGAGAAAGTCCGGATAGTGTTCATCTTTCCCGAGGTATTTGTGTGCGGAGCTCCAGTCATCTAGGAGCTCGGAGACCACGTCGTCGTGGCGAGACTGGACAGGGCGTTGAAGGTCGTGACGCAGGTCGAATGCCCTCTGGATCTGGGCCTCGTTTGCTCCAGTGCCATAGAGCGCGAGCATGTGGTGGAGCATCTGCTTGAGCTGTTAGGCGTTTTGCTTCTTTCTTCCTCCTGATGTTTAGGCCCGACTGACGTGATCATGAAAGCCGGATCGGTTGAGGAAGACATGATGAAGCTGACAAACATCCATTAGCACACGATCAAAAGGTCTCATTGGATTTTGAGCAGTCCTTCCTCTTACATTCAAGTCTTTCTCGAGAAGCTCGCTAGTTCGTTTTGCAGCCTCGTCGCTTTGTTTGATTCCCCAGAGACCTGTATTGTCGGGAGTTATGACGATGCGGGTAGAAGTTGGGCTGGTAGACATTGCGAAGTGATTCAATCGTAAAATCAAGATTCTTGATGCAGAACACGACTGGACTCAACAAGGCGTGTTTTCAACTTGAGTCTAAAAATAGGCGACGACCAGAGTGCTTACAAATGTCTCCTCGAGCTACCTTAGATCAAGGCATCCATCCACGGCCAGTTGGTGGATGCAATGACTCATGGACGTCCTACTTAGCGACTTGATGATTCCTTACATACAAGATCCCTCACGATCTCTACACCTGCACTGGTGTCGTCGGTGATTCTTTCGGGGGCAAGGCTCATTCAATTCAAAACAACCTTGGACTTTCCAACTCTCGCGCTTTGCTTGTCTCGCGAGATGCCCCGCCTTCATCCCCAGATGTGGGACCCAATGAGCGAGTTGATTACGTGAACAACAATTCGAGCTGGCTGACTCGTCCGAGCGTAGTACCACCTCCAAGCACGTACTTTAATTATCCCACTACCCTAGATTCACGATAGAAGAAATGACTTGTAAAGCGATGATAAAGACCAGCTAACAGCAAGTCTTGCAAATCTGTAAGTAACGAGACTGCGGGAAAGACCACACACGCGATTAATGAGAGATGTCACATGAGACCAATGACGGGGAATTCTTTTTTTTTTTTTTTTTTTGTATAATCTGTTCTTTTGAAAACTCATCTAAGGCAGTAATTACGTTACATGGCTCGCTAGTCAGGTTTCCGTTTCCTCCTCTCTCAGCTGTGCTACATGCCGACGACAACCAACTCATATAAGGTATTGACTGGAGCCTCAGGTGGCGACTTCACTCCTCTTCCAATCCCGCCGTCGGCATATCTCCAATACGGGCATGACATACGGGCATGACATACGGGCATGATTTAGGTAGCCTCCCTTAACAGTTGAATTTCTTTTCGGCTTGTCCCGGTTCTTCCTTCACGACGCTTAGGTCATCATCCCTACCCTTACTAAGCTCGCTGTCGTACTCGTCTGGGTGGTCCTGGAGGCAATTCTGCATCGATCTGGGCCATATCAGTAGCTTTTCGCAATTCGTACACTGCAGGGAAAGTCATCCAAAGATTCACTGCACCTGAATTTCCCTACGTAATGTAGAAGTCGATGAGCCGTTCTTAGGAGCCTGCTCCACAATGCTGGACCGCGAAGCCCCACGGATTTCTGAATAGGGTTCGTTTGCATCGAGCTTGTAGACTGTAGTAGTCCCGTCAGCGTTCACTTTGATTGATGTTCTGGGTAGACTGAAGCCACTGTTTACGGCCTTTGGACGGAACGCACCTGAAGATCCATTGTATGCTTGCCAACAAAGCAGTGAGGCGCCCCCAGTTACTGCTCCAACTACGAGGTACTGAATCTTTCGAGCCGAGCCACCATCGCGAAGGGAGTGATGCCATTGACGTCGCCGGCTCAAACTCTTGAAACCGCCTAGCTTCGAAGCAGCGGCAGCCTGTAAGACCGGCCGTGTGTATCGCACATGCATATGGTAGGACCCGTACCTCGTGCTGATCCTGACACAACGCGTAGTGAAAGTGCTGAATTGAGAGGTTGACAGTTATCACGAATATGCTTAAGTATGTATACAGCAGGTAACTCGCACTCTAATTCTAGGGCTGACGGATTCCGGAGAGACTGAACATGCCGAACTATGAGCGAGCCTTCCCCCGATCATGCGAACGGGGTCCGTCAAGCTTCCAAGCAAAAGCCATGAACCTGTGGACTCGATACGAGAAAATTGCCGTTCAAAAATTCGCCCCCACTCATATTGCTCAACGCTTTCCTCAATTTCGCCCATTCCAGCTCCTAACTTACCAGCCAAAGTATGATAAAGAGGTATGGAATACTCGCAGCCTTCTGAACGTTGCAAGATAGAAGATTCCATCTTTGGAATGTCTCTTCTCGGCGGCTCCACTTTCCGAACCATTACGAATCCAACCTGAGAACGCTATTCCAGTTGCTCCTTCCTCGCAAAATACTGGTAACTTATGTAAATCGTCGAAACTCCTGCAAGAAACGCGCCCAGCCCGAAAGCGGATGAATCGTCTGCTGCCAACACCTAGTGGATACCCATAATTATGGTGATAATCACAATCACCACCAAAAAAGGAGCAGGAAGTGGTGCGTGTTAAGTCGCTCATTGACTCGTATACCCCATCCGATGACAGGCTTCCCATAGACCCCGGCGGCGCGGCGCAACGGGTGCCGAAGCTTTTTCGGGAACGTCGTGGCCCAGTTCTTATTGCTGTGCCGGCCAGGACGCGTAAGGTATCACAGTGGTATTGGATCCAATTCGACATCAATCATAGGCACGGGCTCATATGTATATTTGCCTCACCTTACATCTGACACTGGAGGAAATTCTGCACGCTTGAAATGATGCGGCACAGCAACTTCTCCAATAGGGGGTAGTTAGAACTTTGACGGGGTTAGCTAGAGGAGCATGTATTCTCCTTTATAGTTTCAACACAGGATATGGCAATAATTACCCGGACAAAATCGCTAGTATCCATCTTAGAAAGACTGGTACTAGGAAGCGAGGAAAATAGTTGCGGAACCCATTCCATCCACCATGGAACCTTGACTGCTAGCTAAACACATGCGCGTCTTATCATGGTTGACAAAGACAAGGGAAGTAGGTAAGATGTCTTCCACGTTGAACACTCCCGTATCGCTCGGTATTCTTCCAAGATCTGTTGGCAGAGGTACTGGTCGTTTTCAAAGCGGCTGCATTCAATCTGAACCAATGTGGGAAGGCTCTTCCGATTGATGCAAACAAGCAGGTACTGCTCATCATGGTTCTCTTCATCTGAATTCGGCTCATTAGACCATGACGTGTCTGTCGTTGTCGACGAGGAAGATCTGATTCTGGACGAGATTTCGGAGTCCGAACTCTGCTATGAAGCAGTGGATCGGCTTTGGTCGGATGATATATGTGCCGCAGGCGGTATAGATAGATTGCCTAGGGCATCTCTAGAACCATTGCAATTAGGCCTCAAATGCCAAGTCTGACAGGATCTTTGTCGCTCCGGTCTTTCCATCGGGTAACTCCGTGGGCGCAGTAAGGAACTTTGGCGAAGATGTCCTGGATCCTCTCTTCGTTGGCAATCTGGATAAACTGTCTCAGGCCGAGCTGGGTCTCTTCAATAGGCACCTGGCGCCACATAAAGTCGGTCATGGTGCGGCGATACTTTCGCTCAAGGCCATCCGCATCGGAAGGGATTTTGGTTCGTAGTTCGGTCTGTTACAGGTCAGCCATCAAGGAAGAATTTTGGATAAGCGTCATATGATATGTGTCCATTCCAAATGTTGTGCACGTGGTATAAGTATCAACGAGCTCTTACGATAACCGGATTTTGAAGTTCTTCAAGACTTTCGCACTGTTGTACGATGGTCCTTGCGTTTATTGATGACATGGCCAAGCTTTGAGGTCACGTCAAGATCAAGATGTTCAATTCCAACCTATGATAGTCAAGTGTATGAACATGGCAGAGTTTGTGTGCGTCAATTCATTGACAATTCGAGAGGCCTATTTATGTGCTCATGTAGTGGCAAAGTCTTACGGCCGCTCACATGGCATGATGAGGCACATGCTGACTAGATGAGTTGCATCCCGGCCCTGCAGATCCCGGGTACTTACATGGGTTGCTGATGCCTTTTGATTGGTCGCCGTTCTCAAAGAAGGCAAATTTGAAAGGATGCAATCCACATTGCTCAGGACGACAGATCATGTGCAATACCGAGGTTCCGTCTTCAGGCAACCTCATTTTTTCTAGGATACCATGAGCCACTATTATCACAAAAGAACAAAATGGTCACGTATAAGGTCTTCTCGCTGAAAGATCATGGGAACGTGTTCGCAAGGCAATTGCAAATATCATTCTTCATTTCTGGGTGGGGTTTCCATACTTAAGCAAGCTACTCGATTGTGAACTAAAGCAAATATAACAAAGCCCACTAGAGACGACTTGAGGTGTTGGAACGGTTCTTGGGAGCAGGAGTATCCAGGTACGCTGGCGGAAGAATACCTGCGAGGTCAGCTTTGATTTGCAACGCCAAAGTTCGAGAATGCCACCGCTGAAGTCTCGTGTCACCACCCATGATCCAATAGTTCTCAAGCCGGGATTGCCTCTTCCACACCCCTCGAACCTCTCCCTCAGAGTCAAGGCCCCAAGTCGCATCGAGACGAGCTGCAATCTCTCGAGGACCGAGGACCCCGCCGTGTCCATGTTGGTCTTCTCCAGATGTCTTGTTGACCTCATTCGTTGCTGAGGCCCCCAGTATCTCTGCCGCTGTCTTACGTGCATCTCGATCGGCGAACCCTGTGCACCACACCACAGCATCCGCGTCAAGCGTACTGCCGTCAGAGAATTTGAGTCCGGTAGCAGTGAAAGCTACTGGTTCGACATTGGCTTTAACACCTGCCTTGCCCTCAGATATCAGGGCCGTGCCGCCTACATCCAAGTAGTGTCCTCCACCCTTTTCAAACAGATTAACCATCAAGCAGCATTCAGGAGAACGGCTGTCCAGGACAGGGAACCCGGCTTTTGAGAGGGCAGCGTAGCGATCGGGCTCTTGAGAGGCCAGGTGGGAGAAGTGTCCTCGCACCATTTGAGCGTCGATGTTGGTGGGCATCGCCATGGAATCCTTATCTGCCTCCACGCCAAGCTTCTCGTAGTTACCATGCGCTGCGGGATCACATACATACGCAACAGGGAAGATGTAGGTCGGGGACCGAACGACCATCGTGGTTTTCAGGCCGGCAGCGCAGCAATCTTCAAGAATGTCGAAGGCAGTATTCGCTGAGCCTATCACTAAAGCTGACTGGGTCCAGAAGTCTTGGTTAATGACATGGCCCACCGTCATCAAATCCGGAGTCGTTGACTTACCTTTACACCCAGCATTTTCAAGTCTTTGACGTTACGATAGACAGTAGAATGAACACTGACCCCCTTGTACAGATTAGCATCAGCCATGGGGGGCATGTGAGGTTTCTGCGACCCGATTCCGGTTGCTTGAATCAAGTGCCTGGCCACGGCAACACGCCTGCCAGTTGGTGACCAGAATGTCACTGTGTACAACTTTGATGCTTGGTTGAAAGTGGTCGACATAATTTTTGCCGAGTTGACAACATTCAGATTGAAGATTTCCACATATCGCTTGACCTGGTTTGCAAGTTCCTCTCTTGTGAGGAAGTGTGGAAATTGCTGCTCTTTTGCATATTCTATCCAAATAGCCCAATGTCAGTATCATTGACATTTGACTTGTGAGGTGCTTACCCAGGTACGCCATGGTGCATATCGCCGTCGGAATGTGGAATTTCATTGCATGATAGCGAAGAGCCCAATTATCTCCAGGAGTAGGGTTGCGGTCGAGCATGACGCTCTCGACACCCAAGGCCTTCAGCCGGGCGGCGACTGTCACTGCACTACACCACAAGTGTGCTCGTCAGCTAATGGTAATTCATTGATATCAAATATCCAGATCGGGCTCACCTGTTGCCACCACCGATGATGATCACCTCGGTTTCCAACTGTTCGTGAATGCCCAGCTGTTTTGCAGAGCCACGTAACAAGCTCAAATTCTCGGGATGGAAGACAAAGTCTTCAAGCCTGGTGCTCAAAACCCAGATTTTCCAACTCGCTGAGCCCCCGTATTCGCCTCGAGGCTTTTGGGGCAGGAGGATGATCTTGCCATGGCAGCGAGCGGCTGGATTCGCTGTCTTGAACGTGAAATTACAATCGATGAATTGCTACATGTAGTGTGCTAGTCAGCCTGGGCCCAAACACAATATTCAAGTTCTCGGTATCGAAGCGGTTTAAGACTCACAAGGCTAGGAGTGATGGGCGCAAAGCTCGCGACTCCTTCAAGCCGAATCTCTTCTGATCCCCGAAGACTATTTGTCTCTATGAGACTGCTCGCAATGACGCCTGCTTGTTGGATTGTCCGGAGGTGATACGTGAGTGCCAGCTGGTCTTTCCAGTACGCCTGCTCCGCAAAGAAGCAATCTTCTAGAGCAGCCACATTGCTGGCCTTCAGTGCTGATGTGAATCTTTCAATGAGACCTGAAGCGATCTTCGTTGGCGTATCTCTTTCCATGGAGGCACGGTCTATCGTTCCCTCAGCAATGACTGGCAGAGGTGTCTCAGCCATCATTTTACGTATATCCGCCTTGAGCGGGTATTCGTCACCTGACGCCGTCATGGTATCTGCTGCGAAGTCATAAGCTCGGTGGACCTACATTTGCCCGGTGATATTCACGCAACGGAGGGCGCTGGTAGACCTTACCGCTTGCCATCTTTCTTCTTCGGTTGGTAAAGCTTGCATGTGGGATCGCCGCTGGGAGGTAGATGATCGGGTGATATAAATGAGGGGAAGATTATGCTTCCCAGGTTTGCAACTAGCATTGCCAACTCAGCAGAAATTCGTCCGGTGTATTCCATCCCAAGGCGCTATCGACCGTGGCCAATCGTAACCGGAGAGCTTTCTGGCGGAGCTGATATCCCTCCGTGGCCGCCAAAGAAAAGGCCTACAGTGAGTATTAATAAGTCAAGCAGCGATTGGAAGCGGCCGGCGTTCGGCGTTTTCTGAATTCCTACCTCTGCATGGTTTCTGGTGACGGCTGTGACGAATGTCTCGCCCGTGCGGAGAAGAAGCCCCACGTCGGCCAGACCTGGAACCCGAAACTTGTTCCTCACTACCTTGCACAAGGCGCTGTGTACATGTTCTCTCCATCCCGATTCTGAAATCAGATGGAACATCCATTTGCAGCGGCTCATGACTAAACTCGGGCTTGTCGGCCAAATATAAACGCTAAAACGCGGGAGGTGTGGGAAAAGAGGGTGTTGTCCCTTTATAACCAAATATCATGTCCGCTCGTTTATACCAATGTCCCCTTGTCTGAGAGATCAAGTACTAACATCTCTCATATCTTTGCCGTTCTGAAAATATCATTAATTGATGCCCGCTTCGGCGAGACTCTTCATATCTATATCGTTCAGTACGCAGATGTGCTATCATTGCTGTCGGTCGTTTCGTAGTTGAGACAGCCAATATGGATGGCCATTGCAGCGTGCCGGCGCCTAGAACACCAGGAAGAGTTGATTTCATACTTGACGATCAATTGTTATAATAGAGTTATCATAGAAGTCCAAGACCAGCCATGAAAGGTGAGAGGAACCAGTGTGCAGAACATGAGGAGGTTGTACTTTTTATGATTTTCCTCTAGGTGAAACTCATGAAGCTAGGCATGTGGCTATCTTTGAACACGCTGCGGATCTCATGAATCGGAGCAAAAGCAGCCCTCTCTGCTAACCTCCTGCTGTATTATTGTACACTCGTTTCAATTGCTTGGCGTCATTTGCTGCTAACTCATGACAGATTCCAACTATAACAAGCCAACCCCCTATCTCTCCATCGTTAGACATAGCCGTTCTCTCATTCACGCAGTTGCGGAGGGAGTACGATAGTATTGAGCTCAAGGCCGAACGGCCTTGCAGTTTGAACAGACTCGAGGGCGCTTGAGAGGGTGGCACAGTCTCATGTACAGGCCCGTTTGCTTGTAAGAAAGCTCTATGACATAGCCACTGCGCTCGATTATCTTGGCGAAGAAGCGCACACCTCTTCTCTGAAAAGGCAGCCACTGAGCCTGGAAAACGTTGGCGTGTTCCGCCTCCCACTCGGCCAATTCATGGAAGACAGCCTCATTGACACATCTAGGGCTTTCTGGTGACTCGGATCGGGGGTGGTCATCGTGTGGATATCATGCCATTGGCCGACATCAATAGCAAGTGCAGTGAGATTCGACAGTGCCGTGATGACAATAAGCGTTGCACTGAATTCTTTGTGCAGGGGAAGATGGATCCGACGTATATAATCGATGAGAGGCTGCGCTCGGGGCGTAGGTAGAAGAACGGAGTATCTGGGTGAGACGGCAGCCAGTTGCATATCTCCTCCTGCTTCTCGGTCGCGAGCGGGATGAAGCGATCGACGGCAGGGAGAATCCAAGCGTCGGTTTGGAGTTGCTCGGAGACATAAGCCCGATAGATTTTTCCCATCGGATGATTAAGGAACTTTCGATGGACCAGCGCTCGAGACATGCGATTGATCTGGGAGAGAAGCTGAATTCTGCGGAAGCGGTCCCTGAAACTAGCCTTTTCGCGGTCGCACTCGACGAAATGCTCGAGGAAGGCAAACTTTGAGGGTGTCTCGTACACGTATCCAAGCCACCAGACGATGCCTTTGTCGTCTTCCTTGGCGTCGACGATGAGATGGTCGATGATAAGCAGGATGATGTCCAAAGAGAGCGCTACTGAGCCCTTCTTCCCATCACGGATCAGTTGACTTGCCATATTGATGCAGCCGCTGATGAGAGAATAGATATTTTGGTGCGAAATTCGTCTTCGTGAAAGTAAATCGGTCAAGTCGCCGGACGAGATTGATGTTTGTTGGCAATTCAGGCTGCGAGAGAGTGGTTCAAGCAAGCGACTGGACGCTCATCGACTGACTGCCTCGGGAAATTTCAGGGTCAGAGGATCTCATAAGATACGTGGTGAGGTATATGCTTACTGTGTTCCAGTGCTCCGGAGATGAGGACTGAGAACCTTTTGGTGAAGGCCAGAAGAAGTTGATGTTGACGATACTTGAGAGAGAGGGAAACGAGAGAGAAGGTACGAGTTGAGAAAGGAAGGCGATCATTGTTGTTTCGCTATTCCCTACTCTGTCTCTGATTCGGCAGCTCCTTCCTGAAAACATAGAGTCAATGAGACGGGAAGGCACAGGTGCCTGCGAACTGCCGCGTTTGCACAATGAAGCTTGTTGATCTTACATTACATAAGGTAGGTAAGGTGAATACTCAGGAACCAATTGGAATATGTGAGACCAGAAAACATACCGTTTAAATCTCCTTCAAGGAGTCATTGTGAATGAACTTCAAAGAGGTAAGACAATTGCTGTAACAACTTCAGGTAATTGATATGCTTCGATTAATATTTTATTTACTTTCCGTGAGAAGAAACACTTAAACCAGACTAAAAGAAACTCATATCACCTGATTACCGAATGATAATCGCTTGAAACTACTTGGAGTCATAGATGTGAGCTTTTAGTATAAGTTAATATGAAGAGGTCTTATATTTTTGGAAATAATGGAAGTTGGCCGTTTAGATACAAAGCTAGAATTTAAAAAGGATTTATATAGCAGCTTCATAGGCGCAAAAGATCAAACTCAACGGAATCAGCTTTCGAGGGATGCCATACAAAACGGTACGCAATTCAACTGTACGATACGCGCAGGAGCTATATTTTCTGGAAACACACAGGAGACCAGAGGGCTAAATCTAGACACCCGGAAGTACAATCTTTCGATATCAGCTTGTAAGCTTTTATGCTTTCTTATTGAGTTGTCTGGTTCTATTTCGTAGAAACACCCAGAAGTTGCTTCAGACTTTATCACATGAAGTTGATCATTCCCCAGAGTCCAATGAAGAAATCGTCAACGTCAGCGCCGCCAAAAGACGAAGGTATCCGAGGAACCTGGGAGTGCCGCAACTTTTGATCGCCGTGACTACTTGTTCTCAGATTCAGATCGTGTTGCAGAGTCCAAGCACAAGAGAAAATCCAATTTTGATACAAGATGTGGTTGAAAGTGAGTACCTATGTCCTGCACCTGTTAGAAACAAAACCTCCAGTGATAATTGTCAAGACGCCAAGTCGTGAGAATACGGCAATTGAGTGTGAGGTAGGCACACGGTGATGTGGATACAAATGCCATTCGTTTGATTGGTCAGCCAGATTTATCCCTTTACTCCCTGCCAACTCTTAGATTTGGCCCCCTCGTTACATCACTTTAATCAGCGGATCGGACACCGTAGGATAACCAAAGACTCTTCACCAACTGAGAGCAGTCTTGGTTACCTTTATTATGAGAGACAGAGTGTTGCTATTTTTCTCTTGGACCAGGTGCCCAGGCTCCAGGTAAAGTGAAATCTGTATCCGTAGATGTAGTATCACATCACATTAGGCAGCAAGTGTGACACCCTGGCAGTGCTTATTTCTAAATCACCCTTGCAAGACAACAAATCCCACACTAACAGAGCTTCGCCTAGGCACATCGACGCAACTGGCATTCCAAACACGTTTCTCATTCGCTAATTGCTCGCAAGTAAGATTATCGGCCGACGGCGCAGCTCCGACTGTCTCAAAAACATATGAACTTCTCAACCAGGCGGTCCAGCCCTGCGAACCCTTGCGCCGACTGCGCCCGGAATCCTCCCGCCATCGTGGGACAAACGCAGCGATTCGTCGCGGTACTTTCGCCGCGAAGCCACGGGGAATTCAGTCTATAAGCTGACCGCATCCCAGAATAAATCCCTAGCGAATTTTTTTTTCTCTAATTCTCCAGAGTCCCATTTGCCCTCATCAACTTGCTGCGCACGTCCAACCCAACAACCGACGTCTTTTCGCCAAAAAGAATTAGCAATCCACCTACCCCAGTCTCCACACAATGCCTGCGATTCAGCTTTCAGAAACAGCCAACAGCGTCATCCGCCACCTCGTTTCGGCACGCGATAACGACGACTACAACAGAGTTAGGAACAAGGCCAGAGCGATCGGGGGAGGCGTCATCGCAGCCATTGTTGTCATCATTGTTCTCACCCTTGCCGCCATCATCTTCGCCATCGTCAAATGCAGCCGGAACAAGAGAAGAAGGGCGCAAAACGAGTTGGAGATGAAAAAGTACGTGGGCGGGGTCCCAGTCACCGATGCGACGGCCGCGGGCAACACAAACGGCCCGGCACCCAGCGGTGGGAATATGAATGGATACGGTCTCAGCGGAGGATACGTTGCGAACGACGGAATCGTGGGCAACAGCAAGAGTGAGCACAACGCCTCGGATGCGATGCCCCCGGCGTACACTGCAAACAATGGTCCAGCGACAGCAAACTAGACACCTTGAACGAACATCAACGAAGACAAAGGATGACAGGAACTGCGAGACAACATCACGACTACCTACTTATAGACATGGCGTTCGGGAAGAGACCAATTGTTGAAAGCATCTCATTTGTAATCTGAAGGGAGATTTGGTGACTGGGATCAATGGCCACGCACACGCATCGCGTTCATACCTACTCAAAGCAAACTGGGAAGAAACAGACGAACATTATTTCAATTGGCGCAGTTCTTATATTACTGGAGATTCTTCTACTGCAAGTTAAACATTAGTCTTGAAAAGTTTCATACCTCACATCCATCATTTGTGTTAAACCAAGAGCAAAGGTCTGATGTACTCCAGTATAAATACAGATATATCACATGAAAACAAAGTTGATAATTATGTACATGGAAACGAAGAGAAAAATCAAGGCAATGCAAAGGACCTCTTCAATCACGATGCTTGAACAATGTCGGCAAGCACACGTCGCATGTTCAAGACTCAGTCGAAGTCTTAGTGTCCAAGCTTGAAGCCACCCCAGTTGAGTTTGCTGAACACCATCTTGGGGTCATACTGAGCCCTGACGTCCTTCATCTTCTGCATATTCTCCTCTCCGTAAGCAGGGAAGGGTTTCTGCCACTCGCCAGCGTCACCCATGTAAACGAACTCGGTCGCAAGTCCCAACTCCTGGTTGATCTCGTGGTGATGGGCGAGGAAGTTCTGAGACCAGGCGGTCATGCGGAGGTCATCTTCGGGGCGAGCCCAAGAGGTAGTGATTTGCCACCCTGATAAACTCAGTCAGTCGCTGTCGGAGAGAGATATATGAAGAGAGAAAGCATTTTGGTAACTTACAGATGTAGGATTGGTCAGCATCCAGGCCGAAAGTGTTGCCGATGCCGTTGTTCTTTCCAACAGCAAGCGCAGTTCTTGGGACCGTGTTCAGAATGAATGTAGGGCGGATGCCTTCGATATCGGCGATGTCGGCAACGGCTTCAACCCAGGCCTGGTAAATCTCGTACAAGCGGTCGGCATCGGGAATAATAGTCTGGTGGCCGAATTGGATACTGAAAAAAAGTCGTAAGCTTATGTACCTGAAAAAAGGGCTTATAGCGAGAAGTTTCTTACCGGAACATCTGGTTGGGGGACAACATCTGGGAGTGCCAGTCAATAGGCCGCGTAACGTTGTGGCGGCGGGAAACAGCGGGGATGGCAGTGAAGTTGGCAAAGTGAGACGGAGGCGAGACAGTGGTCTCCTGCAAACCGAAGACTTGAGGGACAATCTCCTTAGTCGTCACATTGTAGTTGATGTTGATGACGGCACCCGCACCCTCGGAATTGTCGTCGCTCAGGGCAAAATCAGTAGCAGCCTTGATGAAGGCCTCCGCGGCAGACTCGTTGAAGATCTGGAAAGTGCTAGTTGCCAAGGGTAGATCCAGAGTCTTGAGAGAGAACTTGGTGACGATGCCAAAGTTGCTGGCGCCGCCCTTCAGGGCCCAGAAGAGGTCGGGGTTCGAGATATTGGTCGCGGAGACTTGGGTACCGTTACCTAGAACGACTTCGTACTTGACCACGTTGTCCATGGAGAAGCCGTACTTGTTGAGGAAGTAGCTGACACCGCCGATCAAGGTCAGACCGGGAACACCGATGGTCTTGAGACGGCCGCCGATAGCATACTTGCCGTACGGCGCCAGAGCGGAGTATACGTCAACCCATTTGTTACCCGGACCGACGTCGACGGTGCTCTCGTCATTGTTGACTGTGACCGTGTTCAGACCGTTGAGGGCGAGAAGGACTCCGTCGTCGATCGTGTTGGCTCCGGGGCACTGCAATATGTGTGCAATTAGTGGGCTGCATTATGCTGCCGGGGGAAGAGTAAGTAGGCAGGGGGGCCGGAGATGAGTTTGCGCGTACGTTCATGTGGCCACCACCCTTGACAGCGAACTGGGCCTTGCAGGTAGAGAGAATCTCCACGCCCTTGGCGACATCGTCGGCAGTCGAAGGGAGATAGATGCAGGCAGGGTGAAGGTTGGCTCTCTTGTCCCAGACGTTGACGCGCTGAGTCTCGTAGGCCGTAGAGTTGGAGAAGAGAGTGGAGTTGGGAGAGTGGTCGCTCAGTTCGGTGCAAGCGCACTTGACATTCTCGGATACCAGGAGGTCTCGGCGGCCGAAGGCGGACTTTCTGGCCGAGGCAGAGCTGGCCAGCAGAAGAGCTGGAAGAGCGAGGGAATACAACATGGTTGACGATGACTGCCGATCAGAATGCAAAAGAAGAAGCTGAATGGAGTGGGCAAGGATGAGTGATGGTATTGCCGTAACGATGAGGGAAAGCATTCTCGAAGTATTTATCTGTCTTTAGGGATGCTCTCCTGAATAGCCTTGCCACTCTCCTTGCCCAGTGCAACCCCCTTTACAACCAGATGATACTTTTTACGCTGCTGTCCCTGTAATGTTCCTCAGTCACTCGAATATCTCCATCACCTTGATCCGCTACAAAAGCCTCAATCGCAATCGGTCTCGCTCTGTGCCTTGCACCTTGCTACGATCGACTCAGCCTTGTATGTGGAATCCATCAAATAGCTCCATTGTGGACTTCGTTCCTGGAACTCCGCCAGAGTCTTCAAGCGAGATCTTTGGCCGAGCTTACACTATTGTTGGTTGATACGTAACACGCGAATCCGCCATAGCCATCCTCGTCAGCGAACCACTAAACCCTTGCCACCTACTAACATCAGCCTCCATACTTCACTAACAGATGAACCAGCCCGAAGAGACACGGCATTGCAGTTCCACAGAGGGGTTCGCCTGATGGACCTCCAGATGAGGCGTTTCCCGCGAGGTTATGCTGTAAGCTCCCACTTTAGTGTGCCATTTTGAGCTCCTACCCCGGGTCACTAATTAACTCGAAAAGACTTGGATCTGCAAGCTCGTCATTCCACCGCCAAAGCGATGGGACGAAACTGTCATTTTTCATTGTCGGGAATAAACTGTGGTACTTGCTTCTTGCCCACCCTGAACTACGTATTACTTTACCCGTGGCGATCTAAGATGCGTTCCAGACCTTGACCTTGGCCCAAAAGCCACCCCTGACATTTCAAGCCACACCTGCGTCAGAGGATGGTGTTCTGCTCGCTCTCGGTTTCGGCGATGGGGCCCCCTTGGAACGCTTGCGCATAGAGGTGGGCGGAGATCTGTGCTAGCTAATAAATATGCGAAATGATTACTCCGTAGAACAAGTGTAGATCTGCATGGTCCGCGTACCCACTCTTTTGTTCTACGTGTATTCTTTTACGTGGATATGTTCCCAAGTTTTCCACGTGGAGTATACACGGAGTACGTGTATGCGTATTGGTAATCTATCGCAAGTCGTTTCGTCGTGGCTTAGCTAAAAACTTGAGTGCCTAAGATACTCGCGGGAAGCAAGCGCGTCATGGACTGCAACTTGCACAATCGGAGCTTGGATATATTATTCAAGGCTCTCCTCCAATGTTCCTCCTCGGCGCGTCTATCACTGCCGAACTCGGTCCAAGATTCTCGGTACGATCTCGATAGAGAGAAAGAGACAGAGTCAATAATGCCCTCGGGTAGAGTGCGAGCGTGGACTCTTAATCGTTTTCATCAATGGGGTTCGTTCACTGAGCACGGTCCACGAGTGTACACGTCTTAAAAGCGCTGGCTGTTAGCAAGAACATCTGCCATCTACATCAAAGATGATTGATCTCGGAAGAGAAATAACGACGCAAAAGTATATCAGGGTGACATTGAAGTTCTGTGGCAGTGTTTCATCGGGTTAAGGTTTGCTCCCACAGCAGTCAAACGCATCGACACTTTGTACGCAGTGCTGGTGCGTGTGCCTTGACGTTCGGACATTTTTAAACTTTCGAGACCCCGGTGATTCCGCAATAACTGTAAATTGACCACAACTACCTAAACGATGTTTTGGACTTCACCTCCTTCAAGATTTTAATCTGCCTCAGATCCACCCGAGCGCGTATCCCGACGATTTGCTTACCGCCAACGGGAGCGATAAATGCCACTGTCAACCATACCGGGTCCAAATCAATGTCTGAGCTAAGATTACGATCAACAGTGCCCTCGAGCGGCACTCTTCTACCTCCCTCGTTGACGGCAAAAGGATGGCTGGCATGTCTTGTCTTGTCACTAATGGATGGACTTCTCGACAGAGTACTCCGTTATCAGCAGAAAGATCCTGCGCGATGGACGCGAGACGAGAGGCGGAGGCGAAGGCTGGGAGTCTGGAAGGAGAGGCATCACAGCGGACTCGAGAAGCTTCACAAAGCGTTGTGTGATCTGGATATCCCGGAGGTAGACCTTAATACGGTTGATATGCATGAGTGGTTGGATTACGCATTTCAAAAATCATCGTGAGATTGCGGTTACTGGTGTCAGAAATATTGATCTCGAATCACGGTGAGGAGTCCTTCTGCCTCCTTACTCCAGAAACCCCAAGAGTTAACGACGGTTCGAGGTTGAGATAAATAACTGAATGTATGGATTCTGCAGATTATCAGACTACGGACGAGAGTCTCTCTGAAAATGTAGACATGTGGAGTCTTGAAGAGTAAGGTATGTAGCATTCTCTTGTCATTCTTACATATAGCCTACTAACAATTTCATCGTCATTATCAACAGGTCTTGATACTGAACAGGTTGATCTGTTACCCTTAGAAGTGAAAAACATCAGCACTCGCCCGCCGAGAAGTCGCCAAATCTCCTCAGAAATCTTATAGATATTTCGATTTGGCACATCGGCGTGATGCTAGGCTAGCTAAAACTGAGAGTCAAAAGGGTGATCAGGATGGCATGACAGAAAGCCCGGATCGCCGCAAATGAGCAACATTCTTATTCTTTTTAGTTTTGAAGAGGAGGAAACGTTTTTGTAATCACGGTATAATCTCGAAGATTTCGTCATCATGTATGGCCTAGCAGAGACACTGTAGATAACGTGGCGGATGGAAAGGAATACGGAAGGAAGAAGAATGAAACCAGACTTTTGTCCTCACATCAAGTTGCCGCGCAGAAAGAATGTCACACGAAGCTCCCAACGAGCCTACTGAAGACTGATATCCCACGTGTTGATATTTCCAGGCTGCTAATTCTTCATCTTCTCGAATCCTCAACATGATTCGAAGAGGTTTGGAGTTGTCTTTCGTTACCAGCCGCATCCTGCTCCAGCTGATCCAATTCCGGATCTTTAGTAGGTGAGCTGACGATCTCATCTCCAAATTTGGCGGCCACCTCTTCAAGAGACAAGAAGCGCGTCTCAGGAAGGAAGAAGAAGTAGATGGTTCCAGCAAAAGCGTTACAGGCGATGAATACAAAATAAAACTTCCACTCAATGGCATCGAACGCGAGTGATGCCGCGTAAGACAACCAAATGGCCGTAACAGCCTGGGTAAAAACCGAGAACCCAACTCCGACGCCGCGAAGGTCGAGGGGAAAGATTTCTGCGACAAGGACCCAGTTGACGCTGTTGAAGAAAAATGAGTACGCAAAAGCGAATAAGAATATGAATGCAACGCCAGCGCGGGACCCGGCGGGGTTGGAGTCGTCTTTGAAAAGTTTCGACAAAGCCGTCAGGACTGCCAGGAGGACGGCAAGCGTGAAACTACCGGAAATGACAGTGATGCGTCGCGTCCAGTGATCAGCAACGAAGAAGACGTTGATTATCTGGCCAATGACTGCCATGAAACCGTACAGACCGCCGATCAGTAGCACAGCCTGGCCCTCATATCCAAGGGAGTTGTACATGACGGACTGGTAGTTCTGGATGATGTTGGACCCCGACAGTTTCATCATGTTGACCGTCAAGCAAGCCAGCAGAGTTCTGCGGATGTATTGTCGAGTAAACAGATTCCAGAAGTTGGACATTTTCCTTTTGTTGGCTTCGAGTTGAATTTGGCTGATCATCTCGGCGAATTCTTGCTCTATTGTTTCTGCACCACGGTGGACGTGAAGAGAGTACATGACCTTCTTGGCGTCGTCGTATCGTTCTTTCATGGCCACTATCAGATTTTAATTAAGAGTCAGACCAGACCTACGAGCACCTGTCATCACTAGCGTGATTTAAATAGAGAACCTAGGGACTTACACCATCGTGGAGAGTAAGGCAGGAAGAATGTCATGATCGCGAGGCAAAGTGCAGGCGGGATTTGCGTGGCGAGAGGGATGCGCCACTGCAATTCACCAGCTGCAAACGAGCCCGCATAACCGACCCACCCAGCAACGAAGAACCCTAAAGTGTTCATCAATCCTTTCAGGCCAACAAGAAATCCGCGGTTCTCCGGGGGGCTAAGCTCGGCAAGATATACTGGGGCTGTCGGATAGACCATGCCTGTCGAGAACCCCGAGAAGGCACGGCCTATGATCATCATCGCCGGATTAACGGCGGCGGTCTGCAGCACGGCTCCTGCAACACTGACACAAGCTCCGAAGAGTAGTGTCCAGCGGCGGGACAGTTTATCCATGCAGTAGGCAGAACCGCCGCTTCCAAACGCAGACCCTGCGTAGTACCCGGATACAATGCCTGCTCGTACGGAGACATTGTCCATTGAAGGGCCGTACATATATAATTTGAAGGTGGTCTGCGCGATAGTAGAGGCAATGATGCCTGTGTCGATACCGTAGACAAAACTAGGCGTAACTTGGCATCAGTTTCTGCCCAAATTTGGGATCTCGTCTTTGAGTTCACTTACCCAGCAAGACTGATCGCTAGTCCGATGAGAATTGATCTAATCGAGTTGCCACGATGGCCAGCCCTCTGCTTCACCATCATATCGACCATTACCCCGACAACTATTAAAGAGCTTGAGGGTATGGCTCGCCAGAGCCCCGTGCCTAAAGAATACTCTGCTGGGAGCTACTTATGCCCGTGGAAAGGTCTTTGAGTAAAAAGCAGCTTATGAAAAGACAGGATCTTAAATCCAAAACAACGCATACGTAGTGCTAGTTGAAACAAGAAGGAAAGACTGCGAGATATTAGACATAACTCACGCATTTATAAAACTTCCTCAAACTGATAGCCCTCGTACGAGCAAGCGTCTCTATTGCTAGACATGTTATTGTGATAATACCGGCAAAGGCAATAGGGTGTTGGCTTCCCCCGCATGTCGTGCCGCTTCCCCACGATGGAGTGGGAGGATCTGCTCCACCCCCGCAAACTTACATGGAGCCTTGCCCGTATTAGCTAGTCAGCACGTCCCGGACTGTCTGCATAATTCTCCGAGATACTGATGATAGTCTCGCCTAATGGCAGAATTGAGTTATGCCGGAGGCAATCCCATTCGGTTTAGGTCATCCGCGGAAGAGGTGGGGCTCTCTGTAGGATCAGTTGATTTTCGTGCGAGATCAGGTCTGCGCCTGATAAACGGATTCATGGAAGTCACGAATTGAAGCCGACCTGCAACATGCTTTACATAGTCAATCCGTCCGGGAATCATGGATAAATGAGTCCTGTTCTCGAGTCGGGCTACCATGTCAGACAACCAATCACCTTTATGATTTGTCCCATCTGATCCTACTATACCTGAAGTCATTCACCATGAGGTTTAATCTGAACCTCTTCAGAGCACGCAGGGGAATTTAGCTTCATCATCAAACGCCATAGGTAGGTTCTTCAGTTTCTTGGTGCTGTATTTCACCATGAGGAAATCCTGCTCACCATGCCCGAAAGGCGTGTAGGGGTTATCCTGGCAGCCGTTTCTGAGTAGGGGAATAAAGATAACATTCGTTGTACTAGAAATTCTAACATCATAATCTCGCTTACAAGGTACGTGTAAGAATTTACAATGTTTCTACCACTTCGGAACGTTTGGAGAAAAGTCGGGCTTGAACTTTCTCATGTACGTCGTGTCATCGCGTTTCCGTAGTCCACAATCCAGGTAGAGTTGATGAAGGTGCACCAGCTTCTTCCTATCCAGCTCAACTCCAAGGCCAGGCAAAGTGGGAACGTTTAAACCGCCATCAGCCCACTTCAATGCTCCCTCGACAACAACATCCTCATCCTTTGGCTTCCACGGCCAGTGAGTATCACAGGCGTAGTCTAAGTTGGGAGTAGCCGACGCGAGATGAGTCATAGCCGCAAGTGATATGCCCAAATGGCTGTTCGAGTGCATCGAAAGACGCATTCCCCACGTCGCGCAGATGGCAGCCAGAGTCTGAGACTTTCGAAGACCACCCCAGAAGTGATGGTCGGAGAGCACCACCTGGACAGCGTTCTGAAGAATAGAGGTGGGCAGGTGAGAGAACGCGACGACTGCCATGTTTGTCGCCAACGGCATCGATGCCTCTTTGGCAACGGCAGCCATGCCTTCGATTTCGGGGGCTGGGTCTTCCAAGTATTCGACAATCCCGTCGAGCTCCCTTGCAACCCACTTTGAGGTCTCAACAGTCCAGGCGGCATTGGGATCCAGTCTCAGAGGAACACCCGGAAACGCTGCATGTAACGCCTTGATAGCTTCCACCTCCTGTACTGGCGGGTAAACTCCTCCTTTGAGCTTGATTGCCTTAAAACCGTATTCGTCAATGATTTTCTTGGCCTGCTTCACCACACCGGCAGGGTCGAGAGCCGCGCCGTACTCGTCGTCCGGCTGTCCAGGATGCCCAGCCCATTTGTAGAAGAGGTATGCCGAATACTGAACATTGTCTCTGACGCGTCCGCCGAGAAGGTCACTCACAGGGACCCCTGCGAGCTTCCCTTGGATATCGAGGCACGCAACTTCAAATGGGGAGAAGACCTTGTCTGCGACTGAGGCCGTGGTCACCATACCCGCCATACCGTCGCCGCCGGTGCTGGTGTCGCCTGTCAAGGAGTCGACGCATAGCTGGTATATCGTGTTTGTTTCATATACTGAGAGACCCTTGATTTTGTCGGCCGCAAGCTGTAGGCGGCCTAGGTGTGTCGAGTCTCCGTATGATTCACCCAATCCGTAGCCGTTATCTGTGATGACTTCGATGATGCTGCGCAGTGCAAATGGCTCATGTACACCAACACTATTGAGCAGTGGCATGTCATGGAATGCCACCGGTGTGATGACGATATCCCGAATGACTCCGCGTTGAGACATGATTTCTGATTTCAATTTTTGAGTTATCCTCTCTTGTCTTGGTAACTTGGTTCGGCTCAACTAATGGAATTTCACGATGTTTTTAACGTCGCCAACTGAACTAGACTACAGAAGCATGAGGTACAATAGTCTGATAGGTAGTCACGCGGGGTAGGATCCGTGGTATTGTGCCATTCGAAGGACAATAATCCGTATGCGGGGTGGAACGCCGTCTTTTCCGCGGATGTTGGAGAATGACCAGGATCGGCAGACATCCGACATCCGAGGAACCGGGCTTCCAAAGACGGAAAAGTGCATCCGAGCCGGACCATCTGCATTAACCGTTTGACGAACAACGAAACATTTCACATTCTCTTGCAAAGTCTATCCGAGGAAGCAATGGAAGAATCGCCGACCTCACCATCATCCCGAACTCGGCCGGCGACCGACTCCGCGGAACCAGATAGGTCGCAGAAACGAGCCCGAGCAGATTTTCCGCCTCCACGGGTCAGTAGGGCCTGCGATAGATGTAAATTGTCAGTGTCTTGTGGAAAGATGTGTTTTGTCGTACACTGGCTGATGTCTCGTATGCTGGTTCCAGGCGAAAGACACGATGCTCTGGGACATGGCCGTGCGTCTTCTGCGGGGAGTTTAAGTTGGATTGCCAATTCACCGCAGCCTATAGGCGAGGTCAGCTTCTTCCAGCTATTGATAACAATACTATGAATCTCGAAGGCCAGAGTTCTCCCGAGAATACAAACTCAAACTCTTCTAAGAAGGCCAGAGGCGGAGGAATTACCAGCGCCGCCGTTCATCGGACTTCATACACTGAGACTGCACCAATTTCCCCAAGTTTGGTTTCGGTCTCTGGAATTAATGATGAGACATCGTTCTCACTCACATCTCCGTCTTACTTGAGAGACAGCGAGATCACAGATCTTCCCCATGATGCTGTGGTGGTTGACGATGTTCCTGATCTCCCCGATACGGACTCGTTGAAAGACTCGCCAGAACCACCGCAAACCGATGAACAGGGCCACTACGTAGGACCTGCATCCGGTGTTTCGTTTCTCTCTCGAATACAAAAAAGGCTGAAAGTGCAATCCCCTGGATATTTAAACACGTCCGTCTTCAACTTTGGGGATCGTCCACTGCCCGGGCAAGATTCTTCATTTGCGATTTTACCGCCAAGACCTGTAGCAGAATCCATGGTCAAGAGGTACTTCGACTTTGCTGCAACCACACATCGCTTTCTACATCGCCCTACTATAGAGTCCTGGCTGGAGATGTTGTATGACACCAATGGGTCCATGCTTTATAAAGAGTCTGCAAGGAGTCAAACAGCACTTCTGTTCATGGTTTTCGCCCACTCGAATAATTATCAAAGTCGACAATTTACACAAAGTAAGGAATTTATCATAGAATGCGCAGAAACAAGGCAAGTAAAATTTTCAGGTTCAAGACCACGCTGAAGACTTTTGCTCATCACCTTTACCCCTTAGTGCTCGATTCTTTGCTGTGGCGGAGCACCAACTCTCAATGGAAAAGGGCGAGATCAGGCTGGCACACATTCAAGCGCGACTGGCACAGTGCTTCTATCTCCTGGCGCAATCAAGACTCAACCATTGCTGGACGCTATTTGGCATCACTGCTCAATTAGCAATGGCACTCGGCATCCATAGGAAGTCACGAGTTGACCCAAAGACATCTGATCGCCTGGACTACGTTGACTTGGAATGTCGAAAGCGTACTTTTTGGTGTGCTTACAACCTCAATACCTATCTCAGCGCTGCGTTGGGGCGGCCAATGACCTTTCATGACGAAGATATTGATCAGGCGTTGCCGCTTTGCGTTGACGACGATCAAATATACCCTGGCTATGGGACCCGGCTAATAGAAGGTAGCTCTTTACTGGCTTCGGCACCGGTCGCCCAAATCAAGTAAGTTGTTGCGATCCCATCATAAACGTAGGCTAAATCATGTCAACAGGCTTTCGAGGATAGTAGCCCGAGTTATGAGAAGTCTTTACGGCATCAAATCATGTTCTACTGAGGAGCACCTTGTATTTGCTGCAAGGTTTAACAGAGACTTATCCGAGTGGCGAGACTCGATTTCTTACCTCCTTGACACGGCTGGACCTTCAGCGTTATATGTCAAGTTGGTCCTAAGGCAGCGTGATGTTCTCAAGCTTGCTTATTGGCACGCCCAAATTCTTGTCCACAGACCTTTTCTCCTCAAGTCTCTCAGTAGCATCTTTAGCAGTGGCCGTGAAAAAGGCACTGATTATTTGCGGTTGAGGCACGAAGAAATTCGAATGAACATTCAGCTTTGCATTGACGCCGCCATAGAAATTACCAAGCACATCAATCTAATCAACAATGCTGGCGAGCTCTATAGCACGCTATTTGTAAGTTACTGCTCCAGGTTGAGAATACTTAAAGAACCAAACTCACATCAACTAGTTCATACCCTATTACGGATTCTGTGCAGTTGTAATACTCTATGTCTTTTCAATCCAGCGACGAGTCGAAACACCAGAAACCTGCTTGGACTGTTTCCGTCTAGCTTCTCGATGTCACGCGCAGATCGAGAGTATTGCAACGAATGGGTCGCTTATGCAGCGCTACGGTGTTGTCCTGCAGGAATTACGCCTCGAGGTTCTGCGGAACAACACCTATCTCGCATCAGTCTCAACTCCCAGAGCTAGAGATTGGTCGAGGACAAAAGAGATCAATGAGAGCCAGGCCGCCTTCCGCCAGAAGCCCCAATCGCATTCCAAGATTAGCGACAGCGAATCCAGACTTGTCATGGGTCGAGTTGCCGAAAGCGTTCTGCAGGATGCTGCCGCTCCGTTCCATGCGTTCGATGTCGGATTTCTCGACATGACGAATTGGGCTCAATTCGATTCTCTGGCAAGTAACATTTCCACATAACAATGCCAAACTCCAAACGGCTAACACGGGCTTTTCCTGCATCATAGGTCACAGGGGGCACGGGGACTTTTAATGCTTTGCTTCACGACGACTCCGCCAATCTTTGGGGCCATAGTAACGCCCTGGAGCTCAATCCCTGAGGTGCACCCATTCTCGAGCCGCCAGGTCTTCAACAGATTTCTAAATCAAGATCAATTTCTGGCGGCGGTATGCATGGAGGGGCTTATGTTCCGCAGAAAAGAGCAACAGATGCTTGATGGCGAGTGAACCATGCTCAATCCATGCCATCCGACCACGGAAGAAAGCATTGCAGAATATCGAGACCAACACCAAAGGTTGCTGATCTACTCTGATCAGGCCCTTGGTCTCCGCTTTTTCTAAATGGAGGCCGGGTGTCAGGCGTTCGTTGGCTCATGCGGCGTGGTGGTCGGACGAAGACCGGCCGGAGCCGAATGTCACGGGTAAAGACTTCCGGAATGGAAAATTGACTTTGAGACACACCTCGTCGTTAAGCCGCAATCGGATAGCAATAGTTCCATGGCAACTACGGAAAGGGCAAACACGAATAACTCGGGCCTAACTCCCCGAACCTGAACGCAAGAACCAGCACCTCCGATTTGTGCCAAGATGGCTACTGTGCGGTCTTTTGTTCGTGTGACAGACACTTTGACGCGAGGAATTCTTCAGACTCTTGATCAATTCTACTAGGCTTGAACAAGGGGATGAGACCCACAGTCCCCGCAAGTTGACTTGAACAAGTTCGTAGTGGGTGGTCAATAGTTTCGAGGCCTGTCTTGCACCCCATCCCCACCACGGATCGGAAGGCCGGTTGTGTCTTCTTCTTCTACCTGATAACCAAGAATTGACCGAATATCAAATGTTTTCTGTTTTGAGTTGCTGGAAAGCGGGTGTTTTAATCACAACTTCGTCAATGCATTTCCCAACATCCATGATCGTCAGTACGGCACGGCCCAGCTCGTCGGCCGGCGTTACAGGCCCAAATTTTGCCAGTCAGAAGAAGACTGTTTCCCACGTGGCCTTGATGCCATACATGCATGTTAGTCGCTTGTGGAGACGCCTTACCAATTGAACCCATGGTTTCTCTCATATGCTGATTTTGACTCTCTCAGCTGAATGGCTCGACATAGCGCGATGGACAGTGTCGTTCCAACAGTCTGGGTCGCCGTGGGTAGGACCACGAGACAATCTAGGAGAGTTTCTCAGTCGCTCGCAGGGGATATGGCACGCCAAGGTTTGCCATTGTCACCAGCAACGATTATCTTCTTCAATTGGTTCGAGGAGCCGGGGACCTCGGAGCCGAAGAACCAGCCGCCTCCAACTGCAAATGATCGCCAAGCGGAAGCTAAACGGCTCTTGCCATGTTTCTCATATCCTCTCCAATCATGACGCGCCTCGGGAATCCGGTTTAATTCCCTAGCGAGAACGTTACCTTCGAAGTGCCGGACACAACCCGGATTTCGTAGCGAACCGGCGCCTCTCATGTGATTGACCTAGGGAATCGCGCGGTCTGGGGTAAGTCCACTCTGGGGAAGAAAGGAAATGCGGGGATAGCTCAGATGCTCCTCTATGTTAGAGTGAACCCTTGGATGTGGATACGGAACGGGCATAGATACCAGAGACAGTCTGACAGACCACTCGCGCCGGCTTGGCTGCTGCACTGCTGCTCTTGGGTCAGAGTGGACTGGTTACAGCCGAGGGACTAGGAAGCGAACCATTGAGATGCCCAATGAGGGCCGTATATAAGGATGAGATCGCTTCTGTATTGATCTTCGAGGGAAGGCGGTTGATTTTCTCCTCATCAGACTCTGACGGCCTAAATCGAGCCATCCCCTCGTGTAACAAGACACCGAATTCTGCGCAGAGACTCGACCGCCAAAATGGCAGACTCAGCGAATCGGACGTATGCGATCGATGACGAGAAGCGCGATCTCGCCAGCAGCGATGTGATGGAAGACGCGCATCCCGCTGTGGTGGCAGCCGTTGCAGCGCACGAGATCGCGCACGAAGTCGACGACGGCAAGTACTCACCATGGACGAAATCCATGTTCAACCTCTACGGCGTGCTGTTTGTTGCGTACTGCTGCGGTGCCCTCAACGGCTATGTAAGCTTACTTCGACTTTCATTTGGGACAGACCTGGTCGAGCTGACAGCAAACACAAGGACGGATCACTCATGGGATCGCTCAACGGAATGAAATCTTACCAGCGAACTTTTGACATGTGAGAGCTCCTTGCTAGCAAGACTTTTCAAGTGGATTATGCTGATATAGTAGCAGGAAAACTTCAGGTTCTACGACTGGCATCGTGTTTATGATGTATAACGTCGGATCGGTCTGCGCAATCCTTTTCACAGGGCCTGTCAATGACCTTCTTGGACGACGCTGGGGCATGTTTACTGGCGCTTTGCTTATCATTGTAAGTCAATTATCCATCAATCTCTCGAGCTTTTTTTCCGAACGGGCATGTACTAATAGATGTTACAGGTTGGCACCTGCATTCAGTAAGACAAAGTTATTCATCGAGATGTTGATTCGGACGTTAACTTGCGCTTCAGGGCCACGGCGAACCACATCCCCCAGTTCCTAGGGGGACGTTTCGTCTTGGGTTTCGGTGTATCGTTTTGTTGTGTCTCTGCTCCGACCTACGTGAGCGAGCTGGCTCATCCGAAGGTATGCAGAATCTTGCACATAGGGATAGCCCAATGAGTTTCGCTGATGAGATTGAAAACAGTGGAGAGGTACCCTGACTGGACTCTACAACTGCATGTGGTAAGAGCATCTACTTGAGAGTTTCCGCATGGTGTTTCGCCCAAGCTAACAATGAGACAGGCCAGTTGGGGCTTTCATTGCCGGTTGGGTAAGCAACTACAACCTCTGATCTCTTTGACTTTCTCGTAATCAGGTACTAACTGCGAACCAACAGGTTGCCTACGGAGCTTCTTTCATCCCAGGCGACGGTGGTTGGCGACTCCCTGTTTGGTGCCAATTGGTCACTTCCGGAATCGTTGTTGCATTCGTTTTCTTCTTGCCTGAGAGTGTGAGCAATCAGCGGAACCCTATACTCTGTTTCAACAGCTGACGTGAGACTCAACAGCCCCGATGGCTCGTCGCTAATGACCGGCACGAAGAGGCAGCAAAGATCCTAACACAGCTGCACGGCGAAAGGGACCTCAATCACCCTATCGTGCAGCTTCAGATGAAGGAAATGATGGCCCAGATATCTAACGAGGCTAGTGATAAGAAGTGGTGGGATTATCATGAGTTGTGGAACACCCACTCTGCCCGGAGAAGACTTATCTGTGTACTGGGGATGGCCATCATGGGACAGGTGAGAAATTCAGTGCCCCTCAAACAAATGTTACGACCGGTCCTAATGCTGATTCATCTCAGGCCTCTGGCAACTCTCTATCAAGCTACTACCTCGTCACAATGATGAACACAGCCGGAATCACCGATGAAAAGAAGGTCCTAGCCCTCAACGCCGTCAATAGCATTCTCGGTCTTCTAGGCAGTGTTATCGGTGCCCGTCTCACCGATCGCGTCGGTCGACGACCTTTGCTCATCTACAGCATTCTCTTCTGCTCCGTCACTTTCGCCGTCATCACCGGTACATCTAAGATGGCTGTCGATGACCCGAGCAACACCAACGCCGCCAACACTACCATCGCTTTTGTCTTCCTCTTCGGTGTCGTATTTTCTCTGGGTTGGACAGCACAGCAGAGCATGTACATTGCCGAGACTCTCAGCACCTCCACCCGTGCCAAAGGGACTGCCGTCGGCAACTTTGCCTCCTCGGCTATCTCGCTTGTACTTGCTTACAGTTCTGGCCCTGCGTTTGAGAAGATCGGCTACTACTTCTACCTGGTCTTTGTCTTTTGGTGAGTTACTTCTACATTCATTGCCTCGAGTCTAAACGATGTCATCAATGCTAACAGTCATCTCTAGGGACATACTGGAGGCAATCTTCATCTTCTACTTCTTCCCGGAAACCAATCACAGGACGCTGGAAGAGCTCGAGGAGGTGTTCTCTGCACCGAACCCCGTCAAGAAGAGTTTGGAGCCTCGCACAGCATCAACTGTATTGGAGACCATGAAGGTTCCTAATGAGAAGTTTGTAGAGGCTGAAGTGAATTCCCCATCTTGGAACAAATAGATATTTAGTCGAGAACTACTCGTCCTAGCTCCTGAATGAAATCGATGATTCCTTGACTATATCGACTGTTTTCTGTCCGTGCTATCTTGATATGTATCATTCTTCTTCTAGCCCACTGCCTCAGACTAAAGGAATGAGGTACATTGACTACTTTAGCAAGTGATCCTCAGTGTTTGCCGATGAAGGCGGGCTTCGGAGCTTTAGTGGGTTGGCGGATATGCATCGGCTTTCTCGCCGAAATCGCCATTCTGCTGGGAATAACGTGCGGAGATTAAGCCCATCCCGGAAGACATCCGATCATCTAGACAGTTAGTCCTCACGAGCACAAAATGAGCACTCGTAAACTGAACTCAGTTGATCGTTGTCTCGGAGCTTCTCATGTCACCAACATTTGCTACCTCTCACTATCTCTAGCTGCACCAAGGCCTCATTGCTGGTTGACTGGCCAAGGATATTGAAAGCCCCAGCGATCTTCCTTACATTTTTATCCACGTCGCCAGGAGTCCTCTGAAACAATGTCCAGCAATACGCCCATTGTCCTCCGCCTCGGCGAGGATATCAAATACAATCATGACTACTACAAAGATGTTTTCACTGATCGATTCACCGTCGTAGCCAACGAGGAGACCGACCGAACGTCATTCATCAAAGCCCTAAAAGAAAAGAAATATGGCGACTTTTCCGCAATATTCCGCCCGCACTTCCAGAGCGGCGGCGAAATGGGCCAATGGAATGATGAACTCATCGACCTCCTGCCCTCATCAGTCCGCATCTTTGCCTCCGCGGGAGCAGGCTTCAACTGGGCCGATGTCGATGCTCTCGCCCGCCGCAAGATCTGGTACGCCAACGGTGCCGGTGCCAGTGATGAGGCCGTCTCCGACACAGGACTATTCATGATTCTTTCCGTGTTTCGCAACTTTTGGAGAGCACAGAGAGCTGCGAGAACGTGTGATCCTGAGCAGTTTCTTGCCATGCATCGGCTCGTGGGAGGAATCTCGTGGAGCCCACGCGATCATGTGCTAGGAATCGTGGGGTTGGGAAACATCAGCAAGAAGCTCGCATACAAAGCGCGGACAGCATTGGGTATGAAGATTCACTACTATGATGTCGTGCGATCACCACCGGAGGTCGAGGAAGAGTTGCAAGCGACCTTCCATCCAACACTGCACCAGCTCCTAGCGGTGTCAGACTGTGTTACGCTTCATATTCCGCTCAATGCTCACACGCAGGACTTGATCAACAAAGAAGCTTTCGCAGCTATGAAAAATGGAGCGCGGCTCATCAACACGGCACGGGGCGAAGTTGTGAACGAAGAAGCCTTGATTGGGGCTCTACAGAGCGGGAAGCTATCAGCTGCTGGGTTGGATGTTCATTACCACGAACCACAAGTCTCAAAGACATTGGCAGACATGGAGAATGTAACTCTGACGTGCCACAACGGAGGAGCAGCCATAACTACGCGGGTTAACTTTGAGCTGAATGCTATGAAGAACATTGTTGAAGTGGTTGGAAACGACGGTAGCTTGGTCGGGAAACCGTTGACGCCGGTAAATCAGAAGACATTTGAGACATCTTAATAGATCAAAAGTAGCTCTCGCGATATTCTCCAACATAAGATTTGTTTCTTCTCAATCCTGACCTTGCCTAAGGTAATGGCTCATCCAACTGACCAGACAGTAGCTGATGTTGGCATGTTTGCCGATCAACATGTCATCCCATCAACCTGCCCTCCGGCATTCTCCCCGATATTCGGAAAAGTCGGTTCAAACGTCGCATGCCGGCCCTGGGGCCTGACTACAAGGTAAAAGAAACCCCAGGGGCTATCCGTCTCCTCCCCCGCAAACCAAGAATCCGGGGCCCCGGATCAGAGGCCCTGTCACAGGGTCATCCCACCGGCATTCTCCCCGGAGCTTTAATCCCTGCGACGGCATTGGTGTCTATGTTTCTTTAAATACTATAGTTGAGTATTTCGAGCATCTTCATATCACTGTCGAAGGAAAGCCACCCGTGTTCGCTATTTCGTCTGGTCTTGTAGCTTTTATGATGTCAGAAGCAATTCAAGCACAAAAGCAAGATGCCGAGCATACAGAGAAACGTCAGACACTGTTGCCTGATGAGTTGCCGCTCCCTCAAGGGCTGGAACACATGGCCATCGACGAGCTAAGATCTCTTGAGAAGGGTCTCACACGGCGTCTTGATCTCACATTGATGCCCTCGGTGTTCATCTTATTCCTCCTGAATATCCTGTACGTCAACACATCACTTATTGGGTCTTCCTCTGCTAATGATCCCAAAGGGATAGAAACAACATAGCAAGCGCCAAGATCACAGGTCTTACAGAAACACTCAATATAACAAACGCCGAGTACAACACTTGCTTGCTGATGTTCTACGTCGGTTGTAAGTGGCGATCTTAATGCCTGGAGCCCTCAGAATTCCTTGCCGCTTACTTCACTGCCAGACTGCATCACCCAGGTTCCTTCAAATCTCATTATTGGGAAAGTCAGACCTTCTTACTACATCTGTTTAATCACTTCTTTGTGGGGAGTTCTCTCCATGTGCCAAGGCTTCACCGCCAATTTCTCTCAGCTTGCTGCTGTCCGTTTCATCCTTGGTCTGGTGGAGGCTCCCTTCCTACCTGCTGTCTTCGTTTTGATGTCCTGTTGGTATAATAGAAAGGAGCTGCCTCCAAGGATTGCTATCCTGTACGGCGGTAATATGCTTGCTACCGCATTCTCGGGACTGATTTCTGCGGGTATCACCTCGGGCATGGAAGGCAAGGCAGGAAGACCATCGTGGGTAAGTTTACAAGGCTAGAAGCATGACTCGGAATTGACATCCCATAGGAATGGCTTTTCATCATTGAAGGTGCCATGCCTGTTGTCATTGCGCTGCTCCTTCTGCCATTACTTACAGACTATCCACTCCAAAGCAAGCATCTCTTCATCTCACGAGAGCACCAACTCTACGCCGTAAGTCAGACTTATCTTCGACAGACTGCACTAAATCCGTTAATGGACTATATATAGGAGTGGAGAATCCGCAAAGAAAACGCAGGCATTGTTGACGAGGACCCGGAGTCGATCTTTTGGGGACTTAAACAAGCTCTCATCGACCCCAAGCTCTATCTCTTCATCGTTCAGCAAATGGCGTTGATTACTGCCCAAAGCTTCAATAATTTCTTCCCCTCGATTGTGGGAACCCTGGGATATGGCCAAACAAGAACACTCCTCTTGACGTCCCCGCCATACTTCTTCGCCTTCATCGTGTCACTGTGTGTATCGTTCCACGCATCGCATAAAGACGAACGTGGCTATCATATCGCTGTTCCGATGATCTTTGCCCTGCTTGGTAATCTTTTGGTATGTACATCGACAACTACTTGAATAATTCTTTCATGGAACTTAATTGTACTCTATGTAGGCCATGTTCGTGCCATCCCTCGGAGGAAGATATTTTTCCATGTTCCTCATGACCTCTGGCTCTTATGCGCCATATAACCTCTGCGTAAGCTGGCTCAGCTCTTCTCTACCACGACCTAGAGTAAAGCGTGCGGCCGCTCTCGCCATTGTCAACTTCATGGCCGCAGGCGTTGCGCACTTTTACACAAGCTACATGTTCCCTGATAGCCAGAAGCCGAGGTACTACGCCGGTGGCACGGTGATGTCCGGGGCGTGTTTGGTATGTGCCGGCGTAGCTTTGTCAATCAAGTACTACCTCAAGAAACAGAATGGGAAGTTCGAAGAAGAGGAGCGCTTGGGCGTTACGAACCATAGCCATATCAAAGGCTCAAAACTTGGGCACGGTGGTGAAGGGGTTGTCTCCTTTCGATACGTGCATTAGGTTGTTATGCTGCTCTACCATCAACTACCTACTACACATTATAAAGCTAACCTCCTTCTAAGAACATGTTTTATTCTATGTCGACGGAGGAGTCTATGATTTCCTTTAGGTAGATTTAAGTCGCTCCTTGTCGAGTGATTACCTATTTTACGGGGATGATGTGCAATCAACGAAAGGCTGTGGGTACTAAAGGGCGGCATCGGTGGGAGTTGTTGCTTGGCAGAACCAATGGGCATCGGAAAACATGATGATGACAAGAAGTACACAGCTATATATGACATGATGTAATATAGTAACAACTATCAACGTCCATAACTAATCCGTCATCGGAACAAATGTGCCCAAAAAAACCGGCGCCATGCCTTGGCAATGATCGCGAAGATAACCGTCGGCAAAACTTTTGACGATCGGCTATTATATTTAGGCTTACTTGCCAAGCGTCGATCCAACCCCACTTCTTCCTCTGGATGCCGCTTGGTGATGGTGCGGAGGAAAAGGGGAGCAAGGTGGTCCGACTTTTCCACGGCAAAGGCATGCGCGGGGCCCCAGGTTCTCTCAAGGCCGTTCGGACATGACCAACCTCCCAGAGAGCTGAGCCAAGCCCCTAAGACGATATATCGGCGTGATGAAGATGTGGAAGAAAATGGCTATCTCGCCAAGACTGTTTACTCCAGGTAGAAGTGGAGATAATGGCGTCAGGTCCAACCTTCAACGGTAATTTCAACTCTTTCTCCTCGCGTCTTCCACAGAGCTGGACGCATGTCCCCAGATCCCTTTTACAGGTCAAGCAGCGAATGGCATGCCTCAATATGTGGCCGATGAGCTCTTTCATCTAGTAATAGCCAAACGTAAAGGTTTTTACAGGGTTCACTGTCCCATACAATGGCCACGTCTGGTCGATCTACGCGCGTCAGGCCGGACCCCGGACCTTGAGAGGAGATAGCAACAGCAATCAGCGACTTCACAGTGTCTAAGTTCAAAACAGCAAGTATATAACCGCACACGATATCTTAGCATCAGCGTCTCAAGTTTCTCCTCTGCTTCATCTCCACTTACTCACTTGCGTTGAATATTAACATCATGGGTATCCAAGGTTCTTTCACGGCCCTGGTGGCAGCACTGAGCGTTAGCTCAGCTGTGGCATTCAACGTGATTCCCCGCCAAAGCAACGGCACTGGCGAAACAAGCCCGCACTTTTCGGATGTGTCCGACTACATCGATTCCATGATTGACAAGCTATGGCCAATCAACAAGGAAATCCATGACAACCCTGAGCTAGGCTATGAAGAAGTTAAAGCCCATGACCTTCTTACCTCCTTCATGGAATCTCACGAAGGGTGGAATGTTACAAGATCCATCTACAACATCAGCACAGCATTCGTCGCAGTGTTTGAAGGATCAGGTGAGGGACCTGTTGTGTCCTTCAATGCCGAGTATGGTTCGTTACTCTTGACCACGGCTACTTCGCCCCAGACTAATTGGTGTCGGTAGATGCTTTACCTGGACTGGGACACGCTTGTGGGCACAACCTCATTGCGACAGCCTCCGTCGGAGGAGCGCTTGCTGCCGCTGAGATCATGCGTGCTGAAAGCCTTCCTGGCAAAGTGATTTTGTTCGGCACTCCTGCTGAAGAGAGTAAGTGATATCTAGCGCCTAAGAGTTTTCCCGCGGAGACTCATTTAGAATGAAGGTCTTGGTGGCAAGGTCAAGCTCCTTGAAGCCGGCGCCTTCAGGGATCATAACATCGACATCTCACTCATTTCTCACCCCACCAACGGCGGCGACTCTCCGTACATGATCACCACATCGACCGACCGTTTCGAAGTAGAATACTACGGCAAGGAAGCCCACGCGGCCGCGTCTCCTTGGGAGGGAATCAACGCTCAAGACGCCCTGGTACTCGCCAACAATGCCATCGCTCTCCTCCGTCAGCAGACGCGATCGACCGACAAGATTCATGGTATCATTACCTCCGCAGGAACACGCATCAATGTCATCCCCGCGCTCGCTCAAGCGTCTTTTCAAATCCGATCCGCCGAGGACGAGGCCCTGGAAGAATGGACTGAGCGCATCATCAAGTGCTGGGAAGCCGGTGCCCTGGCCACAGGCGCTGAGCTCAACGTTACCAAGCGCCCATACGGCTACTCCAACATGATATCCAACGACGTTCTCGCCAGCTCCTGGTCAAAGTACTTCACCGAACTTGGCGGCAAAGTCCCCAACGCCGAGGTTGATAAGCTGCGCGAACCGAGTGGTAGCACCGATCAGGGAAATGTTAGCAAGGACTTCCCCACGATCAGCCCTTACTTTGGAATTACGAACGAGAATGGCAGCACCCCATCTGGCGGTCCTCATACTGCTGCTTTTGAAGTTGCCGCTGGCAGTAGGGCTGCATTCGACAAGGCTATAATGGTCGCGAAGAGCATGGCTGGTGTTGCTGTTGATGTCCTGACTGTTGACGGCATGCTCGAACTGATCAAGGAGGAATTCGAGGCTACACAAACAAATCGCAGAAGACGTAGGTCATACCATTAAGCCTACAGCGTGGTCTTCTGGATGCGTCAACAAGTTCTGAGTAGCCACAGAGTACAAAAGTAGCTAGAGTCATTTTGCCTAAACTGAATCCAAGACCTTGATATCGTGAAGTCCTCTCAATCCGTCTTCTGCACAATTTCTGTGCGGACAAATATTTTATCTGTCGACCCGTCATCTCTCAAAACACGATCACCCTGCGCTTCGCCAAACTCGGAACGCCTATGACTCGCTTTCCTTCCCCCAAGCGCCTTTGTGCCTGTTTCTCTATGCATATCGTCCATCTCAAGGTTCTCCTCCGAGTCTGTCATGACCATGAAACCATCAGCCCCTCGAGAGTGAGGTTTCGAGGCTGAGATAAATGTACGCGGTCCGGTCGCCCCAGACTTGCCACTTTTGTAGTATTTCGCGTGAGGATCGGTTCGGTCTGCACTTGATCGAAGGGTACTGATGAAGCGGCCAAAGATGCGATCGAATACTGGCCGGAGAATCGGTGACGAGGAGACCATGAGGGCGACGCCCATTTCAGCTGAGCTCCATACCATGGCGTTTGGGGATGTGTAAGAGAAGTCAAGAAAGTCAACGCTAAATACCGAAGCGAGCCGCAGGGCTCCGAAGACGATCGTCCTATGGTAAATCCTTCTCGTCAGAACTTGTCGAAACGGGAAGGGCTTCAGTGCAAAGGCGCCAATTTGCTAGCTCAGGCGTTCACTCACAAAATGCCAGCTCCGAAGATGCCTATGAGGGCGATTCGATGTGCGCTAGAAACTTGGAGCTTCAGAACCATCGGGATGGGCAAAAATGAAGATGATTAGATCGACAATGACATCGACCACGCCCACAGCAGCGAAAGCTGTAATTTGATCACCACAGACCCCCCCGGAAATCGTCGGATTCCATTGCATCGCGATTGGTCTGCAGATAAGCAAGCCGATGAGAATCGTCATCAAAGTCCAGGCAATGCACATGCCCATGGTTGCCCAGGCTGCAATCTGTAGGCCACGATCCGGTTAATTTACTCACAGATGCCATCGAGAGAGGCCACTTTACCGCTGATCTTACCTTGAAGGGACGGACAAAGAAAATGCGTTGAAGCATCCAACAGATGCTGATCTTGAGGGATCCAAGAGACACAGCGTAGACCACCTGACTAGCGTATCCAAACTTCATCAACTTCTCAATATGCCACTGCTGGAGCTCTGAGACGTGATGACCTGCACCACCAAGGAAAAGCACTGATCATTGATCCATGTCGTTAGTCCAGCATCGAGAACAATGCAGCACGCTTCCAAAAGCCAAAGAGTAGGACCACTGAGTAAATGCTGTACTTACTCATGAAGTGCAGAACTACAAAGGCGTAGAACAGTATCTGACGGACTTATGATCAGTCGAGTGCCCAAATTTTGCACGGATTCGTCCTCGTATCATACCAATGCCACCATGTACAAGCTGTCGTCGACTCCAAAAGGAACGCGGCGCATCTTTCGGGAGTACAGGCGCAGTCCTGTCCATACTGTTACGAGAGTCACCAACACAATGTTGGTATAAATCACCTGTACAGCATTTGGGTTTGCTGCCAGCGGTACAATCGTAGTCGTGATTCGAGAAAGATTCCAATCGATAGTCATTGTTGTCGCGCTCTGAAAACTGCTGTGTTTGCAGCACTTGTGTGGTTCGCGGGGCGGCTATGATTGGGTTTATTTCTCAAGAAGAATTCGGCTTCAAACATGGACAGACTTGACAAAGAACGGCTGGTGTGGGTACTAGGATTACGTCTTATTCTGCAAATCTTTACGGCACAGCTATCTTCATTGAAACTTGCATGACTCCATCTCGGCGGCCGACGAATGCAGACGGTGCAGGGAGTCAGGGGCGCGTCTGCATTCAGACGTTAACCCTGGAGATTCTGGCCAAGTCTTCAGATCCTTACTATCTTGCATAGCTTCCTTTGCTCTACTTGACCGCGTGGAGTTGATGAAAACGTGACAGGGCTTCAGGTTTAAATCAGGTGCTTGTCATATCCCCTCTATTCCATTTCGGGCAGGTCGCCATACTTATGTAAATTGACGGCAGTATTACTTCGTACAAGCAGTACACCATATTGCTTTTCACAACACATCGCGCAGATTCTCATTACCGAGACAGATTAACCAGTCGCTCACCAAGCCTCGGCTTACTTTATGCATGTATCTAGGCAGTTGGATATGAGCCATCATTGAGTTTCGCACGAGACATGGACTTGCACCTGGACGCCGTTGGGACTTTGTAACTTTCCCGCACACCAATGCCATCAATATACCATATCTCTACCCAACTGGAGATGCTTGTTCAACATCGCAAGTCTAGGAAGTACCGGAGACGTGGGTTCTCTGACGATCAGCAAGCCACGTACCCGGTAATACAGACATCTGCATACGGGAGGCGCGCGTTGCGGCGCGGTCAGTTTGCGCGACACCTCGTGCTTCCTGTGGAAACCGACAAGATTCCAGGTTGCAGAGCTGGGGGTGTGCTCTACCAGTCTTTGTTCTCAGACACAATGGCGAAGCGCTAGCCGCCCCGGATTGATACCCTCCAGTCCTCACTTAGTCAATTAACTGATATTGTGATGGATGCTCTTGGTATTCTGTGCCTCTCGCTGACTGGCAACGAGACTTACCTCAGGTTAGCATGGCAAAGTCCAGTATGTACTCTGAGCACTCTTGTTTTCCTTCCGTGTATATTAGGGCAGCTTGTACAACTGCCTGAGTCAGGGCACAGGAACTGTGCAGAATTACGCTCTCCTTGTGTTGACAACAGAGATTTAATCTGCATTATGCCATGAATAATAATTGGGTAGCAAATTTTTGAGGAGGACAGCTCAGTAATTGAATGCGATATGTCGGCCGGCGGATCTTGCTCGGCTTCAAAAAATCGATACTCAAGCCTGTCAGTCACTATCATGGACTTTCTCCCACCAAATAACGGGAACATTTCCCACATCGCTCGCCTGGGTATTGCTTCTCATCCTGGAAAGATCGTACGACTAACGATATTTCATAGACCTCTTCGGCTAGTAGGAATTTGTTCACTCGAAGCCCTGCTTTGTCTTGGTGTTGCGCAATTTTTGAGGTCCCTTGTCGCCAAGCGGGCCTTGTGGGCTGGGCTATGTTGGACCTCGAACCGTTCATCATTCTTGAGCGCGGAACAAGGTGGATGCTCCCGGAGACCAAGGGTCTTTTTGCCATCCTGGCTAGGATGGGGAAGGGGTTTTGACTGAATCAGCCCCCGCGAGTCGCGACAAAGGGTCAATGTCTCCTACGCTTTACCGCCCTTCAGCAATATTCAGAATAGACTGGAGAAGATACCGGTAGGCACCCTTTCGACTACCAGTAAAGTTCAAGCTCGTGGCTCGCTCTTAAATGTCATTAGCGCAAATTTGCATGTACATCAAGTGCGCATAAGGCAAACTCCAATCTACTCATGTTCTGGCGATGATAAAGATACTTCAACGGGTAGATTCCTTGTGTCGTAAATATCGTTGTTCTTGTCAACCAACAAACTTCTTCATCCGCTCATATAAATATCCCTGTCTCTAAAAACTGCCAAGCCAACTAGCAGGGATCACATTCCATATTTTATGCGGTTGGAGAGAACCTGCACTTGAGCCTTGAAGACATCAAGGGTTACGTTCGGACATGATTCCCGACCGGTCTTGAGTTCATTGATCTTGATGCACATACATGTCAACATTTTGTTAGGATTCTGCAACGCAGCCTTGCATCGGTTGTACACATCTCTGAAGGGGATCACTGCAGGAGCATGACACTCTAAGTTGAGCATGGCCTTGCGTGTACACAGTAATACAATGCGCCAAAGAGGATGGGTGAGGTTGAACATGCCCAGGAAGCGGAGGCATGCAGTCCACGCACCTCAGTGGAACGACGTAACCGGTCGTGGGTATTTCCCGAATATCAACATTGGGAAATCATGGCCGACATTATCTCCCAGGACCTGAGCAAGCGTGTTCCTACTTGCGTTTGCATATAAACCTAAAGCGACTTCGCTACACATGCATTCCTTTGGTGATCTTCGAGGCCCTTTCGCTTGGTCCAGACCAACCCCTAGAGTCACTCTTCGTTCTCTCCCCTCCTCGCTCCCTACCAATCATACGTCTTGCTATTAGCGACTCAAAGCCAAGATGCTATCAACTGTTTGGGACTACGTCGTGGTTGGCGGTGGCCTTGCGGGCTCCGTTATCTCAAGCCGTATGTTGGAGTACAATAGTTCTCTCAACATTCTCCTCATCGAGGCCGGCGAAGACACCCGGTCGCGAACCGACATTCTTTACACCAACGCCACAAACCTCATGGGTGGCGAGCTCGACTGGCAGTACCCTACCAAGCCTGTCTCCGCGCTCAACGGCCGTAGTCTCGTCTACAACCAAGGCAAAGGCCTAGGCGGCGGTGCCGCGATCAACTCTTGTAAGCAGCCAGTGAAATTTCCCTGAGAATGAAGTCAGGTATTGACAGTGGTTAGGCGGCTACACTCGCGGCCCCAAGGTGGACTATGATGAGTGGGCTGAAATCGTAGGTGATTCGCGATGGAGCTACGACAGCCAGCTGCCCTGGATGAAGAAGGCCGAGGACTGGTTTAGCACCAATAGCACCGCTCGGCATGGCAATGGAGGTCCACTCCATGTTGCTTCCGTCACGTCCACAGGCCGGTCATACCCTCTCCGTGATGATGTCGCAGGAGCTTGGCAAGAACTTGGGATCACGGGCTTGCCCAACCTCGACAGCAACGCCGGCGAGAACTTGGGTCGTGCTGAGCTCACCGAGACCAGACGCAGAGGTCTTCGTGAACTTACTCCGGTAATCTACCCCCTTGATGGCATCACAGTCTTAACCGACACTCTTGTTGAGAAAATCATCCTTGCCAAGAATTGCAGCGACGGAGAGCTGAGGGCAACCGGTGTCCAGCTTGCCAATGGTACCCAGATTTCTTCCAAGAATGTGATCTCGGCGGCCGGAGCATACCGCTCTCCACAGTTGCTCATGCTCTCTGGTATCGGCGACTCTGAAGAGCTGCTAAAGCACAACATCTCCGTCAGGCTCGACCTTCCTGAAGTCGGAAAGAACCTCATGGACCACATGTCATTTTATCAGTTCTGGAAGCTCAAGGATCCTGAGAAAGGTCTTGCGCTTGGCTCCGATAACCCATTGTTCTCACAACCCGAGTTTGCTACTGGCTACCCGATCGACTGGGTTGTGTCTACCGATGTTGACAAGACTGGCCTTGCCGCCGCCATCGCCAAGGACGAGGGTGCTGTACCAGATGCCGCAACTCACTCTCTCCTGAAGACAGGCCGGGGTTTCCTCGAGAACTTCATCATTTACCAAGCCTACAGCGCCTCCAACCCTACTGTTCCTTTGGATGGATCGCACATCTACACCAATGTAGTCTCTTTCCTGCCCACCTCCCATGGGACCGTCGGTCTCGAATCCTCCAATCCCACAATCGGACCGGTCATCAACCTCAACTACCTTGAATCCGAGGTTGACCGCTACGTCTACCGTGAGGGTATCCGCCAAATGACCAAAGTGATGCTGAACACCACTTTTGGCAAGGACTTCATCGCTGGCGAAACTGCGCCAGATGCCTTTGAGCCCGTGTCACTTGATGACACTGACGATTATCTTAACTCTCGCTTGGCAGCAGGAGGTGTCACAACGTGGCATCCCCATGGTACATGTTCCATGGGCAAGGTGGTTGACTCCGAGTTTGAGGTGAAAGGTGTGAAGGGTCTGCGTGTGGTGGATGCCTCAGTGCTGCCTGTGCCCATGGCTGCGCATCTTATGGCTCCGTTGTATGCTATGGCTGAGCAGGCAGCTGCTATAATCACTGGCAATGCGTAGAAGCTTTGACATAGACATTTGATGTAAGCTTAGGTCAGAAACACTATCGGACTTCTCTGCATCATCGTCACTTGCGTGTCTGTGCATGATTAGGCCTATATGACTCATTTATGCGGAATTCATTCTGGAATCCCCCGGAAGGGAGCATGTCACTCATTCCTGAGTGTGGGTCATCATATCTCTATGACCTATCTCTCAGATTCCCTCCAGACCGTGCCAGAACTTAGAATCTCTCGGTTAACGACCGTTCTAGAACCAATGGAAAACAGCTCTGACTTCTCGCAAGTTCAAGTTTTCTCACTAGATCAGAAATCGGTATCTTTCCTCCTCTCATGTATCAGCAAAAGGCTACAGAAGAGTCTGTAGACGTGCCCAACACATTAACACCTTGAGGGCAAATGATACGCTAATCCAGTCCGACTTTATTTACATTCACTTTCTCAAAAGTCAAAGACGATTCACGTCTAGACAGACTGTAGATGGATTTATTGGCTCCTTCTAGGATTTGATGAGCAAAGTTTTGTATGATCGCGGCACATCAATTGATGGGACGTTTATGGTGTTTTATTTTTGAAGTTAGCTTAAGACCAACTTAACTTGTTATGACTGCATTGTACCAATAATCTTTCCCGGTGCCCCAGTGCTTTCTAGTTTTTCACTACCAGATTGCGCCCCGGCAGCATTTTGTGCGTTCTTCTGCTGAAGTTTCTTTTTAGCATCGTCACATTTCTTGGTGTATACGATCCTGTCATTGGCCTCCGATAGCTTTTGAGGAGTGGCTTTATTGTGAGTGACACGTCGCTTTTCTGATTGATCTGCTTTACTTCCCTCGTGATGCCCATAGCCGGCACCCCCATGACGACCACCCTGTATGGATGTATCAGCGGTCTGGGCGCGGCGATTACCCCTGGTACCAATCCCAAAGTCAGGAGTGCCGTTGACATCTCCGGCATTGGTGCCACCGGTGTAGGAAATATCGTATGTCTCGGGAGTTTCGCCGTGGACTACCTCGAATGAGAACAATTGCGATGACATTTTTGCTCGCGGTCTCAAGGTTTTCCCTCGTCGCATGGAAATGACAGTGAGCAAAGTGATTTGTATTTTCTGAGGTCTTGATGTTGTTCTTCCTGACTGTACAAAGTCCCGATGAGATGAGACTGGTTTTCATGTGGTGGACGGTAGAGTGGTTGAGTTCGTTTCGTGTCGACTTGGTGTGCAGAACATCGTCCAGAGCCGAGCATACGCACGCGTCTTACGTATCACCCCCGGTATGAACCACTTGGTGTTGTTCAGTTTATCTTTGTTGAGTTGGTGCAGTCAGCAGATGTGCCTCATCGGCTTGCTGCATCGTAGACTGTTTCGAACAGTGGTTCGGTAACACAGCGTCTCCGAACGGATCAAAAGTTGAAACTTGTTGTATATCGTTACGGTAAAACGTGGCGGCTAGGGAATTAAGCTGCTCTGTGTTGATTGGTTCGCTGATTGGGTCAAACGTTGAGGAATCGGACAAGCAAAAAGTTGACGTTTCCCGGATTTATCTGGCTTGCCTTCTTTCAAGCAAAAGTAGGGAACTTGACTGACGCTGGATGGGATACCTAGTTCGCAATCGGCCAGGCACTATCAGGCAAATCAATGTAAGACATGAAGAGTACTTGTTAAGGAAGCTAGACTAGCCAAACTCAAAACTAGCAGATAACCACTCCATTGTAACGCTCAGAGAATCTCCGTACGTATCGCTTCTCTTTTAGTCATCAACTTCCATGACCGATTCAGCAGTTGATCCAACTATTGACATTGGCGATCCAGCGGTTGTTCCAGCGGTTGTTCCAGCAGTTGGTTCAGCAGTGGGCCCAGTAGATGACCCAGTAGTTTTAAGTGCCTCCTGCAACAGTTTCTTTACGATCCTGTGCCTTTTCGCCCCAGAACTCATTCTCCCTTTCCTCGTAATACAAGTGCGTAAACACCTGAGTATCGTCGGGAGTGTGAGGTATCCGTTTGGAAATGTCTTTGTTGCTCCCACTGTATTGGCCACTACCAGTGCCTGCAGAATTGACTCTCTTATGGGCTGCGGAGTTGGGACCCTCCGCACCGGCGTGGCGGCCGCCTTGGATACCAGCAGACATTTTGCTAGGGCCTTTGGGCTCTCCGGCATTGGGGCCAACGTCTTGTCCATCAAGCCATAGTCCCCCGGGGAGTAGTGGTTCATACTGCTTAGTTCGAGAATAATGTCGCTTGCGACTGATCAGGATCGACTGGGGATGGGGCTTCGTCAAATGAATTTGACATGGTGATTTGAATAAGTTTAGATGTATCCGTGCACGTCTGCAGATATCATTGCGAGATCGGGGGGGGGTTATTCTGGTGGACGGTACCTAGGTCGCTTGAGCTTTCTTCCACATAGTATTGTGCAGAGTCGGGTGTCCGCAACGCCTTCTTTTACAGATCGAAATAAGCCCCAGCATCAACTATCAGGATCTTTCTGAAGATATTCGACAATTCCCGAATCCATCCCATGTCTGATGTTGTCGGCAGATGTGCCGCCACAGGCTTGGCGCCTCTTTCTTGTCGCGAACAGCGATTGGGTGACACAGCATCTCTAAGCGGGATAGGAATGTGCTGTCCAAAAGGACGGTATAGTGTGGCGGCCAAGAGTGACCTAGGCACTCTTATTCAATGTGACTACCAATTCAACTGGTCTTTGAATGACCCGGCGGTAAACACTCATCGTCCCTTCCGAAGACCGTTCAAACGCAGGCGGGCCGCAGTATCAAACGATCTTCGCAAAAGAACGTGCATGTGTCAGAGTGACTCGGGTGACAGGTAGGGGAAATCATCAGCAAACAAACAGTCATCCGCCCCCCGCACCTACTCCCCCTCATATGAGAGCGTAATAGATGGAGTCAACAGGTCAAAGGCTACATCTATGATAGCAGGGCGTGATGGATGGGAGGGAGTGAATAAGAATAGATTCATGTTCGGTTCTGGATCTCCCAATCCCACGACAAAGCGCACTGTAAGTCTGTTCTCGGTCAAAGTCTGCAACGACGGGTCTTGTTCGTTTTGTGATCACCAGTATGGGATTCAAAGCTTGTTGGCAAAAGATAGAATCTATGAAAAAACCTCAACAAAGCACTAGATGCGTGTACAAGTACCACCAGCCGTCACATGTTGTACGATATACGCCCCTAAAAGGCTCTGCATTCAATCAGGCCCTTCTCATAGTTGTTGTAGACGACTCCGTCACAAGCCAAGAACCCCATGGCAGCAAGTGCAGCGGTAGTACCTCCGCCGATGGCACCGATGCCAAGAGCCGCAATACCGCACTCCATGACCTCAAAGACAGCTGATCCGACAAGGGTGTCCATACACTTGTTGCACTCCGTGGCGGGCTGCTTCACGCACTGCCTTTCCTGGGCCTCACGGAGACGGCGCCTGCGGATGTTGCCGACTGATCCGGAGCGTGCCGTGTTGAGGATGCTCTCGGCGCGGACCAGATTCTGAGTCTCCATAGCGCCGGCAACTTGTCGGTCCTGCAAAGTGTTGGCGTACACAGCGGGGTCGATGGCTGTTGCAGTGGTGAGGAGGCTGCTCAGAAAGACGGTGGTGATGGTGGTGAACTTCATATTGGCGGAATGTAGGACTTGAGGAGTTGCTAAAGCGAGTGGTGTGTAAAAGAAGGTGGTCTGAAGTTTACAGGACTGGAAAAGGAGTGTAGAGTGATGGAGAAGTGATTGGTTTGAATGATGATATGACTGGACGAAGGGTGGATGAGGGAGTATTTATGTGAATTTCAAAGGCCGCTATTGTTGACAACCCTGCTCATGTTGGATGAGTCGACTCTCCAGCATTCTCTTGGGGCTGAGATTAAATCCAAGGTATGATTTGCGAAAGACTCGCAAGTTAGACAATCCGTCACGACTTTTTTCAAATCCCGAGTTGCGCGGACATTCAGAAGAGATCCGAGACCGAAAACTCACGATCCAGAATTGCACTCTTGGCATTTTCATGGCTTGGAGACAGTTTGAAGCTATCACGAGTGCATCAAAGAGTCTTTGATACTCGCCTCCATATTACCTGTCTCTATTATAGTTTCTGACCAGAGTGTTTCCTCAAGATTGGTGCCTAGCCAGGCGTTATACGAAAACGAGCTCAGATGAATGAATTACATGTAGTCTTTACGGCTTTTGAATACACTGAGGGGAGCTTCATATAAAGGGGCTTGGCACGTGGCTCATTGCGCCTTACAGCGCCCATTTGCACCGTAACAGCAGTGCATGCGGAGAAAAGCAGCATCTGGCCGTTCCCGACGAGCGCCAGCTTTTGGTCCGTGGGTGGTGATCCGGCACAGATCCGAAGAGGTCTAGGCCTGCTTTTTTCCGACCCAGAGGTTTGGATTGTCAGGTTAAGCCTGGGACGAATAACGTTAATATGGTTTAGCGTGGGCAGACGAGTCATCTCCGGGCAGTTTTATCCAAACTCAGTGGTTTTGCCAACGTTGACCTTGCCCGAAAGGACAGCAACCATCTATAATTGACACAACTATGATTTGGTCCGAACTTACTGCGTATGCGGGTTCTACGCGATTTAACCCTCTTCCATCTGAGCTCGATGCATAATCGCCAAGATTCTGAACTCAGCCTCAAGAGTCTGTGAAGGCATGTCGACGAGACTCTTGGCAATGATCTCTTCAATCCCTAAGGTTCAATTCTCTCAATGAGGAACCTGGGCTTTGTGATGACTGATTCGTTTTCGCGGAATCATGTTGTCGACAAGTTAGTTGAGCTGGACTTCTCCGGCTGAGAACTCCCCGTGCCGAAGAATTTCAATGGCACGACAGCAATCCAAAGACAACACGAGATGCTTCTCAAATCTATAAAAGATCAGTGAATCCCATGGGTGATACCTTCTTTTTTTTTTCTCATCATCACACACTTCATTCAGTCTCTTCAACAACAATCATCACAATCTTTCGGCTTCAAGCTCTCCAATCTTTACATCCCTTACTTTTTGCCAACTCAACAAGTTTCACCAACTTCCCAACTTTTCAAATCTTTCAAAATGTTCTCCAAGACCATCATCGCTGTTCTCTTCGCCTCCGTCGCTGTCTTCGCGGCCCCTGTTGAGACTTCCAGCAAGGAAGTCGAAGGAAGACAGATCAACCAGAGCGTCACCCTTTGCAGCGACAAGGGCATGGCTGATTGCGACACTGTCAACTTCAACTTTGGATTCTGCGGTAAGTTTTTTTCAAGTCCTCGTTCTCCTTTCGATCTATCCAGCTGACATTCCCTAGTCTCTCCCATCGGAAGACTGAACGACAAGGTCAGCTCTCTCAACGCTAACGGCTACAACTGCATCTTCTACAAGTAAGCTTAAAGACATATCCATCATTTTATTACATCAGAGTTCTAATAGACTTGCCACAGTGGCACCGGATGCCGCAACGGTGGCGGTCAGATCGCCACCACTGGCGAGGTCACCGACATCCGCAGCCACCCCTCGTTCAGCACCATGAACGACGATGTCTCTTCCTTCCTGTGCAACATCTAAGGCCTTGACTGTCTTGATGCTAAGGCTTTCTTGCCAGCCTGAGCATCATAGTGCATTCTCCAGCACAACTTGTCGCTTGCCAGCATCGCATCAATCTGCTCTCACCTGGAACGGTGGTCGGGAATGCACGGGATGGGCTGTTGTTTCTGGGGTCTAGCAAGAGTTTCCTAGGTCTTCATTGTCTCTGATTAGCTCTTTAGCAATTGATATGTCGCTCTGATCCCTTGCATACTTCAACTGAATCGACCAGCTCTATGCGTTTGATATAGTGCATTTCTTAAGCCATTACCATGCTTCTAGTACATGCGATAGAAATCACGTGAGAATCCGTCTGGCCTTCTTGCTGTTTCACCGAAATTAGAAAGTGATCAAGATACCCAGGCAGAATACCCTCATCGAGGCAAAGAGAGCCCTCGATCGTTGGTGAAATTCACAGGTGGGCATCAGGTTTCGTACAATTGGACCAATTTGGGGATGCTGCGCTCAAGGTTCTGACTATTCCCCGACAAAGCTCATCTTTTCTCAGAAAGGTATGAACCAGCTCTGGAGTCAAAATCCCACATCGGTTGCCTGCTGCTCTCTTCGTTGGGCAACCCTACTACCGAGAACATCTCAGTAGGAGAATTTTCTGACTCGTCTCGAGCATTCGTTTCGAGAGTGGAGAGTCACCCATGTTTTCGCAGAACTAGCTTCGGGTCGTAGCCAGATGAGATTACCAGTGAAACTACATCTTAAGTCGATGGCCCTGTACGTATTATGACTTTGCAACTTGGTCATGCTCGTGGATCTGTAAAGTCTTAAAAAAAGAGAAGTATGAAGAATTTCTGCCATCTTCTCGTGCACAGACCATTGGCAGAGGGGCTTCAGACGCGGTCACGAAAACACGGGCGACTAATGCCACACAAACAGCCGGGGGAGAAGACAGCGTTAGGTCACACGACCTCAACTCACGAAGTACAAGTACTAGCTTACTTGATAGCCGAGAGTGTAGTTAGATCTGATTAAAGGCAAGAGCTTGAACCCAAGATCCTAACAAAAAGGCGTTTGGTGGGGTGGGTGTTTGCTGCTTAGTAAGCCCGAAAGCTGCCTTCACCGGAAATCGGAACACACAAGTCGCTCTTCTCGGTCTGAAGAACACGTTCCTAGGGCAGCGGCACCACCGAGTTTCTCATGTTCTCAGACCAAATGGGCAAGACAAGTATGGAAAACAAATCTGTCGTTGCGGCACTTTCCGGATAAGACGCGTCGTCCGTTTTACGCCAAGCGCAAGTAAGGCCGTCCAACCTTGCCCGTGCTGAAGAGGCAATGTCGAAGGCTTCAATCCTTCACGGTGAGATTTCGAGATCGTCAGATGCCACTTGAGGGTCAGACGCCCACATACGGCTGAAAACCACGCCATCCTTGCCTCCATGTGGCGAAGCCCACCCGAAAGCCGAGACTTTCAAGTAGCTTGATGGAACTTCCCCCGGATGGAATCACAAGTCGTCGTCTGCATTCGGTCAAAACTGCCCCCAACGGCTTCCTCACTGGCCCAAAGAGCTGGAGGTGTGGAGAATCTCGAATGCACGAATTCCTCACTGTGAGAAAATTCTCACTCGCTTGAGACTCCACTTCGCATCAACCCCGCTGTGGATTGAAAGCAGAGCGTTGACAGGTCGTCGAGCTGAACGGGACGGTTCGGACTAGCATATCCCTGACTCGTAAAGGGGTTTTCTAGCCTTTTTAATCTTATCAGATGCATCTCCGAGCGCCTTCATGGTGCTCGGCGCACTAGTCTAGAGCCAAAAAAAAAAACCTTGAATGTGAGAGGAAAAGTCCTCTGATGGGATTCCCCATCGTCCGAGTTGCCTTCTTCCAAGCCAAGTCTTACGTTTCTCGCCGTGCCGTCTCGATCCGACCTCGGGTTTGCGAACCAACACAGTTCGGCTACCGTCCGACATAGGTTGGATAAATAGCAAGACGGGCGCTGCCTCGATGGTTGCTCTCCCTTCGCTCCCTTGTCCTTCTCACCTATCATTCGTGCATTAGACTGCTACCGAGAGACCGGTACTATCAAACGACAATGGCGGCCCGCGCAGATCTCGAGTCCCACCGGGAGAAACACCCCGAAGACCTCGTCAACGAGGTTCCCGAGTCATCATCCTCTGACTCGGAAGACGACCTCAAGCCCAATCCCCCGATGTACTGGAAGATCATCGCCGTCATTTTGATCTCCTGCATCAGCTTCGGTTCGTCATGGAGTTCGGGTATCACGGGCGCCTTGAAGTCGACGCTCAAAAAAGAGCTCGATATCAACAACAAGCAGTTCTCGCTGCTTGAAGCCAGTGAAGATTTCATGGTGACTCTGCTCATTCTCACGAGTGGTATCGTGACGGACAGAATCGGCGGTGCTGGTGCCATGCTTTACGGTAAGTTTTTGCGCCTCTAAAGTTGTCAGACATTGGCAACTAACGTACAGGCAGGCAACGTCATCTACTCCATCGGCTCCATCATCGTCGCTGCCGCAGCTCAGACCCGGGACTTCAAGCTCATGATTGGCGGCCGAGTTATCCTTGCCCTCGGTGACATCGCAACCCAGGTCGCCCAGTACAAGGTCTTTAGTTCCTGGTTCTCGCCCAACAACGGTTTCGCCTCCACCCTCGGTCTTGAACTTGGCATCAAGAAAATCGGCGGCTTCGTCGGCAAGTCTTCAGCCAACATTATTGCGAAGAACACGGGCAACTTCGCATGGGTCTTCTGGATCGCCGTCTTCATGAACGTCTTCACCAACATCCTCACCCTTGTCTTCTATCGCTTCAACACCATCGCTCATAAGAAGTTCGGCAACGTGACAGACCCGGCTACCGGCGAAAAGCTCACTGAGAAATCCAAGAAGTTCGAAGTCAGGAAAGTGCTGGAGCTGCCGTGGGTCTTCTGGGCCATCTTGTCGTTCTCCCTGTTCCAAACCAGCACTGCGATTGTGTTCTCGCAGAACGCCACGGAATTGGCTGAGAAGAGGTTTAAGACGGACTCTATCACTGCTGGTTGGTACTCGGCAACCTTGCAGTACGCCGGCTTCTTCTTGGTACCCTGCATTGGTGCTTTCATCGATCTCATGGGTAACCGCATCACCTTGTGTAAGTCATCAACCTACCTACGACGATCTTGCCAGTTTTTAATCCATCTTAGTGGCCATCTGCGGTACCGGAGTCTTCCTAGCCATGGCCCTCATCAACTGGGCCACGGATACCAAAGGAACTGCTGCCGCCTTTGGCATTTACGCCGTGGCGTTCACTCTGGGCCCTACCACCATCATCGACAGTATTCGTACCTCCATGTGGCATGGATCTGTCTTTGGCTCCGCTTACGCTGTCAAGATTGCCACGAATAACGCGTAAGTTCTTGGTCCATCTCGTCCTAGCCGCCCATGTCTAACAGGTAAAAGGATGAACATTATCGTCCGTGTCATCACCGGTGCCATCCAGGATGCCGACAACGACAGCTATGACCACGTTGTCATCGTGTACGCCGTTCTTGCTGCTGCTTCCGTCTTGGTCTCAATCATGCTGGGCGTCCTGTCCTGGTGGTCAATCGATCTTGGTAACCTCCAGTGGACCAGAAAGCAGCGCAGGGCCAACGGCGACTTATGGAATGAGAGAAAAAGAGCTTTCTACGAGGACAATGGAGCGCGCAACAAGCGGATCTCTATGATTTGCTTCAGCTCTCTGATTCTGTTGATTTTAGGTGCTTGGTCGGCGTACTTCTGGGGTGTCGCAACTGGCAACAACTCTTAAGAGCTACATGTACGAAGATGATGACTATGAGGCAAGAGCAGCCGAGGCATTTGTCAGTGTCCGAGATACTCAAGCGCCCACGTAATGAAACGAGGTATCCAGACAATAATGTAGGAATTTAATGAACATATGGTATAATGCCAAATTCATCAAAAGATCTGACATGCTGAAATAATCTTACCTGCGTTACCCATCGGCCATGAAGTTGAGGAAACACGGTAGTTCCACCGAACTTCTGAGCTAACCAGACTCAGCTGTGTCGCGAATCGGCACTAGCCTCAGATCCCAAGCTCCGATGATGTTTCACGACTTATCATAAGGTACGTTTTGAGTCATCGAAGTTCAATTGTAAGCTGAAGTCCTGAACACGAGATGACCCTCGTAACTCAGCAAAGGCTAAACCCAATGTGCTGAATCCGGCTTGATAACCGAGTCGGCTCCGATTAACGCTGCAGATGCATCGCCCCATTCGGGTCCACTCTGTCATCTACCCCCGCCGGGTCTACCTTATCTCCAACACAACTTCTCAAAGTTCCATTATCTCCCAGACTCCAACGCAGCCTCCAGCATATGATCAAAGTAAGGCCACGATAAAGTTAGAGCGACCAAACTCAACTTCAAGCCCTGATCACATTCCTACATTTTGTTGCTTCATCGCAAGACACCATGCCTGGTCTCGCAGTCTCGCCGGAAAACCTCCCGGTCCCTGGTCGGGACACATATTATTGGCTCGGCGAAATCAACAAGGCCAGCGCCGTCATCAACTCATCAGAAGGTCTCTTGGAACAAGATGCAGCCCGTCGCATTAGTCGTGGACTCCAGAAACTCTTAGACTCCGGCGACGAGCCCGACGCGCCGCGCCCTAGCCTTGTCATCACCTTCGAGCCTCTCCTAATCGAAGTTGCTGGGGTTGAAGCAACTCTACTGCACGCCGGCCGTTCGAGTCAAGATATGCTTGCCACAGTCTCGACTGCGATCCTTCGCGATGCAGTCCTTAAGCTAGCTTCCCAACTTCACGCGACAACAAGTCGTCTGCTCGAGATGGCGGAAACGCATGCCTCGACACCGGTTCCGAACTACACAAACGGTGTTGCAGCTCAGCCCAACTCATACGGTCACTATTTGTTAGGCCATATTGCAGGCCTTCGTCGCGACGGGGAGAGATTGCTGCAATTCTTTGCCCGCTTGGACCGATGTCCGATGGGCACGACCGTGCTCAATGGCACAAGTTGGCCTCTGAACCGGGAACGCATGGCCAAGTATCTCGGCTTTGCGCAAGTTGTCGACAATGCCTACGATGCCGCGCAAATCTCCATGGCCGAAATGCCAGTTGAGCTCGGAGGCATCGCCTCTCAGATTGCTCTTCATACCGGTGCCTACATCCAGGACGTCATGAATCAGTACGCCCAGCCAAAACCCTGGATCCTTCTTCAAGAGGGAGGTGAGAACACGTATGTCTCGAGTGCTATGCCGCAGAAGAGAAATCCTGGCCTACTGAATCACACCCGCGCCGATGCTTCCCACATTGTGACTTTGGGGGTTGGTCGTGCCATACAAGGACATAATCTCCCGCCTGGATACGGCGACGCAAAGGACCTAAATCACAATCTGGCTATTATCAACAGCACCACGAAGGTTCTCGCACAATGGCAACGCATTCTCAACGCACTTGTCATTGATGGCAAACGATCTCTGAAAGAACTGGATCTTGACTGGACTGCCTCACAAGAACTAGCCGATTTCCTTATGCGTGAGCACAGGGTGCCTTTCCGTGTTGGGCACCACTTTGCCTCAGAAACTGTCAGATATGCCAAGGCGGAAGACCTGTCCCCGAGCAACTTCCCTTATGCGAAGGCATCTAGGATATTCAAGGAAACCTTGAAGCACGCAGGCCTAGAAGATGGGTCATACCAGTTTCTGAGTGAGGCAGAATTCCAAGAAGCGCTTGATCCGGCCGGGATCATCAAGCATAGAGCCACCTCGGGAGGCCCACAGCCCAAGGAAATGGAGCGTATGATTAGCAATTCGAAGCAGGCGCTACAGGATCTGGATAATTGGATCAAGGAGCGGCAATCTCATATTGTGAGCTCCTTACAAGAATTGAACGAAGCGTTTCAACTCTTGCTAGCGTAAGGTTTTAGACCCAAACCTGATAGTGTAGGTCTTCACGTGCTAAATCATAGACCATGACTTATAATAAATCGATAGTCTTGATCAAATATGATTACCTGAGGTCGTGATTTTACATGTCAATATCGGTCCCTGAATGTGGGCACCAAGGTATGACATAAAAGTTGTGATTAGATGAAAGGCCTGGACTCTCCCATACCAGAGCAGGTGTTGTCGTCTCAATTGCAACGCAAAGCTCAGTAGACTCTGTTTTCCGGGTTTCGCCATCGAATCTCAACTTCGTGTTCATGTCCTCGCTTAGAGTTAGTCGCAAACGTCATTGAAGAGCCTTCAAACTCCATGTCATTGTCAGCACTAGTAACCCGGGGTCCTCGGCGACCCACGCGGAGCGGATGCCGGATATGTCAAATCTGGTGCGCGATAAGTGAAGTCTCATCCGCTAAGATTCCCGGGGTGGTCTCCTCAGCCGCTGATAGGCAAATGATACAATCCTTGGCATAAAGCTCTGGTGGGACTGCGTCACCGACAATTTATTGACGTTTGGGCTAGGCTGGTCTGTATCCGTACAGCCGTTGATTATTTGCTAAGCGGACGAATCCCGCCCTTTGAGCCTAGTTACCCCAGTTGAGGAATACACGATGCAACGTGCCCCTCGCTCTGGGATTTCCGAGGATCAATTACATATAATATCTAGCCCTGATTCCCGCAACATCTGGAAGTCGCAGGAGACACAACTACATTAGTCAACATGCGTTTCTCAATTGCCTCCGCTGCTTCAATGCTTGTCGGGGCCGCCATGGCTACCGCAAAGACAACCACCTACACATACGGGCCCAACGTTCGCCAGGTCTACGACGTCTATATCCCGTCGGCCGCGAACAACGAGACCGTGACGACCGAAAAGTACTGGCTCGTGTACATCCACGGAGGATTCTACCGCAACTTTGCCCAGAACGCAACGGACATCCTTCCAGCCATCGCTTCCCTCGAGGCAAACAGCTCAGACGTGCTCGCAAATCAGATCGCAGGAATCGCATCTCTAGACTACCGTCTTTCCGCACTCCCAGGCGTTCAACCCAACAACACGCCAACCAACGAGCTACAGAATGCCAGATGGCCCGATCATCTCATCGACGCCGTCGCCGCGCTCAAGGACCTCAACAAGCATTATCCGATCGATGGCAATTACATTGTCTCTGGCCACTCTGTGGGCGCCCAAATCGCCTTCTTCGCGGCTCTGGAGACTCTCGAGGACCCCGCCGTGCCCAGGCCCGCGGCTGTTTTAGGAATCAGCGGGATTTACGACTTGCCTCTGCTCCACATAACCAACCCCGAGTATGACTATCTCGTACTTAACGCCATGAGGGAAGACCAATTGGCAGAGGCCAGCCCGGCCAAGGTCGATGCTCGGAAATACACGGAACTTGACTTGAAGGCCTTTGTTTTGGCGCACAGTAGGAATGATGGACTTGTGCCTTGGGACCAGGTCGAGTCCATAGAGGCTAATCTGGACTCGCTACCTGAATTGGAGAGGAAGACACACCTGGTCGAGCTCGATGGTGCGCACAACGATATCTGGCGTGGTGGTGTGCAACTGGCCAAGGCATTCACCGAAACTTTAGCTATATTGAGGGCGGATGCATGAGGAGTCCCGCCAACAACCGCCAATGAAAGAAGACGATTTCACGCAATGTGTTTCATACTATTGTTGTCGTATCTTGCTCATGACAACTTACATGTACCAACTCTGCCTTGATATCGGACTTTCTCTCAAGGCGCTTCTCGGCACTCGGCCGTACGACATCGGCTTCCTACCGGACGAACGCTCTGTTTTCAGCAGACAAAGTGTTTATGGGAAGGTGCATGTAGGCAACCCATGAGGGGTTTCTACAATGCATTGTCTTCCACTCAATTTCAACTTGCAGCTTTGTGAAACATCTTACTCGCAGATCGGATGCTAAAGACAAGCAGTAACACAAGGCACGCCGGTATTCATGCCTTAAAATCGTCCAACGGAATAGGATCAGCGGCGGTTCTCCGCCTGTTGGTGCAGGCCAATCCGGAAACATGCCCAGTGCCGCGCAATATGGAGATGATAATTGGCTGTAGTTCCAACGGAGACGCGGAAGCAACCTTCGACGTACAGCACGGCGGCTATATGAGACAGCGGTTGCGGGTACACACTCCGGTTGGTCGATTCCACCAATATGTTGCTAACTTTATCCTTACTACCATGGGTGTCTGCTTCGTGCATGTGCCTAAGGAGCTGAGCTGCAGTGTCTCCCCAATACATTGCGGACCAGGATTCAGAAAAGCTTTGCAACTATTCGAAGACTCGGCGATAGGCTTCAATTTTCTTTCCATTGTGTTAACTCAAATCTACTTAAGTCCTCAACTAAGCACAATGGTCTCGCTTCTGTCATCTCGTCTATATCGTCTCGCTTAATCACTTCGCATGCAAATTCGATCACCTCATTATCATCACATCGTCTCAATCAGATTGTCACTGTCATATCATTCTTTTCACTTAATTATTCGTACTACCCCATCAGTCCCAAGATTTACTTCAGAACTCACGACAGTGGGACTTAATGGCTCATCTAGATTATAACAACTACCAGGTAGCATGGATTGCTCCGCTCGAGATCGAAACTCAGGCAGCCATGTGCATGCTCGATGTTCGGCACACGGGCAGGTTTCCAGTAAGACAGGGCCACGACTACAACTTCATCGCGGGTCGCATGTGCGGGCACAACGTGGTTATCGGCACCTTTCCCCTTGGACAAGAATATGGCATAGGGTCAGCAGCAGCTCTCGCTAGCCAGATGAAGATTCTCTTCCCTAAGCTCTGGTTCACATTACTTGTTGGTGTCGCAGCAGGGCTTCCAAGCGTTAAACGAGACATACGTCTTGGAGATGTACTCGTTGCACTCCCTGATGGCGAAATCCCTGCTATAGTACCATACGGACTCGGCAAAGAAACATCCGAGGGACTCAGTCTTCTTCGTGGAGGACGAAGCCAAAATCAAACGCAGGCCATTGTGGGATCTGCTATTGGAAGGATCAAGGTTTCGGATCCTGAGGGTCATATCAACGGGTTCCTGGACCACTTCAAAGCCATGAAAGACCAAAAGCACGCGAAGGGCGACTTCAAGGATCCTGGCCAACCTCAAGACGAGTTAATCGGGACGAATACGACCGGAGAGAGAGTCGTTATTCCTCGGGAGCCAAGGCCAAACAATAACGCGCGTACCAGAGTGTGGTATGGGCCGCTCGGCTCCGGTGACAAATTGATGAAGAATGCTGAGAAGAGGGACGCTTGGAGAGACCAGTACAACATAATTGGTCTAGAGATGGAGGCAGCAGGAATCATGAACCGTCTTGCTGTCGGTGTCATCAGAGGGGTATGCGATTATGGGGACGAACAGAAGAAGAAGGAGTGGCAACCTTACGCGGCTGCAATGGCTGCCGCATACGCCAAAGAAGTGTTGAAAGAGATCAGCGTTGTCGAATCCGACCCGGATCTTCATATTCGTAAGATCACTATGATACCATTAATCCATGGACGTGCGACTCATTGACTTGATAGGAACGCCTGAGGAGGCCAGGTACAATGAGCAGCCAGGATCTTTGAGCTCCAAAACCCAAGCTCGGATGCGAGAACCAGCTGTCAGAAAACCCGGCCTGCCGCCTAGTCCTGCTTCGTCGGATATCGAGATGGATTCAGACAATCAAAGCGGTGGTGAGTTTTACACGGGCACCTGACACATCCTATTACTCCGGCGCAAGCCCACTCCATAGTTATGCCAATGCGATGACTGACACATGGAGTTACTCCTATTAGGTACCCGTCTCCGAGCTCAGCGCCAGGAAGGACAAGTAGTACCAAAGATTGTGTGGCCAGAGATTCGCAATGAACGACCGGCTCTAGCGTCGAAATTTGTGAAACGAAAACAATTTCCATCATGCCTTCGGACAGACAGTCCGTTGTGGGACGCCGAGGAGAGAGAGTCCCCGATGAAGCTTCTTGTACACGGTGTAACTGGCGTTGGGAAGAGTCAAATCTGTCTGCAAGCCATTACTGAAAATGAATCCAAGTACGCTGTTTCATTCCACTTAGCGAATTGACTCTTCTGACATTCGTAACTATCAGATTCAGAGCAGTCTTCTACGTCGACGCCAGCAGTAGAAAGTCAGCGAACAGCAGCTACCTTGCCATAGCTCGAGTCAGCGGGACCTTGATAGACACGTCTGGCATCAACTCCGAAGAGGACATCTCTCAACAGCTGTCACTCACGAGGATATGGATTAGCAGCCTTGAAGAACCCTGGATTCTCTTCATCGACAACTTCGAACCCTCTTTGGCCACTGATCTCAATGACTATCTTCCTCAAAAAGGTTGTGGCGCCATTATCATCACAACCATCGACGGACAGCTCGCTCCATACTGCGATAGTCAGGAAATTATCTCCCCAATGGATCCATGGGATGCCAACGAACTGATACACAACTTCGTGAATGCCGCAAAGGACTTTAGTGAAGAAGAGTGGGTGGCGATCGACGACTTGGCCTCTCGAACACTTGGAGGGCTCCCGCTGTCCATTGTACAGGCCGGTTCTTACATTGCCATGAACCCAAACAGCCTCTTGGACTACTGCTATGACTTCGACCAATCATTTCAAACAAGCCTCGAGGACCTGCCTGACTTGCCCCCGGGAAGTGGCCAAAGCAAATCTGCTTTACACGCATTGGGCACCACCATGGCTCTTGTCGAGAACTCGCCGGAGACCATGGAGCTACTTCGGACCCTGTGCTTTTTTCACAATGAAAGCATTTCGGAGCAGATTTTTGAGAAAGCCTGGATCAACTTGACAGAATTCTCAGGAGAGTCTTCGCAGTGGGCACACTGGGCGCCCCTGGTGCCGCTTTTGAATTCCGAAAGTACTCAGTGGCGCACACCCGGTCTCCGTAAGGCGTTCAATACCCTGTGTCGGTACAGTTTGCTTGTCTGCGATGCATCGTATTCCAGCAAGTACTCGATGAACAAGCTCGTACAGAATTATTGCAGGGAGTCGCTCTCAGCAGAGGATTGGGAGAAGTATGTGTATCGAGCAACTTGTTTGTCAGCATTGGCCTTGGCCAATGAACCGATTTCCACCACTGCATCGCGGATGGATAACCCCTTGGGTGTTGATCTACAAAAATCCATGATACCCCATATGGAAGCGTTTACTTCAAATGGATTGATGAGTAGTTGGGTGAAACTCGCTGAGACTGAGAGACGCCTGGAGATCATGCTCATACTGGCAAACGCATATTCATCCACAGGTCACTTCAGAGACGCGCAGGACGTTCTGGAGAAAGCCATCGAAATCTGCGACGATCACTCGATTCCCAATACATGGACTCTGCAAGTTAATGAACAGCTCGCCGACTGCTACTTTCACACCGGCGAACACGAAGAGGCGCTGAAGTATCAACCCGGTGTCATCCAAGCGCATCAACAGTGGGAATCAGGATTCGATTATCTATGGTCAGCTCAAATCAACTATGCGGGCTCTCTATGGGCAACTGAGCAGCGGACGGAGGCATTATCCACGGCGGAAACGGCGCTTGCCACGTGTGGTTCCCACAACTTGCCCGTCGATGATGCCAAAATGGTGCGAACACGGCTTCTGGTGGCAGACTTCCTCCACGGAGCCGGGCGCCAACGTCGAGCTCTTCAACTACGGCAAGAAACCGTCCGTGATCTCCAGACAAGAGTTTCTGCCATTGCAGGAGAGCGTCTGCGTATTCTTGAAGCCAAGAGTGCGCTAGGTGACAGTTACGATTGGGACGGACAGCTTCTCAAGTCAATGTCGCTGCGACAGAAAGTCTACAAGGCAAGGCTTGAGCTTCTCGGCGTTGACCATCCCGACACCTTGCATGCATTTGACCGACTCATCGATACTAAAAGCCTTTTCTCCCACACTCAAGCAGAAAAGGAAGATGTGTGTGACCGCAGAAAAGATGCCGTGGCCTCGTGGAAGCGAGTTCGTGGAGAAGGTCATCCTCATACCAACGAAGCAAGAGCCAACTTGGGTCACAGTTACACTGCTATTTCCAAGTTTGAGGAAGCTCTCTCTGAACAGGAAGATGTTCTGGCCTTTCGCAATGCAAAAGTAACCGCTGACGCGGCTGGGACTGATGTCTATCTTGTATCCGTCGGTAACGTTGCGGACGCGCTGTGGAGAGTAGGCCATCTAGAAGAAGCTTACAGTCTTTTGATGAATGGGTTGCAAGAGGCACGCACTATGAATTACACTATGACGGACGTGGACGCCACCTTCACGCTCAGGGGCTACTTGGCAACTTTCTTCTCGCGCGAAGGCAGAGAGGACACTTTACTTAAGGCTCTCGAACTACGGGAGAACCTGCTCAGGGATCAAGGAAGCCAATATGGTGAGGAAGATGTCAGAACCCACCAAACCCAGCTCCTGTTGGCCATCGATCTCGCCAAACTGGGGATGTGCCCTCAAGCAATCCAAGTCCATGAGAAGTTGCTGGAAAGACAAAGGGCGGATCCAGGCGAAGAGAGCCAAGAAACCCTGGACAACATGAAGAAGCTTGCTTCACTGCTGAGTTCTGTCAACGGCGCACCTCAAGCAGCTGTATTGATGGATAAGGTGGTGCAGGTGGAGGCCAAACACCTCGGTCGAGGCCACCCTCGGACACAACAGACAGGAGTCCTCCTTCATCGCTATTTCCAAGAGGCTGGTGATCCCCAGGCGGCTTTTCGAGTGATGACCTGGCTGAACGCACAACCAGTCGGCAACGGAGAGTACGATGGAGACGATTCTGATCATGAGGAAGTAGACAACGTGCCTCAAGTCGGAAACAACCGCATGTTCAGTTCTCGCCACGACCCAACGAACGATCAAGACCACTAACGTTCAATTTGCAGGATTTGACACCCGTAACTAGCCCTGCGTGATCACCACCACATCAGATGCAGCTCTCGTTACGCGGAAGGTGGTTCGGTGATTCGGGTCTGGGACTTCGCACAACACGTACCAGGCCTAGAACCCGAGCCATGCCATACAAGGCGGTCAGTCTGAGTTGCTAACCGGGGTGCATCCGAGAGAACGTGGTAATGGAAGGTCGGGTTTCTTCAGTCGAGATTGAGGTTCAGGTGGCGAAGATTGCTCAGTTACTTGTGTTCCAGTTCAGTTATCTTCAATTCCATTTGTAGCCAATGTTTCGAGAGTAGTCTCCGGTGATTAGCGCAGGGATGAGCAAGTATCCCGACGGAGGTAAGTACGAGATCGTGCTGGCTCCCTCGTGACGGTTCATCTTGAGTGCTCTCCACTCGCCTGGCGATAGCTGTGGCCTCTTAGCTAACAGTGAGGCGTGGAAGGAGATGACGTCGCTCATGTTGAGCTCATCCAGGCAAACCCAACAACAGGCTAAGGCACCCTCGACTAAACTGAATATGGAGCGATGGGATCCGAATGGGGAAGTTGGTGAAAAGGTGAATGAAAGACCCGGTACCGACTTGATATCAAGACCACAGTACTAATCTTTGGTACTCACCCCTGAAGATCATTAAACTGATACAAGGCCATGTTATCATAGACGACCAGACTACCTTCGCCCTTACACATCAATCTCACTGCCCTCCCCCAGCCGCCTCCCTCTTCTCCTTCTCAAGAAACCACTCAACAGCCCTCCGAATCCCCTCACCCTGACTAACCTCCGGCTTCCACCCCAACCTCTCCTTCGCCTTATCAATAACATACCACCTACTCATCCCCGAAAACCTAACAACCTGCCTCGTCAAAGGCGGCACCTGCCCCTTGAACCAATAAACCCACTCCAAAGCCCACACATACGCCAGCGCAAACGTCATGTTAATAACCCTCACATCCTCAATCTTCGTCTCGTCCCCAGCAGCCCGCCACACGGCCCTGCTGAAATCCCAAAAGGGGACCGGTTCTCCGTTGGTGATGAAGAAGGCTTCGCCTGCGACGCCGTCTGGTGCATTCAAGAGCTTGGCGGCCGCGGCAAGGTGTGCGTCTGCGGCGTTGCCTGCGTAGGTTGTGCTAAAGAGGTTCTTGTTGGCGCCGATTTGCATCTTGTTCCGGCCGAGGCGGAGGTTGCGGAGGATGGCGGGGGTGATGTCGTTGTCGCGTTCGCCGTGGACGGCGGCGGGGCGGAGGGTGCAGGTTCGCATGCCGGAGGGGTCGTCGTATTCTAAAGTCATCTTGTCCGAGGCGGCCTTTGCGTCTCGTCAGTAAAGAACTTGGCTTGAAGCAGACATCATCATCAAGACTCACCTTGGTCTTGGGATAGGCCAATGTATCATCCCCCTCCTCAGCAATAGGCAACCTCTCATCACCCCCCTCAATATCCCGAAACATCTCCTTCTGCACCACACTTGCACTGCTCGTCGTCACAAAAGCCTTTACCCCCACCCTCTTCGCCTCATCCAGCACATGCCGCGTTCCATCGACATTGATCGCTCGCACAAACGCGTCCGACATGACTTTCCGTCCCACCGTCATCATCCCCGCGCAGTGGAATACCACCGTCGGCTTCACATCCCGAAAGACCTTTGCGACGTCGTCGAGGGATGCAATGTCGCCCGCGTGGTATGTAACGCCTGGAAAGATGTTTGTCGTTGGGTTGCGTGAGAAGACGGCGATGCGGGCGGTCGGGTAGGCGGCGATGAGCTTCTCGACGATGTGGCTGCCCAGAAAGCCGCAGCCGCCTGTTACGAGGTAGGTCTCGGAGGCCATTGGGTCCTGAGGTCCTTGAGATTTCGATGGCGGGAGGAAATGGTCGATGAGAGTGAGAGTCTCAAAGATGTTAATAAGAGCTTGTAAGAATATTCAAATAATCGGCGCCGCTCTGGCTTTATCTCATCAAACAGTGTCCCAACCGATCGTCGTCAAGAATAAGCCGGCTGAAACGGCCGAAAGAACTGAGTGTCGTCAGCGTGATCCATCAAATCTGATATAAGCACTTGGGGGCTCTCATTCCCTGCCAGGATGGGAACCTTGAATCCGGAAACCAAATACGTCTCCTGCATCGTGCATCCAAGTCTTACCCCGCTTGTGCCGTTGAGTCCCAATAGTCGATTCGCAACGAAGGGCCGATGAGTTGAGGTCCTTCGTAACGAGAGTGCGGCCGAATCCCAATTGGAAAGATAGAGAAATACCAGAACCGATTGAAGTTTTATGACATTCCTTTGTACTCCTTAGACAGCTAGCCAAAACTGTACCACACCGTCAGCACTAGATCCAAGATCCCTTGAGAGCAATCCCCGACATGCCGGAAAGGTGGGGAGGTGAGGGGGAACGCCGCAAGCTTCGCTCACGTACTTAACCTTCCTCTTATCTCATGACACCTTGTAAGCCTTTGTGTCCCGATATCAGTAGCTCAGATGGGGGGTCAGCGGCCTGAAGACGCGAAAACGAGCAAATGTTGTTATTAGCTTAGGGCGTGTAAGAAAGGCGTAAGCTCTCGAGGCCGTGGGCTGTGGATGACTTTAGCAAGAAAGAAGGCCACCACAGCTGAGCAGATGGGATGAAATCGAGACATCACACGTGAATCTTTCAAGGAAGCAAGTGACACGGACATTGGGGGTTCTTTCAGTGATAAGCAGCAATGCCATCATCTCGCAGGCTGCTCTCTTCAATCCCGGTCTTCACCCTCAAAAGAGGATGTTCACGATGTAACGCATAGAGAATCCAGCGTTGGCGCAAGACGTGCCTAGCCATTCGGCCAGATCCGATCGGAAGCATGTGCAATGCGAGCCTACGCCAAGATCCCATTCAAAGGTCTCATCTCATCTCATCTCCTACATTCATCGGCAGCCTCGAGTTTAGGCCAGAAATGTAAGGCAAGCGAGTCCACTCGCCCTCAGCAAATCACCAATTCACATGGAACACCGAAAGACACAGTTATTGAACACAAGAGAAAACGCAGCTGGTTGGTGATATGTGCCACAACCCGCCCATCTACAAAAGCCTCACTCATCACCCCCAATCCACCCCGCCGTATCCACAGCCCCTGATGATGCATTTCCGACGATAAAGAACCGCCCCAAGGCCCACCCCCACCATGTTTCCTTCCTTCCGTTTCTCTTAGGTAGTTTTGTATTTGCTTGTCATTTCATGCACTCTCGCCTCCCTCGCCAAAAGACCATCCCCCCGCCAGTTCCTCCGATTCACGAAAAGCATCGCAATCCTAAACTCCGGCAAAAGAATTTCCCTGAACGCAACGCGCGACTGCCTTTGAAGACTAAACTACTGGAAACAAGTCGTCAGACAACCCCGTCTACCGGCCTTGCCCGCTTCCTGATCCAAAATCCGGTTCCGGGTGCGGTGACTTCTTATCCTTCCTAGCTTTAATGACGAACTCGGCCATAATCTGGATGTGGTCGGCCGGGAAGTGGTAGTTGGGGAACGCCGGCATCCGCTTGAGGTATTCGGCATCAGGCGGGCCAAGCAGGTCCACCACTTCCAATGTGTTGGTTGAGTACCACAGATAATCAATGACATCTGAGAAGCCAGGCGTGTAGTTGGTGAAAGGCATCTCGTCGGGCGTGTTCTTGATGTGGGCATACGCATCCCGCAAGCTGAAGGGGTGCTCAATACCGTCCCTCGTGAAGCTGCCATACTGGAAAGATGATAGCTCTTGGTGGTTGGGAGGGACGCGTCCCATGGACAATAGCTCGTAGACTGAGCTGTCTCCGGTTGAGTTGAAATCACCACACACGAGTAGGGGAATGTCGGTATTGTTGCGGTACTCTTGGCTTGGCCCCGGTTCTTTAGCCGGAGGGGGTAGCTCATCTCCGTCTTTGCCAGTAGCAGAGAAGACGATGGGCTTCTTGTCCTTGAGGGCCGGCCAGCGAACGTACTTCTCGGCGAATTTTGTGACTTGCTCCATCAAGATACCCGTCTGGATCAGTTTGACATCCGCCAACACAGATTCCCAAGCCAAATGTCCGTTGACTAGGATGATGCGTGCGCCTGTAGCTCGGCTTTCGAGGAACACCAAAACGGCGATGTTGTCCTTTGGCATAACACGGTTGAAGACATCGTGTTGATTCTTCATATCCGGTCGGTTGATGGCGATGGCGGCAAATTCGACGACTTGCTTATCGAGCAAAATCCACTTGCTGGCCTTGTAGAAAATTGCGCAACCATCCACGCCCTGTGCATCCTTCTCCGCCATGGTCTTCGCGCGAGTCTTGGGCCAGTGTACACCCTTGTAATCCATCTGTGCCAACTCCGGGCTGAACTCTTCCTTGAACGCCTCCGTCGAGATTTCCTGCATACACAGCAGATCCGCATCCTTCTCTCTCAACTCGCTGAAAATGCAGTCCTTTCGATATTCCCAATTCAATGCTCCCGTCGGCGTGTATCCGTATGTTTGCGGCGTCGCGTACTTGTCGCACAAGACGTTCCAAGAAAAGACTCTGACCTTTTCCAAAGTAGGTGAAACATCTTCTTGTACAGTTATGAGCTTTCTCGGGTTGGGCGGCATCGGAACTAAGACAAAGGTTAGCTGTTGATACCAACAAAAGACAAATCCGATTGTACATACTCGGGGCTTGCTCCTTGAGAAGGTTAATCAGGCTCTTGGTTCCCTTCTCCATGATTTCCTGCTTCATGTCCGGGTCGATGGGGTTGCCCTCAATGCCAAGAACGTCCAGCAAGTGTAGAGAGCCGAGCTCAAAGGGGAGAGTTTGGATCTGGTTGTCGAAGAGGAGTAGCTGGTTGAGGTAGGTGCACATGCCAAGTTCTGGGGGGAGAATCTTAATCTGGTTGAACGACATGTTGAGGTATCGGAGCTGGCGCAGCTGACCGATGGCGGGAGGGAGACTCTGAAGTCTGTTTGAGGCGATGAATAGGTCGTGAAGGAACTGGTAGCGGAAAAGAGCGGGTGCGAGATTACGCAGTCCCTGGCCGCTAAGGTCCATATTGTGCCAGTTCTGCCGTTCCTTATTCTTCTCAACGCTGTATGGTCGTCTCCTATCGTCCGCATCGTCGTCACCGTTCTTGCCTGAGGATGGTGGAGGCCCGGCAATGCCACGGTTCTCCGAGGCCTTTAGTCTGGCGTAGTAGTGCGGCTGGTTCTGTTCGGTCATGGCACGGTGGGCTTGCTTGGACTCCTCGTAGAGGCGGAGCTGCTCGGCCCAATGTTCGGTGATCTGCTGTGCTTGTCCTCCCCGCGTGGCTCCTCCTTGCCCGTTTTGCATAGTATTGCTGCTATACGGACTAGAGTTTCCCATGACGCCAGAGGAGAAGGCCGAGTGATGGCCCATCACACCGCCGTTGCCATTGTGCGCAGCATGTTCGGCCTGGGCTTGGTGGTGTTGAAGGTGAGTCTGGTGGTGTTGCTGCTGTTGCTGTTGGTAGTTGTACAGCATTGGGATGCCCCGGCCGCCATGGCCCCCATTGATGCGGGAGTTGGGGCCCTGCTGATGATTCTGGGAGAACATCCCTAGCAGATTGGCCCGTGGGATCGGATTGGATGGTGTAGGTGTATTCGAATCTTTGGCGACGAATTGGCGCAGGAGCGTGTTCAAGAGAATAGCTTCGGCGGCGGTTTCTTTCGGTATGAGAGAGTTGAGGTACAGATCTCCGACAGGGTGGTCCAGGTAGCGAGTACCATCGGCCATCTACCTGAGATTCGCGGGTGGGGTTGGCTGTGGTGGTGCCTCGATTACGATGCAGGCGTGGTGAGCGAGGCAATGGGTTCGCAGCAACAGCTTATGTGAGATTGGAAACGAGGGAAAGCCAGGGTAGCTCGCGTTTGCGCATGGGAGTCGAGGTACGGGTCCAGCTGCATCGAGTATCGGCTCAGACAATGGAGCTTCCGGTTACCGCAATGTATTGTGCTGTCCTCAGCCGCCCATGAACCACGTCGATGATGTGAGGGGGCGTGGAAGCTCGTGTGTTGTTTCGTGTGTACGTGTGCAGAGGTAAGAGTGGTGTTGAGTTTTGCTCGGTCTGGTGATGCGGTCTGTCAGGAAGGGAGGGGTTTTGAGATTAAGCTAGACGGCGAGTCGAGCAAGCTCGCCCGATGGGGAGAGCGTACGTGGGAGGCAAAAAGATAGTCAATGGTGTCGAGACGCGCTGGATGCGGCAGAAGAGGGTCTGGATGAGAATGTGTCTCGTCAGCAGAGCGAGCTTGGAAGAGTAAGACATGGAACTGAAGTCAGGCCCAGGAGCAGGAGTCAGATTACGGAGTAGGGGCTGGGCCGCGTCGTTGCGACAAAGGCTCGGCTCGAGCAGCGCCCCCCCTGGTGACCCTCAAGGGCGGGGAATGGGTTGATGACATACCGTAGTGAGCGGGCGCGGTGTGTTTCTTGCAATATCTCTAGAGCAACCAATGGATACTGGGACTGAAGAATGTGGTCGGAGATGCAGATGATCCAAAGATAGAGCCAGGTGGTGGTGGTGGGATTGACTCGATCTTGACGATAGAGCAGACACTGGGCACCAGGCCCGCGAGGTTGCGAGCTCTAGTGTCATCACGTGATGAGGAGAGCTGCACAGACCAGCAGCTAGACAGGAAAGCTCCACTTAATTCAAACGTGATCACGCCCGTGACGCTCGGCCGTGTAGTACGTACACTGCCTTAGCTAAGCAGCTGAGGTACGTAGGACGGTGGTGAGATCGTGAGATGCAACCCAATTCAAGTGGTTCGACTTGTGGTGTGTTGTGACGAAAATGGTGGAGTAGCACTTAGTAGGTAATTGAACTGACTGACCTATATTGCTGTCAAATCTGGTATCTACCTTACTGGTACCACACTTGATATGTGCGGGACTAATGGCCTTTGTATAGACTCCGTCTCAACCGGTCCATCTAGTATTTAATTCAGCCTCACATGTCATATGCATGAGTGCAAAATGAATCTTGACGTGTTGAAGTCTATCGGTTTCATATCATGATCTTTGCTAATGAGATATCGTCATCGATTTACAGAAAGCTAGTCATCAGAAGCCCCTTTGACTTGACATTTCTTTCGAAGCAATTGTCGCAGCTGTCTTCGTAGGCATCATTAACACAGAAATTAATGGTCTTCTTTTTCTTACGGCGTGGGGCTTCAAGAAGATAGTTGCTCGCAGTCCAAGAGAACATCAGATAACACCTTGCCTCGTCGGCACGGACAGCAAACCCTGGGTACGATGAGGTTTGGCAAGTTCGCCGTTGTCTCAAGGTATTCAGGTAACCATGAAACGAACTTGGTAATTGAAGCACTCAAGCCAGCTATCATGATCAATGATCAGAGACGAAAGTCATTCAGGAGTGGACCCCCTTCACCTCACATCATACCCGCATCGAGGGATGCTAAAGATAGCTGGAGATCAAGAACACGTTTCTCGAACTGATTTTTCTTTTTTCCTTAACGATAATCAATTAACGAAGTCTATTCGTTCAAAGAGCACTACGAGTACGCTATTGTGTTTCTTACCTTTTGCTTTCTTTTTTCTTCTTTGGCAAAACGAGTTTGCGCCCCTAAGGCTTCGGAAAAAAGCATGCCAGTGTAATTAATCAGTGGAACTCATCACAGTAACAAAAATATAAAAGTGAAATAGAACCTACACGCATTCAGGCCCTCTTCTACAATTCATTGCTACAGTCTCCTCTCTACCTGCAATCTGACAATGTGTCAGATCACATGCCAAGCGTTGGAGTGGTTTTGCTTGATGTTGTACGGGGCTATCATTGACGGCAGGTCGATTCATGAACGAAGTTGAGCAGCTTCAGTTCTATGTCACATCAAGACTCTTTACTTCCTTGCTACAATTGCTCCTCATCTCTCTCTGAGAGGCCGTGGCACAGAGTAATCGGCCCTTTGATCTCCCCCAGTATATGTTGCTCAATGCTTCATTATGGCCACCAGCTGGCCTTGAGTGTCTAGGAGTGACATATATTACCCCGATTGGAGACAGGTACTCGTTGGTAGGTACTTGAACTGTCTTTGTTACTAGTACTTTTCAGCGAGTCGAGAAACAAAACGAAGGGGCCATGTCTGGGGTCTCGAGGAGTCACAAATTTTCAAATCGTCAAAGAGTTGAAGGTGAAATAAATCTGTATTAGTCTCATAAAATAGCTTGGCCATGAGAAGATGATTGAAAGAAACGAAAGTCGCAACAGCTTAATGATGTTTTGCACCCTTCTAACTGAAACCTGGCTGATCAAGATGCCATTCCGAGCCGCTCTCCCACGACAACCCTGCCAGTTCCTGGACCCGTCTTCAGCCTTGATATCAGCCTGGCGCCTGTGCCGCAGGGCCAAGCCGGAACAGTGAACGAACTTCCCATTGGATGTTACCCCAGGAAATCAGGAACCGAAAAGCTGGTATCGTTGGTTCAGAGAGCAATCACATATCATACACGTGCCGCGATGATCCGGGTTAGACCGTCGGATCAACAGGGCGGCGAGAGGCTGCAGCAAAGGCAAACCGGCGATTCGGGACAACTGCCCGGGGGACCGGCCGGATATAACGACTTAGATGTTCATCTCAATGGCGGTGAGCCCCGGATCTTGGACTCCCGGTCATGTTTGACGGAAGGTAGTCGACCTTCCCCATCATCAAAACGCGATAGATGGAGCACAAAACCGCGAAGATAGTGGCTAGAGAACGGATTCTCATGGGCCTCGGCTCAGCCCAGCAGGCGACTCATGGACACGCCTAGGCTCGGGAACTAAGAGGGGATGCCTTCAGTGCCCTGCCCTCGTTAACCGTCTCGAACATGGCCAGCGAGGGCTTGCTAGTCCTGCCGGGTGTTGTCGAATATCTTAGCCAGCCACTCAGCGACAAGGATCAATGGTATGCGGGGAAAGAGCGGTCCCGGTCGATTTCGTTATCTTGGCCTCGTCCTCTTTCAACGCCTCGCTAGACTCCACAACATCTTATCTGAGCTATCGCGACATCCCCAAATCTCAGTTACTTAACGAACAGGTGGGACCAAGGCTTCTGCGATACCATTGTCAGCATGGATAGAACTTGACAGACCAAGGTAGGAAAGCCTGGAGCTCCTCGATGTCGTTCACCCCAACTTGCCATGAACAGAAATGGCATTGAGGCACATGCCAGACATGCAGTTCAGTCGGTATCCCACTTCTCACTTCCGCTCACACGCGTCCCCAGCGGCACGCAATTCCCAGAGGGTGGGCAAAGCTCCGGGTCGAGGCCAACGGCGACCTATCCCAGACTTCCAAAGATTGGCTGCTGCAAAGAACGAACAAGCTGCCAAAAGCCAGGCTTGCAGTGCCGAACGGCGGCCAAGGCCCGAATCGGGTCTTGGTGGCGGGCGCGTACGGAGCTGTGAGCAGAGAAAGGGCCCTTGCAATATGCAATATGCAGCTGCAAGTGCAAATATGTGTGCGCAAGTTCGCAACTTCTGGGGCCCTCCGCCCCTTCTGTCATGTCGCCATCGGACATCCAATAGCCACGGGACCACGCCGTAGAGACGAATCATTGAGGTTCTCGACTGACAGGCTTGCTCCGGGCTTTTGAATTCGAGCTTCCTTTTCTCGGATATCGGGGGAATATGATATGCCTTGGCCTGCTGGAGAAGGAAGATGGATCATGTGCCGTTGGTCCGGTCTAGGTCGTATTATATAGATAACCTGTTTGCTCTTCTCTCAATGATGAGTGCACTATTTGACAGGCTCCGGTCTTCTGGGCTTGCATCTTTTAAGTCGGCAATTGCTTCTGGATCATCAAACGACAACACTGGTGTCTCGTAAGAGAATAATCCATTCAGCCCATCCAACAAAAGTAAACAGAAGCATATTACCTGTATTAGGTAATCTGGTAAGTCTCAACTTCCGTGCGGCGGGTTGCTTCTTGCCCATTTGGAAGCGGCGACTAACACGGCGATTTCTGCAGGAGCTTCCGAGTTCACGGAGGAAGGGACGAACTGCTGCACCTGCGCCTTCCGCCCTCCACCGGCCTGCCCTCCTGCCACTTTGGACGGCGAAGCTACGATCTGATTCTAAGGTGCAACTTTGCGATTTCAACCTCACCTCATCCAAAGGCTGCCTCCTAAACATCTCGAAAGAAGGCAACGGCACATTCACCACCCCTCTCTGTCGGCTTCGCACGCAAGTCAAAGCCAAAGCCGCGGTGTGCGCAATTCCCTCACCTTGCAAGCATCCAACGAATCAGACACAGTCGCCGGTACCTAGACCCCGAGCCTTGGGGTGCTGCACCGCTGCTGCATGCTGCCTCGGACGCCGAAATCGCTCACCCGCTCTTTTCGTACATCCTCTGTATACACGGGCAGACTGCCGTGCTCAGTCTTCGTCACCCACCGCTCTGGCAGTCTGGCAGTCTGGATCTTGTCTTCATCATTCATGTGATAATTGAGACACGGCGACGATCTCCCTCTACCGGTCGACCGGGTATCCATAATTCGTTTGATCTTCTTTTGCGGATGAACAGCAGCGATCCCAATTACACCAGGCATCAAGTTGCGGATTAGCGCTACGGCCCAACGGCTGCGACTCTCTACGGACACTCAATTGAGTCAACTCTGCCTCGACGACGGCGGCCTACGGTCTACCCCTCTGTAAGGAGTCCTTCGTAATCTGTGCGAATATTCGTCCTTCGAATTTGACTCTGCACTCTCGGAGAAGCCCCGATCGACCTGAACTCGCCTGGCCCTGTCTCCAGGCTTCGTCCCGAAATCCCAGTAGTTCTTCACTAGGCTTGCAAGTCGAAAGGGAGAATCTGCCCGGAAACCCAGCGGAAACATTCGTCACAATTCATCCACGTTGCTTTGTTTCTCGCTCTTAACCGCCGATCTTCTCACCAGGCAGTTACTCTGCAAAAGAAGGTTCAGAGGATTCCGTTGCCGGTGCTAGGCGGAATCCACCGACCGGGACGGGGACAAGTTGCAACAAGTCCGCACCCGCTACCACGTTACGCTATCGGCACTGCACCCCAACAGGCAGGACGTAACACACGCGACAGACAGCCTGCACCGCACCATTGACAGCTGCTGCGGAATCTGGGCAATCTGCTGCAGACAAATCGCCCAGCTGGCTGTAAGGGAAGGTCCCCCCACGCTCTGGGAATCTTCCCAGAAGACATATCGAGGGCAACGTCATTATCTCCGACAAGCACGAGATTCTGTTCCATATACTTTGATCCCTTGGCTACACTCTCAGCCAGTCTTCACCAGTCGCCCGCCGTCTTTTATAGCATCGTTTCGCCGTTGTGGCACGCGACAGAAAAGCGCACACCACTGAACGGTTCGGATCAGCAACGGGTCACGGCGTGTCACCGCGAGCTAGAAACGACACCATTGACCACACAAATCACAAGTGACAGAGCCAGCTTGCACGGACAGAACGGGACGAAACAAGACAGGCGTCACGGCAAAATAGACCTTGCAGTCATTCGACAGGATTCGATATACGTACGTAACCAACGTAGGCCATCGCCGACAAGACGCCGCGGTGAAATTTGATCCATCTATCCCCTCGGTACCATTTGTCTGCGGGAACCGAGAAGAGGCGAGACGGGGCGAAGCGACGGAACACCAAACAAGGGATCCGGCTCATCACAGTCTCTCAGACAAGGGCCCGGACCTTGACCGTAGTGACCGTACCGACACCCTGCTCGATTTACCGCGAAGAAAGACCGGCCGGAAGCTTGACAACAAACGGAACTAAATGAGGCGGCACAAGAGCCAATTCCACCAGCACCGTCCTATCCTGTCTTGCAGCGATCTTTGGCCCTCTCATTTAATAACGGCTACTGCGTTGGTCCTTGGGCCAGGACGAGAGCGAGGCAAACACGACTCTTGTTCAGCTCGGCGGCTTTCCCATCCAACCCAAGCGCAAATTCAAGCCAGCCAACCAGGGCCTGTCAGTTATCCGTCATTCCACTGACCCCAGTCCCGTCCCCACCGGGGAACAAGCGGCCGGTATCCCGCCGTCTCAAGATTTCAGAAAGAACCTGGTCCAGGTTCTAGAAGGACGGGGCAAGCTCCGGCGCACTTGACTCTTGCTTGCCTTCTGGGCTCCTCCAGCAGGACGAGGTAATTATCCGTACCTCTGTCCGGACACTGTCGAGATATTTGGGCCAACCCGCCGAATTCTCGGCGAGGCGGGCAGCACTCATATTACTGACGCAAACTGTGGCCACCGGGTTTTTGATTTCTACCAAGTGCGGATACCGTATCTGAGTACTCTAGGGACACAGTTACGTGACTACGAAGATACAGCCTGACTAAGGGCACAACCGAACAAAGAGGAGCGATTTGCCAGCAGTCTCCATTGCCCACCCGAAATCAGCGCGGCCCGGTCCACTCCATTACCAAGAGGATCAACAGTCGACACAAAGCACCCAAACGTCAAAAAACAGGGGCCAGCGTCTTTTTTTTCTCTTCGCTCTGGTCACCGAGGGCCCGCACGTCCTCGCCCGTCAGAAATCAACTTCACTTGAAAACTCAAGGTTCACGCCCTCATCCAACTTGCTGTATTCTGCCACCCATACGGATACGATAGATTGACTGCACTCTACCGGGGGCCTGGTTCCCGGTGCTCTCCCTTGAGTCCCTTCACCGTCCTGCTCCCAAAGGAGTTTGCACTTGCAGGCGTCTCTCAGACCCTTGGCTTGCCGTAGCAAGGGTCAACGGCAAAGGAGAGGCAACAAACCAACGAGGGCCGCTGACTTCACAGGTCGAGGGCATACTGTTTGGGGATCACTTGTCCGGCCGACTTTGTTATTGTCGGACCTGCTTTCCCATTTGTCTGTCAAGCCTTGTTCTAGTCCGTCATCGAGTCTCAGGTGCGAAAGAGGCAGACCCGACGGCACAGAGCCGAAGTTTGAGGCAGAGACATTGGAACAAAAGAACGGCAGGGCCAGGAGTTGGGCCAAGTACACCGAGTGCCCCGCGAACAAAGAACCTAAGGGGAAAAGAAACACGATTGAGGGGGTTGGGTTGGAGAATTACAGCGCCGGGCGTCCCGACGAGCTGGATCGGGGGCTGAGCGAGGCGTTTGCTGGCCTTATTCTTTGGTGTGTGGGAAATGCCCACTTGTGCAGCCACACTCGTTCTTCAACAGCTGCTGGGTTGCCGCCGAGTGGTCAACGTGAGAAAAGAGCAGGGACAGCACCCATTACGTCCTCGACATTGACGCCATCGTGGGAGACGGTCGACCAACAACCAAGTTTTGAGCTGCTCAAGTGCTGGCTTGGTCTAATTGCTCACCGAACCCCAGTCTTGCCGTCCTAGTGGCTCCTGTCAGGCCGGAGCTAGCAAGCTGAAGAGGAGACTCGTGGAGTTGTGACGAGTCCGCCTAGGAAACAAGTGGGAAGCTTGGACGACACAGGCTCAAACCAAACAAGACAACAAACCAAGCAAATCAAACAAACGCAGTGGCGGGCAAAGAGGCCAGGCACAAATACGTGCAAAGTGCCGTCATCCATCGGGATTGTTGAGGAATCGGACACTGGCAGAAGAGGGCTAGTGTTCGTTTTCACTGTCATTGGCAAGACGGACGGCGCACCAACACAGGCAACGCGGGCCAGAGGTGAAGCCTCCGACGTGGATCACCTTGTCGGCGGGTCACACAACACGATCCCACGCAACAGTAAACGAACGACACGGGCCAATTGGAGACCAGAGAAAGGCACTCCCCTTGCGATTCCCTCCATTGCCCTGGCTGGGGAACATTGGTAATTTGGTACCGTCCAAACGGGTTTCCCCTGCCGGTGCGGATACCCGAGAGGCCTGTCGACGGCGTCTTCCCTGCCCTGTCTTGCCTTGCTAGTCAGCTTGCTGGCTGGCGGCGCTGGCATCATTCCTGAGTCTGGGTTGTTTGCCGCGCAAAGGCCTCTGCGACCCCGAATCGCCAATCCGCGATAAACAAGAGGCACAGAACAGCAAGCGACAGAGCCGGCATACACGAGCTCTCGTCCTCGTCCTCTTTGGGTTATCAGATAGCCGGAGGTCTAGCTTCTGCTAAGCTACCCATCTTGGTATCTAGTGCTGTCGAGCTGGGACGACTTGAGACGCGGCGCCGGACGGGACTACAAACCTTCGTGGATTTCGGTGCTAGCTCATCAGCATTGTCTAGCGCATTAGCTAGCAGAGCACCACATACCTACTGCACAGCGAGAGCGCGACGGCGAGGCAAGCAAGCCAAGCAGCATTCAACACTACACTAACAATCGCCATCAAGCAGCTTCCAACTAGCGTCCAGTGCTACCCTTCCCTTCCCGTCACCGAGGCCGGGAGTGCCAGGGCCATCCACTGCGACCTGTCCAGTCAGGTCAGGATCGGTTCTGTGGTTCAGTACACTGACTGCTCTGTGCCCTTTGGTTGGCAACGGACCAAGGACGGGAGAGACTTGGGCGCCCTGCGACTACGACTGCACGACTGCGACGTGGTACCTGCAGTCGACCAAAGTACCCTCGCCCACTCCTCCGTACGGCGAGCGAGCGACGCAAGGTGCTGCAAGGTACAAGGCGGCCAAACGAACCTGTGGTGGACCCCGTACCGATCCCCGTTCGGTCCCTAGCAAGCCCAGCAGCCAGTTACGTCTGGTCAGCGTGGTGTTTGTGTGTGTGTGTGTGTGTGTGTGTACTATGTATGTGTGAGTTTGTGTGAGTTTGTTCCCTCATTTTTCTTATTTTACTTTATTTTCCTTTCTTGTGATAATTCCCGCCCCGTGTGTGCGTGTAGCAGACGAAGACGCACAAGTCCAAGGCCAAGGGAAAGAAGAAGCAGAGACGAAGAATAAGCAGACGCAAGAGCTAGTGCAACGTCCAAGTTCAAGTCCTTAACCTGGTCTTTTCCTTCTCTTTTCTCTCTCATCGTCATTGCTCCGTCTTTTGACCTTGGTCGCGCGCGAGAGACAGAGAGACTGGAAGCCCAAGGACCAAGAGAGCGGCAAGTCGCTCGTCTATTTGGACCGTCTGGTTCCAGAGTCCTGAATCGGTGAAATCCTGACGGACTCTCTTTCTGTTAAACTGGATTTGGAACCGCGGAAGGCGACCCGACTTGCTCTTGGTTACTTGGTCACTCTTCCTCATCCATCTCCGTTATCCATTCCCACGTTCCATTTTCCCATTTTCCCTCATTTTCCAATTTCTCTTCCCCCCACCCCCCACTACCCCCTGACCCTCGCCGCGGCCGGGTGTCAGTGTGTACCTTGCCCAACTCAACTTTACCTGCCTGTTCCTCCTACTTGACCCTATCCCCGTGCTCCCTGCTAGGTGTTGCTGCAAGGTACGTACAGACCAGTACGCTAAGTCATGCATCCTTGCCTTTTGGTTTTGTCTGCCACTTTGCATCTGTTATGTACTCCGTACCTTATGTTCGGAGTATCTTTACGGAGTATCTGGACGCAGTAGTGTAGGTACAGACACAGACAGACATGACAGGGAGAGAGGAGAAAGAAGAACAGAAAGATGGGAGCACGAGTACCGTAGTGCCGCTCTCAGTGCCAGTGCCACCACCACGGGAGCCACGAGGACTATCCGTCTCTGGTTTCTTTGCTTTCAAAAAGTACCGAACCGTTCTGTAAGTACATGACGGTTGTATTAACTCTTTGAGGCGATGCCAAATTAAAGAAAAACATATCCTTCCTGGTTTCCTTCCCCCCCCTTTTCCCCGTTCCCTTCCGCTTCCTTTCCCACCCGGGTGCTTCTCTTCCCCTCCACCGGACAGACAGACACACATACACAGTAGACACAAACACACCCCTCCCCCTCCCCTCCCATCCATGACTTCCCCCCCCTTTCCACCTGGTACATCACATCCACCATCATCTCCCCCCCAGCTGCAAGGTCGCAGCAGAAACTGGAATGGAACCGAACTGAATTGAACACACCCCAAAGGCCCAAATCCAGGAAAGCAAGCAAGCAACAAGCACAAGCACAAGCAGCCGCCAATCCCCCTCCTGTCCCGCGCTCTCTCTGCCTCCTTTCCACTGCTCCCACTCCCAAGAGTCTCTCTCCCACAATCCACAAGCAGTTTGCGGATCCCCAAACCCCCCTCCACTCCCCTCCCCCCCCCGTCCATTCGAGCTGGAGCTCCCACCTGCGAGTTGGGTCTCGTTGTCGTCTTCCCGGCCCCAGAGAGGGCAGGGCAGACATGAGGATCCAAGACACGAAGAGAGGACCCGACTGACCCAACTGACCAGAGCCACAACCACACGCACAACCGGGTCCCAAGCCCAAGGGCCCCAGAAATCCGCCGCTCCTCCTGACGAAGCACTCGTGGATGCGGAAGATTCTGCAAACATGTCCCAATACATGTACACCAGCTTCGCCCCCGTCCCTCCCATTCTTTCTCGCATCGAGTCGACCAGGCCAAAGACTGCGACTGCAACCTTGACCCCAAACAACACCACCAAAAGCAAACAACACACGGCGGCGGTTGGTGCTAGTGCTGGTACTCGTGCTGGTGCTGCAACTACGGATACCACTACTCCTGCATCTGCCAATACAACTCTGTCATCAACAACATCAACAAAACCCCCCGCCGCCGCACCACCTACCCCGTCTTCTTCGTCCTTCTTCTCAAAGGCCAATCCGGCCGATTCTTCGCGTATACCGTCGCGCCAACCATCATCATCAACAACCAATTCTCACTTTGGTCACCACCACCACCCCGCAACCCGTCTTCAGCACATTCGCACTTCGTCATCCTCATCGGCGTCCCGCTCCTCGCACGAGACATCAATCACACCCACCTCGACAACCCTCTCGACTGTGTCGCCTATCGACCCGCGCGATCCCGCTTCGCCAGCGTCTCCAAAGAAGCACAAGCACCATAGCTCGTTACAAGAGAGCCGCGTTGGTGCCGACCACACTCCTCGCATCCGGGCGCCGGCGCGCCTCCGCAAGGAAAGCGGCAGCTTAAGCTCGTACGCGAGACACGCTCTCGCATCGCCCCCATCCCACATTGGCCTCACTGCGAATGAGCTAAAACATGTCGCCATGCTCGTCGACACGGACACATCGGGCCGTCACCTCACTGCCGGCAAGGCCGGTGCAATTCCCTTCTCTCGTACCGACAGTCTATCGTCGGCGGCTCCCTCAACGGCCTCCATGTCGACCCGCACAATGACGTCCTCCGACCCCACGACAAACTCCTTCGATGCCTCCCGCCCGTACTGCTTGCGCAATGGCCGCACATATCTGTCTGACCCGTCACTGGCATACCCATTGCCGGTTGACCTGAGCGAGATCCATCGCCAGTCACTGCGCACACTGTTGCTCATTCAGTTATTTGGATCGCCCATTTGCTCCACAGCCTTTGCCAGCAAGCCGCCTGGCCGCGTTCTCGAGGTTGCGTGCGGCTCCGGATTCTGGAGTCAATCTTGTCACCGGTATTTCGCACAACGAGGCCACCCCGATATTCACTTCACTGGCATGGATATTGGGCCAATGGGCCAGAATGCGGGAGACGTATCGCGCGATATGAAATGGCGATTCATGCAGCACGACCTTCGCAACTTCCCCTGGCCGTTTGCCGATGGCGAGTTTGACTTGGTCATGGTCAAGGATTTGAGTCTGGTAGTGACGTCGCCGCACGCACTACAAAACGCAATTGAAGAATACCATCGTATCTTGCGCCCGGGTGGCACTTTGGAATTCTGGGACAGCGACCACCAGATCCGTATGTTGCGGCCCCACGCAGCGCCACAGTCCGGCAATACCGAAGACACTGCCACCGTCGCCTCGCTTGGCGCGTATCCCATCTCGGCCAAGACCCCTCTGAGCGCGCCGCTGAATAACTTTCTCGTCGAGTACAACAGCTGGGTCCATCGCGCACTAGAGTCCCGCAACCTGAGTCCCGTGCCATGCACTCTCATTGGCCCTATGCTTATCCAGGAATCCGAGGAGCTGACCGACATACAAAGCAAGCGCCTAGCGATCCCACTTTCTGAAGTTCGCTGGGAGCGTGAGGGCGTCGGCGGTGTCGTGACCAAGGACGGCAAGTCGTTCATCAACTCGGGCAAGGGCAAAGGTAAAGACAAACCGGACGAGCAGAAGAAGACGTTGACCGAGGCCCAGGCGGCGCTTCGCCGCACGGCCTTGATGACCGTCGTACAGCAGATCCAGAGCCTGGAGCCGATCTTGCGCGAGGTTAGCGGCAAGAGCCAGGACGAATGGGACGGCTGGCTAGGCAAGATGATGAACGATCTCATGAGGGAGAATGGCACGAGCTGGGGCGAGTGTTTGGAAGTCGGTGCCTGGTGGGCACGCAAGAGGGAGCGATGAAGGGCAGCATGACGACGTTATGGCGGACGGAAAAGAAGGAGTTTTTGCATTCGCGTTTTGCGGCGACGTCTATTGGACTCTATGGGAATGATGGGGCCCTCACATCGGTTTACGCCTGCGCCCAAACCAAGACGTCCGTCACATCACGCCCCTGGGACGTACCGCTTCCTCAGCGCCCGATATCGCTTGAGATAATACCTGTTGCGCGATTAGCATTATGCCGAGTCGAGTGCGAAGCAGCGCCAACGGCAACGATGGCAGAATACAGTTTACCAGAAACAAGAAACAAAAAGGGATGGCGAAAAGGGACAAGGCAGGAAGGAAAGAGGGAAGGAATACGGGGGGAAAGGTCAGAGATCCAGTTCATCGAGATACCCCATCATCATCATCATCATCTACTACCCCATCATCTACATTTATACATATCCTGTCACATCATTCATCATAGCTATACAACATCTACATCCCCCCCTGTATGACCTTTTTATGCCTGATCCCGTGCCTTAAGTGACAATGATGAGACCATGGAGTGACTGGAGGACTGTAATGTGTAGCAGAATGTGACTTGATGCTGCAAACTTGCATGGAGTGACTTGGTTTTCAGATCAGGACGAAGCAGGCAATTTGCAGGTCATGAGAAGGATGGGCTTGGCTGAGCAACGTAAAGACTGAGGGGCAGGAGCTGGCCGTAGAGGTTGACGTTGCTCCTTACGTCAACTTGAAAAAAGGCGAAGTACTCCAGCTGTGACAATATGGGAAGGGGGGAGATGGAGTGATGGAAGGCGTGTTGCTCATGAGATGTGTTGGGTTCGTTGCCAACAGAGGAGACATCTCGAGATGAGTGGAGGATTGAGGCGTGGAAGAGGGGGTATCATCATATCTTCGGGTTGTGATGGTGAGACCTGTATGTACAACTTTGTGGATAGGCTATGAGGGTAAGGAGGTGAGGCGAGCTTTGCTCCGGTACAGGACGCCTCGGGTATGTGATTGCGCGCGTTTTGGAGGGAATGCGCTTGCTCTGTATGCCGTCTTGTTCTTGGGGAGAAGTAAAGGAGAGGGGGTGGAGGGCAAGCGATGAGGGCGATCATAGTGGAATAGGTCGATTGGGAAGGATATGTGCGTAGGACACGAGCGGTGACGCTAGCTGCGGTCCCGGTATGTCGCTTGAGGGCACCCATTCCGACGTGTTTGCCTTACCGGAAAAGAAGAGTATCGCATGTAATAATACCAAAGAATGGGCAAAAGTCGTGATGGTCGGTGAGATGAAGAGATGGGGTGTAAATCGCGGACACCAGGGGATGCTTGGCTCAACTTACAATGCTTCGATTTCTGTGCGTTGTTAAGTCAGTCTTGTTGGTTCTGCTGGTTTTGTTCTCTATGAGCTGGCAGTATTGCTATGGGAGTATTTCTTGCAAAGGGGTAGAGAAGCAGGAGGCGGGTAGAGTCATTTGGCCCAGCTCGTCGGTGAAGTTCGAGGGACGTCCTGAGGTTTGGGACGTATATATGTAATGCGTTTCGATGCAGAAGTAGCCAGTCTAACTTGTGATTTCGGCCAGTGTGATATACACGATTATGGGCATGTAGCGATAGTTTAAAGAGACATGTTACTGTGAAGGATAATACTTGACTTCAACTACAGGAAGTACTGCACTGCATGGAAAGAGGCGTGAGCGTCAGTGGGCGGATGAGGAGGAAGCAGGGGAGACTGGATTACGATATCCCGGAGAAGAAGGGTTTTGACGAGGGGAGAATCCGGACGGTAGGCTACTTGGCCATTGCGCAAGAAGCAACAACCGCTGTCCCGTCTTTATACGAAACGAGATCTTGTTGTTAGTGGTACTAACCACGACGACGAACTCAATAGCTAGGGTGCATTGGCATACGCCTCAATAGCACACAACTGGGACGAGGAGGATCTGGTATATCGACGCCAGCCGTGAAACACCACGAGATGCGAGAAGGAGCTCGCTTCCAACACGAGGGCAGAATGCAAGTCTTGACGGACACCGAAATCTGACGAAATCACTGGACGAGGGAGAGTTCTCTTAAAGTGAAGACAACATATCCTGACGCGGCAGAACCAATTCCGACTTCGGAATCCATCATAATCGGCCATGTCATCGTACGTCAACCGAGTACTCATCGGTCTCGTCTTGCCCTGTTCCCGGGAGAAGGGCCATTCTCCCCCTCCTCTCCTTTGGTGTTGCCTATTATGGTGTTGTCTCGGGACTGAGTGTCCCGGGTCGGAGTCAAGAGTCATAAAACCCGCGGTCTGCCACCTTCATCTCCCACTCTGCGATGAGATCTGTGGTATGGCATAGTCAAGTGATTCTGCCGCAACACTTGCTGAGCCGAAAGACTTTTGACGCCCTTGAAGGAAGAAAAATCAAGGAAAATGAGAAATAGAAACAAACATACCCTTCTTCACAAACTCAGCCCTCTCAATCCCCCGCCGAATAGCCTCCTCATCCCGCAACCCAGCATTAGCAGAAAATGCCTTGTGCAGACGCGGCCGGAAGTAATCGTAGCCGAGGGGGTATTCTCGACCCAAGTAAAGGAGTTCTGTTTTTGATGGTCAGCGATCTTGTCAGTTTGATTCATTTCGGGGTCTTGTTGCATGCAGTGTGAGTCTAGGCAGGGTGATTGACGGGAGGTGGAAGGTGAAAGTATTGGTGAGGCAGAGAAATGAATTGATGTAGAGTATTCTGAACTCGGTAGTATTGCGATCAAATGACTCGATGGGATGTCCAGTCTCAAAGATGTCTGTCTGTCTGAAAAGCAACGATGCGCCAACAAATGACGTCTTGAAAAGGGCAGGTCTTTTCGCAGGCAAACAAGGATTGCCAATCACTAAGCCAACTCGAAAAATCAGGCAAACTCGGAGCTACACGATATAGCTTGATTGCGAAGAGGTAATGCTCGAATTTGGAGTAAAGACGAACGACAATGCTTGACAGAAGCTCAACTCACCCTTGTAAATGGCAATGACCCGCCTCCGCAACTCGGTATTCACGACGCTCATCCTCTTTTTGGACTACCGTCGGAGCGACGTATGGAAGCAAAGAGAAAGTGAATCTCCCGATGCTGCTGTTGTTGTAAAATGATGGGTGCGAATAGATGGTGTGGTTCCGTCAACTTGAGCAGTTCACACCCATGGCTAGCAGGGTCGTCAATGAGGTCGAGAGCTCGCTCCAATGGCCTCAGACCTCGGCGTGATGATGTAAGACACCCCAGAGGCCCCATCCCCACCGACCAAGCTCCAGAAGCTCTCATGATTGGTTGGAATTTTCGAGGTCCTCCCATCCGTCCCCCAGCCCAGCTCAGCCGTGTTTGCTTCCTTGAAGGCCGAACTGCGCCGCATCCTCACCACCACACTCGAAATCCGCAGAACTTCAGGAACTTGAGGCTGGCCATCTGCAACCCCCTCTCTCCCCCCTTTCTCGCCATCCATCCATCTGCTGGAGGGCACCGCGCCTCCAGAGAAAGCAACACCAACACCAACCTCGATACCCTCGCCGCGCTCTGATAATCTCGACCCCCGACCTCCGATCCCCGACCCCGATCCCAATACACCTCACGCTTCCCGCTCGTCAGAGCAAGCGTCTCCCGACAATGAGGGCCACAGCAACAAGGCTCCAACAGTCGATACTGCGCCGCGTAGTAAAAACATACTCCCCCCTTGACGCAGTAGCCAGCGTACAAAAGCCGGCCGCCGCCAGCGTCACCGGCGCAGATAAAACGCCGCCAAACAACCCTCCTCGGATTCTAGTCAGCCCCTATGTGCTCAACCAGCGCATCGGGAAATGCCTCGCCTTTGGCTGTGATGCTGAGCAGACCCACCGCGCGGCGAGTCTCCTGAGAACCATCAACAAAGACTGGCGCAATCTCGAGGCAGCCGTGCAGGGCTTCCGCGACCCCGAGAATTCCGTATACACCACCCGACTGCGAGCTGGCGAGCCGAGCCATCGTCCATGGCAAGTGAGTCTTTGATCCACCCGCTGCGGTTTTCGTTTTAGTCCCAGTCCCCAATCCCAGTCCTGGTCTCGTGGGACCAACTTGCATCGATGGCGCCGCTGACTGTTGTTCTCGTCCCCGTCGTAGGGCATATCTCAACTATCTCCCTTGGTACAAGTCGCCGAGCAGTCAATCGCCCGATTCCTCGACCGCACTCTCAAGACGGCAGAGCCCCAATATAGACGAAAGTGGGAGCTTCTTCGTGACAACCCCATCGATGGATGCGCACTGTCGCTCACAGAATGCCTCAACGAACAATTCCCGAACGGTCGCCCCTTTCCGGTATATCACAATATCATACCCTCTTTTGCGCCCCTTGCCCCTTGCCCCTTGCCCCTTGCCCCTTGCCCCTCGCCCCTTGAGCATTTGCTGATGAATCTTCCTATTAGAGCCGCTCGCTCGAGCCGCAAGTCGTCAGCGCATACGCAAAGTTACAGTCAAACGATTACAACAAAAATGGCACGTTCCACTTCAAGGTTGTAATATTTTCGCACAAGCACTTGGTGAGAATAGCCGACTTGAACTTGAAGTTGACGCACTACACCCCCCACGGACAACCACTGGCCTGGCTCAGTCAAGAGATTGAGCGCGTAAGTCTCTTAACCGGCACCGATGCGGCGTTTCGATCCGCAGACGAACATTCAAAACATATCGAGAAAATGATCCAGGATCTGGAGAAGGGCACCTGGAGCAGACCTGACGCTACAGAGGACTTTGGCACGGCCGGACCCTAGCGAGGTACGAATATAAGATATGCGCAACCGCTACTTCGCGGCACTGGGTACTATCGTTGTCGGCCCAAAGAATGTAGCGAAGATTATGGCCCGAGACGAAAAACCCGAGATGGACAGAATGTTGCTGGTGTAAGTTGAGCAAGGCGAGTCGAGGCGAAAGCGGGCCTCTTTGAAGAGGAAACCAACTCCGCCACTTGCGCGCGCTCCTCCGTTCTGTAGATATGTGGGCGACCACTCGATGGCTGAAGACAGCTTGAGGCTCCTCCCACTCTACACGCGACTCAAGAGTAGACTCGATGCCTGGCGAACAGACGACAGAAAGCACGTCGCCGGCAGATATTCGTCGCATCGGTCCCTGGTATCAGTCATGGAACTGGAGGAGATCCCCAAAGGTACAGCGGGCAATTACTCAACGCCGTGATGGAGTAGGCCCCTGATCGTGTGCCAGGTCTCATCTTGGTGTACTCATGTCGGGTCGCTGGCCTGAGCTGAGCGCGTAAAATAAACCAATGCGGTTGGGTTGACATGTGACTTGGAGACCAGTGATTGGGACGCGTGAAAAGAACTCCTCACTGTCGATGATGATGGTGCCACTGGGCTCCATTATGCCATCGTATCAAAAACCGTCGTCCGTCCTGCTCCATACGCGTGTAGCGCCACGGAGTCTTTTCGGCGGGACAGACTCAGAGCCTCATGGCAAGATAGTCACACTATCAGAGGCTCCGTGAAAAAATTTCGCAGATTCTTTTCGTCGACGTCCACGGCGCACCGATTAGCCTCGCATTCAAGTGTCCGCCGCTGGAAAATTCAAATTGGCTCCGTAGAGGGGCGGCGCAGAGAGCCCACCGGGAGATCCGCATCGCACGGAGCCGGCCTCACGCTATTACGTTGTGCCGCCTCACATATCCGTACATGGGTATTAATACACTACCTACTTTTGTGAGCGTGCGCGTGTGTATCCGAGCCTCCTCGTTGCGTGTGTGTGTGTGTGTGTGTGTGTGTGTGTGTGTGTGTGTGTGTGTGTGTGTGCTGCCAGATGGCAGATAGGCGCTGCAGTCTGCAGACCGCCTTCGAAATCGGCACCACAGTGCGAAGGGACATCAGCGAGGGGGTGGTCGACCCCGCTAAGCAGCCGCAGAAATATAACGGTCTGCAGGGCACCAATCAGCCCCCGACAGGACCATGCACCGCCAAGCATTCTCCCTCGTCGAGATGGAGGGGGAGGAGGGGGGAAGGAGCCGCGACTTCTCAGGTGTAAGCTCTGCAGTCTGCTGCTGCCGTGTTGAGGTTGTTTGGGCTGCATAAGAAGCGTGCCGTAGCTTGTGCTGCAGGAAGGCTGGCGCCTTGAAGCTTATTCCCGGGCCTTTAGTCTCGATGCTAGATCAGTTGACGGGTGCTAGTCGTATCTCCTCGCTATTCATGATTGGAGAGGTCATCGGCTCCTCTCCTCAAGCCTTCGCCTTGGTCGACATCCAATGATGAAGTATCGCTGCTGCAGCGGCAGACAGCGAGAGCGGTGCCGTAACATCGCTTCTTTCCCCTCTAACTCTGCCTTCAACTCTAAGTTTGGATATTGTTAGGTACTCACAATGACACAAGAGTCCCAGTACACTACATACCCCGTGAGGCTACCGGTAATCCACGCCTGGCCACTGACTCTTTGAAGATTTTATCTGCGGTACCACGAATCAGGTGATTTGACTGCAAATTGCTCTCCACGGCATCCCGAGTCAGCAGTCCACTGGGAGGGAGTGCACCGGCTGTGACATGGGAGGCAATCTGGCAGCATGGCGCGCCGCTGGTAGCGGCCAAATGCCGACAGGCAGATCGACCTGCTTGACCTTTCTGCGCCTAGCTCCCTCTTGTTCCTCGCCGTTTATGCTCAAGACTGGGGGGCCCAAGTGGGGGTTAACAACCACCACAGGTAGTATTTTCCAATCACCTCTGTCGTGACTTGTCGAGCAAGTTGGAGACGCCTGGCGACGGGTCCAGGATGTGGTTGCATTGTCACACTGTCTTGCTCCTTTTGATCCTGTCCCTCCTCCTTTTCCAGGTGGGATACCTGTCATCTCGATCGGAGGATAATTAGCTAAACAGGTGGAGATGGCGGAAAGAAAAGCTTGACCCTGCAAGCTGGTTATCGATGGCGGTGGAAGCGCCATAAGAGTTGCTAAATTCTCTCTGCTGTCCATAATAGTACGGATATACCCCGTCGACAGGATTGCAACCCCGTTCACTCCGTCTCGTCCACCCCTCGGGTTCAAGTGAGTCCGGATGTAGATTCGATGTTGATTTAATGGAGGGGCTCAACTTTGTCAACGGAAGCGGTCAGCGGTCGGCGGCCGTTCAGTGCCTCGCCGGTTCTTTTGGAGAGACCAAAGGGTGATTGTCGGCGGAGAGGACGGATGGCCGAGGCGCACTGTCTTGGAAATTTCCTGAAATGGCTTTGTTATGTTTCGAATCAAGAGGAGATCATCGACAGCCGGGCAAAGGCAACAAGGACACGGGCTTTATCTAGGGCCTACGACGGGGATGAAAACAGCGATGCGGATCTCAGGGCCCCAGCCATCAGCAGTTGTCTCTATCAATCGGTATTGATAGTGATCAGTCGCGTGCAAACCGTTGTGCATGTATTCGTATCGTGCTTGTAGGCTGTCAGCCTGTCAAGCTGACCCTGTCACGTCACTTCATCCTAGTTTTGGAGAGGAATTGGCTCGAGCGAGTGCCGCCTTAACATCAGGTGCAGTGCCCAGAAAGCTACGCATGCGACATTCCTCGACTAGTCGATGATCGACATGGGGAATCTGCCCCCCCAAAAGTCTGTTGGCATTTTTGATAGGAGGAGGGCAGTGAGATGCTGCACGTCTCGCAGAAATCATTGCAGCACTGAATGTGGTAGTCAAAGTGTGAGTGCAGTGCGTGCAATGTGATGGTGCGTTGTCAACCACGAGACAAGACACGACGAGACGAATGTGCATTGCTGCATACGAGTCTCAGTCTTTTGCCGTCGAGTCGCGGCCGAGCACAAGCTCCACCGGCGATGCTCCTGTCCCGTCGACTTGTCCTCTCGCTTTGTGGTATCGTTGCCCTGATGGCAGCCGGACCATGATCCAGGGCTGCCCTGAAATTGGATGCTGGTCCGTGAGGTGGTGGTGGTATTGTTTGGTGGCTTTGGTTGCGCTCGCTCTCGAGGACTAGCGCTGGGCTTGTCACTAGCCCGTGATGCTTTTCACTGTGCGAGGGTCCAAGGGGTCAAGGCACTCTCATCTTGCCAAGCGTGCCAGGTTCCTTGGTTTCGTCCCCACGTTTTCGTGCTTGGTGCCTCACCAAAGAGCGTTTCGACTTGTCAAGTTGAGCCCCGATTGTCGGCGTCAGTATGGTGATCGTGGAACGTCAGGCCACCGAGCGTCGGAGGATACTCATACATGTACACACAGTGGGTTGCAGAGGATGGAAAGCACATTGGGTGGTTGGTTGTACGGTGGCTACGTAGATGCGTGGCATCGTGCCCCTCAAAGGGGGAATTCGAAATGGTGGTCTTGAGGCGAATATATTTCCGTCGGAATAGCGGTGCGTAATGTGGAGCATACTTTGGCGATCGTCGGTGTGCGCCTGGGGAACGGGCTATGGCGAGCAAGGATTGGTGAATGATGTCGAGCTTCGGCCGGGGCGGACAGGCGATGGTTGTCTTTGAGATGTCCTCGTGGCTCGCTGGGAAAGCGATAAGAAAATTTGAGTGCGCGGGGGTTGTCTGCAAGAGCGGGGAGAGCCTAGTCTCGAGGCGACAAGGAAGTCGGGATGTACACACTGGACCGTGGTGTCGTGTTCCTAGGTACTGCGTGATGGCCAAGTTGCGTCGACATGTGGGATGACGAGCGTAAAGAGATCGTCCACCGCCCAGAGCCTGCAGACAACAAGGCCGGGCCTGGCGATGAATGTAAATCCATTCTAGTTGATCTATGCGTCTATGCTCGGGTGACTGTTTTTCGACACTACAAAGAAGAGGAATGGGAGCGGTGAGCGGGGACAGCGATTGAAAAGGCCATGGAGGGACAGTGAGTGGTAGGTATAACGATGAGGTAGAGGCGGTATGGGATATCGTCCAGTCTCTTCTTTCCACAAGTTCCCAAGGATTTCAGCTGAGCCGGGTCGTCATGCGAACAGCGATGATGGGTGTTGCGGAGAATTGACAGCATGGACAACGGTCGATGACGGAAGCCGTGGACAAGACGAAGAAAAGACGATGGGGGACCGAACTAGGGACGAAAGAAGAAAGACGTTCCAGCGGCGGCGCGGTCGTAGGCTCGCACGCTCGTAGTAGCGGCGGTGGTCAGGGGCGTTGAACTTGACGGGGATGTCAAAGAGAGAAATGTGTTGTTCAACTTGTATCCGTATATCCGTACGAATATCCGTACTGTGGAAGGGATGGCAGAGGTTTGGAATGATTGGGGGAATTGGAGGAGGGAGGGGAATTACTTGACGATTTGGGAAGAGTAAAATGAGGAAGACAATTTAGAGTTGGAATATGACGATTGTTCTATGGGAAGGAGGGGACGATGCCTGCAGACTTGAAGAGTGAAGGGAGAAGCGCACCACCACCTTCCCAACCTCACACCGCACACGAGGCATAGAAGGAAGCAACCTACCTAACGGATATTGGTAGTTACCTTACTTGAGGTAGGTGCTTTCCTCACGCGGTAGTTAGGATGGTAAGTAAGGCAATGGCACACACGGAGTTGGGAAGGCACGCGACGATAATGCCTTCCTTTCCTTTCCTCTTAGTGTTTGAATTGCACCTTTCCAACTTCTGTCAGGTGCTACAAGACCCTTCTACATCTGCCTGATGTGAGGTACCTCACTTTTATATCCGGTGAAGGCACGCAGGCACGCAGGCACGCAGGCACGCAGGCACAACAAGCTGAGGTGTGAAAAGGCAGTGAGGCACGGAAGGCGCGGAAGGCATGATGGAATGAAAATCGAAATACAGTGATATCCCAGCATAAGTGCCGTAATGCCAGGTATCTCCAGCGGCGCCCTATGGACTCCTGTATGGAGGATGGCACGACGGATAGGTAGGTACTCATGCTTAATGCAGGACAGATTTCTTGCCTTGCTTGCGTGTTTTCCGTTCCGTCTGGGGGATCCATCCTGTGCCAGGCCCTGGGAGCAGGAGCAGCTGTTCTATGCAATGCGCTGCATCTCCCGTGCTTGGCCAGCCCTGTTGACAACTACCTACCTACCTACCCACCTGACTTTGGCTTGCGAATGCCTTTCTGTACCTTGAGAATAAGCTGTAGTCCACAGCATTGACAAGGGGACTCTGGACTTCGCCCGAACAATGACCTTATTCAGCCCTTCATCTCAGCCAGCCAGCTACCTAGGTCGAGGGTGCATGCTACTGCATGCCGTGAACCCGTCATTCAGCACTCAGTCAGCACTCATTTAGCTGCCTCAGCACCAGTGGCCCCCTGTAATCTTACTGTACTCTTTGGCGGCGGCCTCATGGAGAGCCCAAAGGGCTGCAGAAACTGCCAAGAGCATCTCATCCCACCGCCAGCCAACCTTGAATCGGCCTCCATGATCCATCCCGGTGCTGGCAATTGCGGCTTGCCTCGGTCGGGGGTACCCCAATGTACAAGAGCATGAAAGGAAATTGCCCCTCGAGCTAGACATAATTTGGCCGAGTCACAAGTACTACTTAGGTCCAGATCCGAGATCCTGATTCTGATTCTGATCGGGGGTGGAGGGGTTTGTGAGTGGGTCTAAGAAGAAGGGACTCTCTCTCCACACTGCAAGTCATGAACCAATGAGCTATTTTCTCAGGACGAATTGATCCAGTCAGGCCCCCACTTGGAAAGGACTTCAGCCAAAGTACCTCCCCACAACTCATCAGACCGGGAGGAACAGCGAGAAAAGTGAAAGGAAGGAAAAGAAGAAGCAGTCACTGTCCGTCCTGAGTCCTGACTTCTCGGATACGTATCGACAAGGAGATACGTACCCGTCCACCCACCCAAGTCGAAACAGTGCGACTGGATCCCTTCCCGCACCATCCGTCATCCCTGCTCTCGTCCTGTTCCCGCGCAGTCTTTTTTAAAATAAACTCGAAGCGAGGCGCTCTGCCCCTAACACCCTATGTTCAATGTCCCGGGACTTGCTGTTGCAAAGGGGGGGAGGAATGCTCAAACCTAGGAATACAAAAAAATAAGGCAACAAACACACCACAAATCTCACTCCATTGACACCAAATTGTGTGTTGTTGCTGTAGGTATTCGTATGGGCATAACGATACAGATACCTACGGCTACGGATACATAGGGAACAGAGGAAAGAGAGGGCTTTTCTTCTATCTCCTTACTCTTTGAGTCTTTGACGCCTCAGTTCGTCCCCATTTCTCGGCTCTTACCCGAACTCGTGCCGCCCTTGCCAACTCAGGTCAGGTCCTTCTTTGTCTGTTCCACCCCCGGTACCTTACCTAAGGCGTCAAGGTACCGATGTATCTTGTGGTCTTACCTAAGACTGCGAACAAACTTGGAAGGCACCCGAGCACAGAGCGCCTTCCACACTATTTTACGGCTTTGCCTGGTTTTTTTCCTCTTACCAAGTAACCCCCTGTTTACCTGTACCTTCCATTCCTTTACACTGTACTTTGCATCGCTGCTTTCTCAACCCACCTACCGAACCTTTCCCGACGCGAGTAATCTGGGCTACTCTGGGCTATACTTTACTTTACCACCACACAAACCTCCCCCCCGTTCCAAGGTTCGGGAAAAAACAACAACTCAACCATCATTATCACCGTCCCGCCTGTCTGGAACCTCAACCTCTCACCTACCCACCCTCCTTCGGTTCCCCTTTTCTTCCGACCTGCTGCCGTGAGCCACGACGCATGAGGCCCCACGGCAATCCTCCGAATATCTACGCCTTTGCGCTCTACTTTCCGTCGAGAGCATAGCCGTTCCTCTTCACCCTCGCCCTCTCCGCCGCTGTATTCGTCCCGATCGCTCTCGAGAACGGGATCCCGCTTCCTCGCCTCCCCCCCCCTCCCCCAGCATCCAGACCACTTCAAGTCGTGCTGCTGGCGCCCCCCGACCTGCCTCTTCAGGGCTCCCGGGTCGGCGGACAGCAGATATCCTCCCAGCGCATGCCTCGTGCTTCCAGCTCTGCGAAGCGACAGCAAAGCGCCGCCAACCAA